TTTTAATAGGGACAAAAAGCTAATAACCCTTTTATGACTTATAAAGTTCTTACATGCTCACAGAGTGCGGTTTCAGAGAGTTCATAAATAGCGTCTCCTCCCCTTCCAAGTCCAGAATCAGGAGGGGGACACAGAAGACGGGCTGATGAGGCCCAAGCAGCAGCTTCCTTACTGATAAAGTCCTGGAGACTGTGCCTTGAGTCTCATAGCTGAGTGGCTCGTTAACTGTCTGACTCACAGTCTTAGATGGCACTGCGTCCCAGCGCCCTGGAAAGGGGGTAGGGTGTTTCGTTGGTGTTCAAGATCCCAGAGAGAAAAACAGAATAAGGCACATGTGATCAGTTTCACTCCCCACTACTAGATAAGTTACTGTTCTACTCTGGGGATAAGTGAGTGAGAGTGGGAAAGAAGAGAACATTCAGGCATAATTAATTGAGCAAGTCCATATGGAAGCCAGAGGAAGGAAGAATAGGTATTCTTTCCTAGCTTCATATTTTAGGGCAAAATGCAGCATATGAGGTAACAGATTAGGGGTGCTGGAGAATTGAAGTCACGTCCCCACAAAACAGTAATAAGTTGAAGTGCCTGTGCTAGATCATTGTTTCTCACCCTCTGGTCGGTAACTTTCATGTGTTTCACAGCCTTTAAGAGTCAATAAACCATTTGCATCTGTTGAGTCTTCCTGTTTTCATGGCTGTGTTATGCAGGGTATTGCTACTGCCAAAGTCAGACCTGCTCACCAATTTAGACCCCAGGCTGCAGTAGTGTGGATGAGTGAGAACATGTAATTTACATGTCCACCCTACTTTAGTAGTAGAATATGGTCACATGACAGTACAAATGGAAATTTACCAGTATTACTGTTAATTGCTTTTATACATTAATAAGCATTGTCATAAAACATGCTATTATGATGTTAATAAAAAGTATAACACTATTCTAGTTGTGCTGTTAAAATTACAGTAGATGACATTCAACATTGATTTAACAAATATCACTGGGATTCTGTTAATGGCTGGTGTCAAAAATTAGTACAAACACATGGTCCTTTGTTCTCAGACAGCATAAAGGCGCCTGACAAGGAGGGAAGTAGCAGTCAGGAAACAGTGCCAAGTGGCCTGAGCACAAAAGAGGGAGAGGTGCCGAGGGACAAGACCACCAAGGGTCTTGGGGTCTCCATTGAGGCTGCTGGCCTTTAAAAGCAGTGGTGACGGTAGGGGGTTCTAATCCAGGAGGCGAGTGAGCTGTTAGTACTTCAAAGACGGTGACGCTGTAGAGGAGAGTGAACGTGAAGGCTTGCAGCGTGGGTGTGGGTTAGAAGCCTACTGTACTGCTCTAGGCCAGTGATGGTGGTGGCTTGGAGCTTGGAGATAGTGGTGGAAGTGGAACAGTGGAAGGATTCAAGATGTTTGAGAGAAAGTTGATAGAAGTTGCCTTGTTTTGATGTTGGGAGGAACAGTGATTGGCACTGCTCTAGATTCTGCCTTAAGCTTGATGGACTGTGGGCCCACTCACTGACGTTGGCTTCACTGAAAGAGAAACAGATTTATAGGAGGTAGAACTTAACTTTGCTCTTGGACATACTGAATTGAAAGGTGTTTAAAGCATACGTATTGGAATGTCATGTACAGTACGTTTTTATGGGTCTGGAAATTGAGGGTTTTGGGCAGGAGACATTTTTGAGATAGCCTAGATGATCTGAAGTTGTAATGTGGATGAGATTGCTCAGGGAGGTGATTTTCAACTTGGACTGCATACTTGGAATCACTTGAGCTTTTAAGAAATGCCACTCACTGAGATTCCAATGTAATGCATCTGGGGTAAAGCTTCTTGGACATTAGGCTTTTAGATGCTTTCCAGAGAATTCTAACATGCAGACAAGATTGAGACTCATTGGTCTACAGAGTGCATCCTACTGAGACTGGAAGAAGAACGAGCGTTGAGTTTTGATAGCCAGTTAGAGGAGGGGGACCCTGCAAAGACCCTCCTGTTAGAAAGGCCAGAGTCAGTAGGAAAACTGGCAGTGTGGTGGCATGGAAGTAAGTGAGGGTGGCCAGCAGTGACTGCTGCTGTAGAAAAGCCAGTCTAATGGAAATTGGACTTCACCATAGGGACTTTAATTACCACAGCTGTCATTGGGAAATAAAATGGAGATGGCTAGCCCAGGCCACGTGTACAGGTGTTAGGGGAGGGACCGACCGTGGAGCTAAGAAGTATGTGGCAGACGAGGATGTTTTGACTGCACTTAACAGGCAGTTGCACTAGTTTAAATGGTGAAAAAGAATTAGCCCGTTCACCAGTTCTGGAAGGAGGTGGCTGTAGGGTTATATAGTCAGTGGCTCAACAGCATCATCATAAGTCTAAAGTTTTCCAGCCACAGTGTGTGACTTTATTCTCAGGCTGCCCTCCCCGCCTCGGGTGGCAGGCTAAATACATTGATTTAGACAGCAAGCCAGATGTTACAGTCTCCAGTAGAAGGGGGACACCTTGTTCCTATGCTCTTTTAAGAAAACAAATCTTAATACACATCATGAAAAAAGTATACAAATCAAGTGTAGTGGTTGAATTTTCAGAGATCAAATAACCATAACCAGCACCCTGATTACAACCCTATACCCCAGGGATCCCCCTTGTGCCTCCTTGCAGTCACTGCCCACCTCCTCTGCATAGGGTAACTGATGTCCCTGAATTCCATAAGTTAATTTTGACTGTTCTTGTTCAGTGTTAGTGGAGTAATATCTTGTGTGCTTCTCTGTGTTTGGCATTTCAGCATTGTTAGGGAGATCCATTCATAACTGCACGTAAAGTGTTCATCAATTGCATGAATATACCACATGCTATCCATTTTATTGTTGATGGGCATTTGGGCAGTTTCTGGTAATTGGCTTTTACAGTAGTGGGGTTGTGACTGTGTGTGCATATTCATTTCTACTGATTGTGTAACCACACAGTGGAATCCTGGCAACAGAAGATGGGCAGCTTGTCATTTTACACTCCGACCAGTAACATAGGATTCGGTTCCATGTCCTCACCTGCACTTAACTGTCGTCCATCTTTCATCTTAGATGTTTTGGTGGGTGTGTAGTGGTGTAATACTGTGATTTTAATTTGCATTTCCATAGGTTGATTAGGGATATTTAAATTGAGTATCTTTTCATAAGTTTATTGACCACTTGGATATTCTCTTTTGTGAAGTGCCTGTTTAAGTCTTTGTTGTTTTTCCTCCTTTTTTCTGTTGAGTTAAATGTCTTACTCATTTGTAGAAACTTTTTTGTTTGGTGTTGTGGATATGAATTATTGGTTGGACATATATATTGCAAGTATCTTCTCACACTCAGTGGCTTGCTTTTTCACTTTTTAAATTTTCTATTCACAAACAATTTACTTATTTTAATATAGTACAATTCTTGAATTTTTTTCTTTGTGGTAAGCACTTTTTGGATTCTGTTCATAATATATGCCTACTCTGAGGTCACCCAAATGTTCCATGTTTCATCTAAAGTTTTTTTGACTTTGACATTTCTACTTGCAGTCTGTCTGGGATTGGTCTTTGTATTTATTGTGAGATAAGGTGTATGATTCATAGTGGATGTCTGGTTGACCCAGTTCCATTTAGTAAAGGTATATTTTCTCCATGCACCACAGGGTCACCCTTGTCAGAAGTTAGGTGACTGAATGTTGGGTCAGTTTCTGATTTCTCTGCTAGTTGGGTTGTCTATATGTAGCTTTATTTTTTATTGTTGTACATAGCCTTTTGGTAGGCACTGATAGCTGGTAGTATGAGTTATCTAGTTCTGTTATCCCCTATAATCCCTTTTTAGAAGTGAATGATAAAGCAGCAAATCTCAATCTATGTCAATAGGGAAGTAAAACAAGAAAAAGTGGTAAAGTCAGTGAGATGGACCCCTTAAGGAGAGAGTAGGAATAGTTCAGCAAGTAAGATGGAATGAGAGCAACAAGTAAGGTGGGGAGAGAGTTGGGCGCTTGAATCAGTGATTTGGAGTTTGAACACTGTTGAGTGGTGTTTAGTTCCCGCAGGTGCCATAGTGGGTGGCTGAGCTGAGGTAGAAGAAGCAAGCCACTGAAGAAAAGGACACTAGGAAGCTGAGAGACAAAAGTGTTAGATCAGTTAGTACTGAACAGTTAACAAAGTCCATTCTCTAGCAAAGAATCCAACTTAGTATCTACCTTAAAACAGAACAGAATTGTTATCTTCATTTTACAGATGAGAAAGTGGGTCCCGGGCACTTTTTTTATTTTTATTTATTTATTTTTTATTTTTTGACAGGCAGAGTGGACAGTGAGAGAGAGAGACAGAGAGAAAGGTCTTCCTTTGCCGTTGGTTCACCCTCCAATGGCCGCCGCGGCCGGCGCGCTGCGGCCGGCGCACCGCGCTGATCCGATGGCAGGAGCCAGGAGCCAGGTGCTTTTCCTGGTCTCCCATGGGGTGCAGGGCCCAAGCACCTGGGCCATCCTCCACTGCACTCCCTGGCCACAGCAGAGAGCTGGTCTGGAAGAGGGGCAACCGGGACAGAATCCGGCGCCCCAACTGGGACTAGAACCCGGTGTGCCGGCGCCGCTAGGCGGAGGATTAGTTGAGCATAGCTTAGCTCATGTGTTGCATCAAAGACCTGAGAGTTACAGTTTTGAAGATCAGAGGTCTTGCTGAAATGCAAAAGTAGTGTAGAGAAACATGTAAATATTAAGAAAGTATGCATAGATAAGATGTTGATAGGAAGTACTCCAGAAATGTTAAAAGTACTTATTCCTGGGTAGTTGTGATTGTGACTCTGGGTGAGTTTTTCCCCTTTGTTTTACTTTTCTGTATTTTCCAAATTTCCTATAATGGACGTCTGTGGTATTGATTTTTAGCAATTCAGATGTATTTTTTGATTAGATGCCATACATAGAAAATTCAAAAAGTACAAGTGGATACGTACTATATAATATTTTTGTAACAAGAGAATAAAAATATTTATATATTTTATTTTTCATTTTAGAAATGCACTTGGTGATGGAAAGAGAGCCATTATTCTGAAGAACAACTGGCCTAAGGTAGGCTCTTCTGTGTTTTACATTGAGCAAATAATGCTGTATGGCTTTTTTTTAAGATTGTATTTATTTATTTATTTGAAATGCATAGTTACAGAGAGGAAGGGAGAGATAAGGAGAGGTCTTCCATCTGCTAGTTCACTCTTCAAATGGCTGCAACAGCCAGGCTGTGCTAGCCTGAAGCCAGGAGCCTCTTCCAGGTGTCCCCCATGAGTGGCAGGGACCCAAGCTCTTGGGCCATCTGCTGTTTTCCCAGGCACATTAGCAAGGAGCTGGATTGGAAGTGGAGCAGGTGGGACTTGAACTGGTACTCATATGTGATGCCAGTGTTGAAAAATCTGTTTAAATGATATGTTGACATTGTGGATGCAATTATGCTGAACTGAGGAATAGGAAAGGGAATCTTCAGTACCCTGGTCAGAGTGGGTACTCAGGACAGCTGTGAGAATATCTGCATGTGTGCCTGTGTGTGTGGGAACACAGGAGCATCCACAGGCAGTCTTGGTGAACCTTAGCAATGGAGAAGTGAAGTCTACTGGGTGGGTGTGCCTAAATGTGAAAAGGAAACTTAGAAAACTGGAGAGAAATAGAGGAGACTGTCTTTGTAACCTTGATGCAAAAGGATTTCTTAAGTAACATACAATGTACAAATCAGCAGTGGATGCTAAAAGACCCTCTTGATACGTATGACTATATCAAATTTTAAAGACACTCAAAAGACACCATGAATGAAATTCTTTTGGAGAAGATGATAGGCATATATATAACATAATTGATAGGATTTATATCCAGAATATGCAAAGAACTCCTAAAATAAATAAGAAACCCAGTACAAAATGGGCCAATAAAGCACACAAGCATTTCACAGAAGAGTAATCTCATATGGCTAGTAGAAATATGAAACTGTCCTGTTTCCTAGTAATTAAAATTAGAGGGAGTTGGTACAGATAGAAAAGTAAAAGATTGCCATAGAATAGAATAGAGGGCTTCTATACACAGCTACATACATGTGAGTAGATAAACCAGTGATATTGGGCGCTTCAGGCTGGCAAAAATTGAAGAGACCTATAGTCTGGAGCGTTGGTAAGTGGATGTAGTGACAAACCCTCAGTGACTTGGAGTACACAGTGCTTACAGCACATTTAGAGAGCACAATGATGTGCACACCCCATAATTACTTGTTTCTGTGTGGAGTAAGGTGGCTTTTCCCCCCATAACCTCCCTCCCACCCGCAACCATCTCATCTCCCACTCTCTCTCCCATCCCATTCTTCATTAAGATTCATTTTCAATTATCTTTATATACAGAAGGTCAACTTAGTATATACTAAGTAAAGATTTCAACAGTTTGCAACCATACAGATATACAAAGTATAAAGTACTGTTTGAGTAGTAGTTTTGCCATTAATTCACATAGTACAACACATTAAGTACAGAGATCCCACATGGGGAATAGTTGCACAGTGACTTCCATTGTTGATTTAACAATTGACACTCTTATTTATGACATCAGTAATCACCCGAGGCCCTTGTCATGAGCTGCCAAGGCTATGGAAGCCTCTTGAGTTCACAAACTCAGATCCTATTTAGACAAGGCCATAGTCAAAGTAGAGGTTCTCTCCTCCCTTCAGAGAAAGGTACCTCCTTCTTTGATGACCCGTTCTTTCCTCTGGGATCTCACTCACAGAGATCTTTCATTTAGGTTTGTGTGGTGGTGTTTTTTTTTTTTTTTTCCACATTGTCTTGGCTTTCCATGACTGAGAAACTCTCATGGGCTTTTTAGCCAGATCAGAATGCCTTAAGGGCTGATTCTGAGGCCAGAGTGCTGTTTGGGACATCTGCCATTCTATGAGTCTGCCGTGATCCCACTTCCCATGTTGGATCGTTCTCTTTTTTAATTCTTTCAGTTATTATTAGCAGATAGTAGTCTTGTTTATGTGATCCCTTTGACACTTAATCCTATCATTATGATCAATTATGAACTTAAACTGATCACTTTGAGTAGTAGGATGGCATTGGTATGCCACCTTGATGGGATTGAATTGGAATCCCCTGGCACGTTTCTAGCTCTACCATTAGGGATAAGTCCCCGAGTGAGCATGTGCCAAACTGTACATCTCCTCCCTCTCTTATTCCCACTCTTATATTTAACAGGGATCACTTTTCAGTTAAATTTAAATGACTAAGAATAATTGTGTGTTAATTAAAGAGTTCAACCAATGGTATTAAGTAGAACAGAAAAATACTAAAAGGAATAAAATAGTAAGTTGTTCCTCAACAGTCAGGACAACAGCTGATCTAATCATTGTTTCTTATAGTGTCCATTTCACTTCAACAGGTTTCCTTTTAGGTGCTCAGTTAGTTGTCACCGATCAGGGAGAACATGCGATATTTGTCCCTTTGGGACTGGCTTATTTAACTCAGCATGATGTTTTCCAGATTCCACCATTTTGTTGCAAATGACCAGATTTCATCTTTTTTTTTTACTGATGCATAGTATTCCATAGAGTACATATCCCATAATTTCTTTATCTAGTCTTCTGTTGATGGGCATTTAGGTTGATTCCATGTCTTAGCTATTGTGACTTGAGCTGCAATAAACATTGAGGTACAGACAGCTCTCTTATTTGCCAATTTAATTTCCTTTGGGTAAATTCCAAGGAGTGGGATGGCTGGGTCATGTGGTAGGGCTATATTCAGGTTTCTGAGGAAACTCCAAATTGACTTTCATAGTGGCTTTACCAGTTTGCATTCCCACCAACAGTGGATTAGTGTCCCTTTTTCCCCACATCCTCACCAGCATCTGTTGTTAGTTGATTTCTGTATGTGAGCCATTCTAACCGGGATGAGGTGAAACCTCATTGTGGTTTTGATTAGCATATCCTGATGGCAAGTGATCCTGAACATTTTTTCATGTGTCTGTAGGCCGTTTGGATTTCCTCTTTTGAAAAATGTCTATTGAGGTCCTTGGCCCATCTCTTAAGTGGGTTGTTTATTTTGCTGTTGCGGAGTTTCTTGATCTCTGTAGATTCTGGTTATTAACCCTTTATCAGTTGCATAATTTGTAGATATTTTTTCCCATTCTGTCAGTTGCCTCTTCACTTTTCTGACTGTTTCTTTTGCAGTACAGAAACTTCTCAATTTGATGTAATCTCAGTTGTTAATTTTGGCTTTGACTGCCTGTGCCCCTGGGGTCTTTTCCAAGAAGTCTTTGCCGGTACCTATATCTTGCAGGGTTTTTCCAATGCTCTCTAATAATTTGATGGTGTTGGGTCATAGATTTAGATCTTTAATCCATGTTGTGTGGTTTTTGATTTATCCCTTGTATACAAGGATGTTTCAATGTTCGCAAATCAATCAGTGTGATACACCACATTAACAAACTGCAGAAGAAAAACCATATGATTATCTCAATAGATACAGAGAAAGCATTTGATAAACTACAACACCCTTTCATGATGAAAACTCTAAGCAAACTGGGTATGGAAGGAATATTCCTCAATACAATCAAAGCAATTTATGAAAAACCCACGGCCAGCATCCTATTGAATGGGGAAAAGTTGGAAGCATTTCCACTGAGATCTGGTACCAGACAGGGATGCCCACTCTCACCACTGCTATTCAGTATAGTACTGGAAGTCTTAGCCAGAGCCATTAGTAAAGAAAAAAAAATTAAAGGGATACAAATTGGGAAGGAAGAAGTCAAACTGTCCTTCTTTGCAGATAATATGATTCTTTGTTTAGGGGATCCAAAAAACTCTACTAAGAGACTATTGGAACTCATAGAAGAGTTTGGCAAAGTAGCAGGATATAAAATCAATACACAAAAACCAACAGCCTTTGCATACACAGGCAATGCCATGGCTGAGGAAGAACTTCTAAAATCAATCCCATTCACAATAGCTACAAAAACAATCAAATACCTTGGAATAAACTTAACCAAGAACGTTAAAGATCTTGACGATGAAAATTACAAAACCTTAAAGAAAGAAATAGAAGAGGATATCAAAAAATGGATAAATCTTCCATGCTCATGGATTAGAAGAATCAATATCATCAAAATGGTGTATGTTATTTGTAACGTGAGTACAGGATACAAACTAATAAGCCTCAGAAATGTCCTCAAGAACTTTTTAATTTTGAAGGGCATGTTGAAACTATTTTGTTTGCAAATGACAAAACCTGACTCTGATTTGGTTTAAGTAGAAAAAGGAGTTTGTGGGGCTGGCGCTGTGGCGTAGGTTAAGCCTCTGCCTGAAGTTTTGGCATCCCATATGGGCACTGGTTCAAGCTCCGACTGCTCCACCTCTGATCCAGCTCCCTGCTAATGCGCCTGGGAAAGCAGCAAAAGATGGCCTAAGTACTTGAGCCCCTGAACCCATATAGGAGACCTGGAAGAAGCTCCTGGCCTACTTGTTGTGGCCATTTGGGGGATCTCTCTCTGTCTCTCTGTCTCCTTTCTCTCTTTCTGTAGCTCTGACTTTCAAATAAGTAAATAAAGAAATCTTTGAGAAAAAAAAGGGAGTTTATTGACTAATACAACTGAAGAGTCCAGTGGTTAGCCTCAAGAGTGATTGGACCCAGGGCTGTACACATTTTTTTTTTCCTGTTTCTCAGCTTTGCTTCCCTCTTTTATCAGTTTTGTGTTGTCTTCTTTCTTGCTTTTCTCACTCTGATTTTATCTAAGTTATATTGTTTACTCAAGTACACTGATTGTCTTCTCCAGTGTCTGATCTGTCTTAATTTATCCAATATATTTTTCATTGTAAATGCTATAGTTTTCATCTCTAGAAGATAAATTTGTTTTTTTTTTATATTTCATGTTTCTTAATATGTCCAGTTTTTCTAGCTTCTTGGATATATAGAACATAACTATAGGAACTCTTTTAGTGCTCTTTTCTGCTAGTTCTGTCATCTGTGTCATTTGTGGTTGTTTTCAGTTGATTGGTTTTTCTCATTGTAGATCATATTTTCCCTCTTTGCCAAACTGATAATTTTTGGCTGGGTGCCAAACATTGTGAGTTTCGGTGCTGGATGTTTTCCGGTAAATGTTCTTGAGCTTTGCTTCAGGATGGGTGGAGTTACTGAGAAACAACTGAGTTCCTTGGGTCTTAAGCTGTGTGAGTGGGACCATGAGAGCTTGTGTCTGGTCCTTTAGTCTTCGTCACTGAAGCAGACCGTTTCTGAATTTCATGAATTCGGACATTTTCCAGTCTGGTTGGTAAGAACAGGAGTTATTCCTGGCTCTGTGTGAGTGCCGGCTGTTATTTCCGGTTTGCCTGTGACTGAGTCTTTTCCTGATCTTGGGTGGTTGCCCCAGCGCATGTGCTCATCAGTCTCCATTATAGCCTCACAGGGGTCCCTCTCCTGTTTCCTCTCTCGGCAGCTCTCTCTGCTCCGGTCCCCTGCCCCTAAACTTAAGCTGCCTTGGTGCCCTGGACTCGGAACTGTGTCTCTCTGGCTCAGACAGATCGCCAGTTGCCCAGGCTCCATCTTCCTGTGCTGAGCCTTGGGGAGCTCTGCTTTGTAAGCTGGAGCTAACAAGGGGCTTACTTGGTGTGTTTTTTTCCTTTAAGCATCATTCTCTTTTGTTACCCAGTGTTCAAGATCTTGCTAGCGATGTTTTCCTGTCTTTTGTCTTTGTTTGAGGTAGGAGGGTAAATCCAGTTCCTGTTATTCCATCTTGGCCAGAAGTGAAAGGGCATAGGCCCATGTGGCTTCATTTAAAAAAGACTTTTCCTGTGTGGTAGGAGTCCCATCCTGATGCCCTTCAGTGTTATTAATTCCAATGAAAAAAGAATCTCAGTGTGTATCTGGTAAACCTGAGAGATGCCCTGACCTCTCCTCAGTCATAGCCTATTTGCCCTGGTTGGGTTGGAAGACCAAGAACCCCCAGTACTGCCTCGACTGTAAGGATTAGGGACTTGATGGCCCCTGAATTAGAAGATGTTAGGCAGCCAGGGCTGGGGTAGGCTGAAGCCAGGAGCCAGGAGCTTCATCCAGATCTCCAGCATGGGTGGGGGCCCAGGGACTTGGGCCACTTTCTGCTGCTTTTTCCAGGCCATTAGCAGGGAGCTGGGTCAGAAGTGGAACAGTTGGGACTCGAACCAGCACTCAAGTGGGATGCTGGCATCGCAGACAGTAGGTTTACCTGGTACACCACAGTGCTGGTCCTAATAAAATACACTCTTTTCTCAAACAGCAGAAGTGACACTGGGTTTTGTAAGTTTTAGGGTAAAGGATCCAGTGAAACATAAGAAAATTTAGGGGGAAGGGTGGAAAAAATGTGTTCTCTTCAAATTCTTAGGTATGGTTATTTCTTGTGATTATTTTCTAGGCTAGCTGTGTTTTGTGGGTTTTTTTTTTGTTTTTTTAGTTGTCTGAATTTTTAGGTTGACAGATATCTAATGGGTGGTATTTTGACCTTGTAGCATATCTGAGAGAACTCTATCTTACACCTCCTCAGGCGTCAGGAAACAGGGCCTGCACACTTTAAGGAGAAAACAGAGTTTAACAAAATGAAATTTGAGGTGGGCTCCCAGAAGTAAGCCTAAATAGCTGAGCTGCAGGGTTCTAGAATTCGTAGGCTTGAGTCTTAGAGTAGGAGTGTTTATGCACCAACCCTGCATCAACACATGTCACATGATTTTCTCTGCTTTCTTTAGTAGTAACCTGACCTTTCTTAAAAGGCTCACTTATTTTTAATATTGTATTTTCTCCTAGATTCTCATTCAATTAAAATGTCCTTTACAAAGTATATAATAAAGAAGAAAGAGTTTTGGACAAGATATCATAAAATCAGGGGTTCTTGATTTGCCTTTTAGTAAGTCTGGCGTTGGGCCTGTCTCTGCCCTCATTTCCTTGTCAGTCCCCTCTCCAGTGGAGATTGTGTGTCTACAGTGAAGTTAGGTTTGTGAGTAGCTAGGAAGGGGGCTTATTGAGTTAGCCTGGGTTTCATGCCCTTCGCTTTCCAGATTAAAATGTTTATGCTTCATATAGAAAAGTTCCCAAATGAGTAAATGGAACCAGTGAGGGTTTGGCTTCTATAGCAAACAAAAAAGACCAAAAAAAAAAAACCCTTGTCATTGGAATTCATAGTAAGTCAGTGGTTTTTTGACTGTTTCTTAAACCCAGGGATAAAATCATTGAAAGCTGGTTGGAGGGAGCAAGAGGGCTTCTATAGCAAACAAAAAAGACCAAAAAAAAAAAAACCCTTGTCATTGGAATTCATAGTAAGTCAGTGGTTTTTGGACTGTTTCTTAAACCCAGGGATAAAATCATTGAAAGCTGGTTGGAGGGAGCAAGAGGGCTGGAGGGTCTGGCCTGTGTGCGCCCTTATCTGTGCCTGTGCTTTTTGGAGGGGATTGTTATTCCAGCTCCAGAAGTCTTTGCTGTGCAGAACGTAGGGAATATAATGACTTAGAGACTGTTACTTCTGCCCTGATGTGTGTTGAAAAAATTGTTACTCCTTTATAATGAATTTCGTACTTTATTTGACACAACATGTTATACTTCATCTTTCTTAGTAAAATAAAACAAAAGTTGAATTTTTTCCTAGAGGTGCAGCAATCTCTAAAGGAAAAATATTGATCTATAGCCAGTTGTTAAAAATTATTTGCCTGTTTGTAACTTTTCACTTAGCTCATTAGAGGATTTATTTTCTGAGATATTAACATTTTTGTTTATTTTACATTGATGAGGCCTAATCTAACATTTTAAGCAAAATACTCTTCCTTATCTTTTTTTTAACTTGAGCATATTTTTGAGAAAAAATTAAATTTATCTTTTTGGAACAGGGTCATTATCGTTATTGTGATGCTCTTTCTATGCTGGGGGAATATGACTGGGCCCTGCAAGCAAACATAAAAGCTCAAAAACTCTGTAAAAATGACCCTGAGGGAATCAAGGAACTAATTCAGCAGCATGTAAAGTTACAAAAACAAATAGAAGACCTACAAGGTATTTCACCTAAAATTCTTTTGGTTAAAGTCAAATTCCCTTTAAGACATTTGAAGGTGGGTTTCTTGGATTCATGGAGAACTATAAATCAATACTGAGTTGACTTGTACCTACTCTGTTATGTTATCTTGCTCAGGTCACTTAAGTTTTCCATTTTTGTCTGTATAGAATTAGTGCTATAATCCATTAGGTAGTTGTACATGATTTAAATTATTTAATTGAAACAGTCTGCAACAAAATTATTGTTATTTATTCTTCTGTAGGAAAATATCCCTTCCAGAAATTCTGAATAAAATAAAGATTTTTTGAAACAACTGTTTTAAGGTTTTCCCTCCATTATTAAGGGTTTTTCCTAAAGAAGAGCCCCATCAGTGGGTTGATATTTTTGTACCAGGGTTGCAGCCAATTCTATAGCATGCTGAACATGAAGACACACATATGGCAGAAATTGGCTGTGCAGGCTTAGGAGTTGGGGATTTTCCTTCTCCCATGTTTTCTTTCTTAAGTCATCTTGCTTTCTCCAATGCCTGAAATTCCCTCAGTGTGTACATTCAGCCTATGAGTCTTTCCTGTTCTTTCTTCTTTGGGTATTTAACATCTGTAGAGCTGAGCTGAGCAGTTCGGTTTCACTGGCAGATGTTGCCATCCAGTATAATGTAATTCTGAGATTGTGAGCTCCTTGAAGACAGGTATCATCTCAGACGTGAATTTATGTATGGCTGTCATCTTCCCAATGATAATATGAAATGGGATGTCACACAAGGTTTCTGTAACATTCTGTTGTCACTATACTAAAACCGAAGACATTTAGAAAGGAACAGTTGCTTAGATTTAGTTTTCAGCTTCCTAAATTTAATGTTTTTGCTGTCAACTTAAAGGAAATTTGAAAATATTTAGAGGTCTCTGTTGTCAGTCCATTGATTACTGTGTGTGTGTGTGTGTGTGTGTGTGTGTGATTGACTTTTATAGGTCGAACACCAACTAAGAATCCACTTAAAACCTTTTATGAAAGCAGGTGAGTTGACATCAGGTCAGTGGTTACTACTTGGAATGCCTTTGCCCATGCATTTAAGAATCATTTGCATTTGTGGACTGAGTGCTGATAGCAACCACAGTAGGGTTGGGGATGGAGGGAAGGCAGGTGGTTTTTCAAGTGTTCCTGCCTAAGCTCAGGTGCCCTACAAGTTGTCAGCTTCATTTTGCTGTTTGCTGAACCACCTGGGTGTGCGTATAGGAGATCGGTAGCCTGTGCTTGTGGGAAGAGAGGAATGAAACGTTAACTGCATGTTATGCTTGAATAGGACCAGGCTGACCATGGTGGTCCTGGTGGGAGAGAGCTGGGACACAGCCTGTGCCTTGTGCCTTTCCCTGCTGATCTGGACGCATCTGCCCCAGCCTCCCAATATCTTGGCAAAGACGAGGGCACTTCCTGTCGGAAATAGGCAGCAAAATCGATGAATATGCCCCCAAGAAGACAAACAGCAGCTAGGGTTCCACCTTTGCTTATTTGGCAATTGAAATAGATAAAGCTCTTTTCCATGTGGTGGCCTGATGCTTAAGATACTGAAGTTGTGACTTAGTTATTTTAATATTGGAACTCAGCATACTCATACTTTTCTTGAAATGATTTTGTTTGAGTTTAATACCAAATTTAAAACAATGTTATATATAAAGCCCCACTTCAGAGGTAGGAGAGCCTTTTTAAAGCGGTAATTCCTTGTTTTCAAGGAAAAAAAAAAACCTGATTGCTGCAGCCTATTTGAAGGATAGCATTTTAAAATGCATATTAATTAATAGGAATAAAATGATCATTCTTTATCCCTTCTCAGGGCCTATAATCCTAAGACTTTATCAGCACCTGCATTTAGTACTTCACTTAATTTTGTGGAGACAGAAAGAGATTTCAGAAAAACTGACCGCAAAATGGCAAACAGTGGTAATCAGAATATAAAGGTAAGTGCAGTTAAAGACCAACAGTACTTAAAGTATTGATCGTGGTTTTTTGTTTTTTGTTTTTTTTTGTTGTTTTTTTTTTTTTTTTTTTTTTTTTTTTTTTTTTTTTTTTACAGGCAGAGTTAGACAGTGAGAGAGAGAGAGAAAGGTCTTCCTTCCATTGGTTCACCCCCCAAATGGCCTCCACGGCCGGCGTGCTGAGCCAATCTGAAGCCAGGAGCCAGGTGCTTCTTCCTGGTCTCCCCTGCGGGTGAAGGGCCCAAGCACTTGGGCCATCCTCCACTGCCTTCCCGGGCCACAGCAGAGAGCTGGTCTGGAAGAGGAGCAACCGGGACAAAACTGGCATCCCAACCGGGACTAGAACCCAGGGTGCCAGTGCTGCAGGCGGAGGATTAGCCTAGTGAGCCGTGTGCCGGCTGATCATGTTGTATTTTTACAATAACATTTTGGTGATAATGGGAACCAAATATTGACTGATAACTAGTCCTTTTCTGCATATTGTTCTCAAGAGAATGATTCTCTTTTTATATAGCTACATAAAAATAGTATTTGAAAGTCACAGAACTTCTAAAATATTTTCTCTAAATGTCATTTTGCCACTTAGTCCTGTTGGTATGCCCTCCCCTTACATGTGTGTCACCATATGGTCACTTGGGAATAAGTAACAGAAGGTCTGGTGGCCAGATCAATCCTTCCCCTCAAAAATGTTCTGGATTTTTCTTTCCTTCTCTTTCCTATTTTGCAAGCAACATGATCAGCTCACATCACACCAGCCCACCTGGTACTGTGCTGAGGGGCCTGGCAGGCACTCCTTTCCCACTATACCCGTAGTATTTCTGTAGCCTCTCTTCCCCTGGACAGCAGTGGTCCTTGATTCCTGTCTGTCCCCAGCAGAAGTCTTGTTCTGATGTTTCCTTCAGAGCACCATGAGGCCTCTAGCCTGCCCTGACCAGGTGTGCCAGATGGCCATGTCTAAACTCTGAACTGTGGTGCACACAAAACTCAGCAGCTGTCACCCTCTCCACATTTGTACTTCTCCTCAGGGTTTGAGGAAAGAAAAAGAAAATGGTTTTTGGTGTTGTGAGTGATGGGCATTGAAGGAAACTTTTCCAACTCACTCTAGTGCTTTTTATAATACTGAGAATCTCTGAGGCTGCCTTCAACTAGGTTGAGGAGCATAGGGAAAAATGAGATAATTTTTTTTAACGATTTATTTTGTTTATTTGGAAGACAGAGCTACAGAGAGAGGTAGGGACAGAGAGCGAGGTCTTCCATCTGCTGATTCACTCCCCAGATGGCCGCAACGGCTGGAACTGTGCCAATCAGGAGTCAGGAGCCTCTTCTGGGTCTCCCTCGTGGGTACAGGGGCTCAAGGACTTGGGCCATCTTCTATTGCTTTCCCAGGCCGCAGCAGAAAGCTGGATCAGAAGTGGAGCAGCCAAGTCTCAAACCGGCACCCATATGAGATGCCAGCATTTCAGGCCAAGGCGTCAACCTGCTGCGCCACAGTGTTGGCCCCGGGATCATGTTATTTCATTAAGAACATATTGAACAACTGTCATGTGCCACACCTCATGCTGGCAGCAGAAATAGAACTTGTCATATCCCATCATAATCTCTTATCATTAGGTATTATTTTGTGTGTTTATATGTTTAGGCTTAATAACCAGCTGCATATTTTAGGTGCTTGGGTGAATTCTTCATGGCTGTGTTTTTTGAAAGTCTCACTGATTTTATTTTCCCGGGCAGGCGGTAGATGAGGCTTTGAAGGTGGATGATTGTGACTGTCACCCTGAATTTTCTCCTCCACCAAGTGAGTATCTCTTTCTTTTAGGGAAATTGTTGCCAAGTAAATGTAGAGTAGACTCAATTTAAAAAAAAAAAAAGATTTTATTTATTTGAAAGAGTTGTAGAGAGAGAGAGATCGATCTTCCATCCACTGGTTCATTCCCCAAATGGGTGCAATCAGAAGTCAAGAGCCAGGAGCTTCTTTTGGATCTCCATGCTGGTGCAGGAGCCCAAGGACTTGGGCCATCTTTCACTGCTTTCCCAGGTGGTTGCAGAAAGCCATATCAGAGGAGGAACAGCCAGGACTAAACTGGTGCCCATATGGGATGCCGGTGCTTCAGGCCGGGGCTTTAACCCACTATGCCACATCACTGGCCCAGGTAGCCTCAATTTTTATGCCATAAAATTTGCACAAGCATTACTTCTATTGGCTGTTTTTTTTTTTTTTTTTTTTTTTTTAAGATTTATTTTATTTACTTGAAAGAGAGAGATAGAGACAGAGAGAGAGAGGTCTTTCATTTGGTTCACTCCCCGAATGGCCACAATGGCCAGAGCCAAGATGATCTGAAACCAAGTGCCAGGAGCTCCTTCTGGGTGTCTCATATGAGTGCAGGGGCTGAAGGACTTGGCCCATCCTCCACTGCTTTCCCAGGCCATAGCAAAGAGCTGGATCAGAAGTGGAGCTGGGGCTGGTGCTGTGGTGTAGTGCCAGCATCCCATATGGGCTCCAGTTTGAGTCCTGGCTGCTCCACTCCCAAACCAGCTCTCTGCTATGGCCTGGGAAAGCAGTAGAAGATGGCCCAAGTCCTTGGGTGTGGGAGACCTGGAAGAAGCTCCTGGCTCCTGGTTTCAGATCAGTGCAGCTCCGGCCATTACAGCCAATTAAGGAGTGAACCATCGAATAGAAGACCTCTCTCTCTGCCTCTCCTTCTCTATGCAATTGTGACTTTCAAATAAATAAATATTTAAAAAAGAAAGAAACCTAGCAGTTGTCTGCTTTCTTCGGGGAAAGAAAAAAGTGGAGCAGCTGGGACTTGAACCAGCGCCCATATGGGATACTGGTGCTGCAGGCCAGAACTGTGCCAATTCAAAGCCAGGAGCCAAGAGCTTCTTCTGAGTCTCCCATTTGGGCGCAGGGGCCCAAACACTTGGGTCATCTTCTACTGCTTTCCCAGGCCTTAGCATAGAACTGGATTTGAAGAAGAGCAGCCGGGACTAGAATCAGTGCGCATATGGGATGCTGGCGCCACAAGGCAGAGGATTAACCTACTGCTCCACAGTGCCGGCCCCCAGGCCTTTAACCCACTGTGCCACAGCATCAGCTCCTACATTGTTCTCATTGTACATTATGGTATTTCTATATTAACAGAGTAATGAATGTTTATTTCAAGTCAGTGCTAAGTTGCTCATGAATTTTCATTGTTGAAAGTGTATTGTTGCCTCTGTCCAAAACTACCCTGTTTTCTGATTGGCCTCCACTACAAAATGTTAATATCACAAATACTATTTATCTGCCTATGGACTATCTGTGCATATGTTTTATATGTGCTTAACATATAAAAGGAAGTACATTATTTTCATCTTTCAGTAATTGATTTTCACCTTATTGGGATTGATACTGCACCCTTGAAGAATGGATTCTCTCTAGCCCATTTTGAACTGCTCTAACAAAAGCAGCAAACCGCATAGCTTAAAAACATTTAGTTCTTACATTTCTGGAGGCTGGGAAATCCACTATCATGGCACCAGAAAATTCAGTGGGGGTGTTCCTCGTCCTGGTTCACTGATAGATAGCCATCTTCACTGTGTGCTCACATGGCAGAAGGGGCAAGAGAGCTTGCTGGGACCTCTTCTTTGCTCTGAGGACACTGACCCCATTCCTGAGGGCGCTGCCTCATGACCCAGTCACAGCCAAAGGTCAACCTCCTAGTGCTGTCACCTTGGGGATCAGGTGTTCACATAGGAATCTTGGGGCAGAGACTCGAACGTTCAACTCCAACATGCTTTAGGCTAGTTCCTGTTGAAGTTGAATACGCCCAGTGCGTGTGTGTGTTTATGCAACTGGTAAACGTGCAGACATGCTCACTACTTAGCTTCTCTGGAGATGAACGTTCCAGAGAAGCGCGTTTTCATGCTTCATTTTTTCTCTTTTCCTTTAAATATATTTTTAAACTCTTGTTTTATTTTACTTTAAAGTGGGCGAGAGAGAGAGAGATCGATCGATCTCATTTGATGGTTTATTCTCCAGATGGCCACAATTGCTATGGCTGAATTAGGCTGAAGCTGGAGTCCAGAAACTCCCATCTGGCTCTCCCTGTGGGTGGTATGGATCCAAGCACTTGTGCCATCCTGTGTTGTTTTCCATGGTGCACATTAACAGGAAGCTGGAATTGGAAGTAGGACTGGGACTGAAAACTAGGCACTGCAATACGGGATGCAGGCAGCCCAAGCGGCATCCTGTGGCTGCACCAAACACCTGCCCCTTTGTTTATTTCTTTATCTCCATTTATACTACAAGATTTTGATGAGGACTTTAGGACTATATGCTTACATGCTTTCCTGCATGAAATTAAGTTAGAGCAGTTATTTATCTCCAGCATTCCTGCGATGTTTCTTGGGTTACTGTGGAGAGATGCTTGGTCTTCTCTCCTCAGAAATGCTGTTGCTTTGTTTCTTTTCTCCTAAGTGTGTTGCTTCTAGCATTCACTGTGTCCTTGCCTGCCCACAGCTGTTTAGTATTGGGCACTTTTATTTTGTTCACTTTTACCATAATTTTAGGGTAGGAGACCCTGGTGGTTATCTCATCTGATGTAATTCTAACAGCCTTTGAAACATCTTTGAAGATAAAAAAGTTTTTTTTTTTTTTTTTTTTTTTAGAAGACAGCCTTTAATTTATAGATTTTCCAACAATTTAAGTATTGTTCACGCTTCAGATGAAGACATTGAGGTTCCAAGGTTAGGGTTAAATGTTTTGCCTGGTGTCACACAGCCAAAATCGAACTGGAACTCTTCTGCCTTCCCAGAAGTATTTCTCTCTTTCTGAGGCAACCATAGCCAGCTCAGGCTCCCACTCCCTCCTGCACTGGCTGTGACTTTCCTGTGCTCTCATCCAGACCCTCCAGGTGGGCCCTGGCCCTCCGGCTGTCCATACTCACACTTCCACCCGGCTGGGAGCTTGCACTCCCCTGACCAAGAACATGCTGAGGCCGCCCACACGGCTGCTAGGAAGGCGGAGCCTGCACAGCTGGAGAGCAGAGTGAAAATGATAGGGACACCAGGGCCTTGGAAAGGAACAAACACATGGGAAAGAGAAAGCATGTCGTGTAACTTGCCAGGAACCCTGGGGGAGAGGGGGAGGAGACTCCAGGTGGAGAAACAGACAGTGTAATCTTCAGGTGTTGTTGAGTTGGCCAAGGTGACCTGACTGAGCACTCTTCACACTTCTGTGCAGAACAGGCTACTCCAGTATCAGTTCCCTGATTGGTTCATGTGGCCTATCTCATTAGCATACACTTTCAGTTATCCCTTCCTGCTGATTGGCTGTTACTATGGCTTCCTAATTGGTCATTATCCCTTCCTTCTGATTAGTTCTCAATCTGTCCCTCCCCTTAACTGGGGAAATCTTTACTTTCTTTTCAGAAAGGGGCAATCAGAGAAAGCCACTTTGTTGTAAAAGAGCTGCTCTGGCAGCTGCTCCCGTGGAGTCCCCCTCCTGACTGCTGAGACAGGTTTCCTGCTCTCGGTAAAAATCTCATGTGCTCACCTTGAGACAAGAGCAGAGATAGCCCTCATCGTCCCACAACAGAAAGTCTATAAATGAACACCCCACCCTGTCTTTGCAGCCCGTTCCCACCTTGCAGCCTTGTGAGCTCCTCACATCACCCATGCACAGTATTTCTCAGAAGAGCTCCACTCTGGGTTCTGGCTGTTCTGTTCCAGTCCTGCTTATTCCTCAAAACCACACATCAGCACTGCATTCTCACAAATACTGTCGCCTCCCATTCCAGCTTATGTGATTCCCTTTCTGGGACTAAGGGAGTACCATGTCAGTAACAACACTGCGTCTTCTCTTCATCACTACAGAAGTAATGTTTCTTTCCATCCCATCTGATTGTAAGCTACCTGAGCATAGGAGCTGCCCCGTGCCTCTCCATATCGGCTATAGACCTAAATAATAATACTTACTGTAAGTTCTCTTTCTAGTCATTTTACACCATACATGGGAAGCTTGCATCAGGTACTTTTTTGTCTCACCTACTCGCAGTTACATTCACACAGTATTGCTTCTTTCACTTATATTCCAATGTAAGTGTTTTTACTTTACTCTGGAGTTTGCAGGTTTCTGTGTGTAGACTTCATGAACGGATGCTTTTGTATTCACAGGTCAGCCTCCAAAACATAAAGGAAAGCAAAAACCTCGAAATAACGAACCAGAGAAGCCCAGGTGTGTCTTCTCTGATTGTACAGGGACTTCATCAAGATCGCATTGGATCTGGAAATTAATTTGGGGGAATCTGCATCCTGGGGTCTTGAATGAGCCTCAGTACATGTATATAATATATGTATATATTGCCTATGTAAATAGGGCTGTTTTACTTGAAAAAGATTCAAAACAACTGCTTTTTCTCCTTTAGTTCTAGTTCACAGTTGACGTTACCAGTAGATTTGAAAAACATCTTAGAGAAACAATTCTCTAAATCTTCCAGAGCTGCACACCAGGTAATGGAGAAGGCTTTTCCAGCGGAGTAGCAAACTGTGAACAAAATGTTTTTCCATTAATAATGTTCTTGTTATGTATGTCTCAAATTATTTTTTTAAGAATTTTATAGATCTACGATTCAATATTATGTTGCTAAAAAACAACACTGTCACTAAATTAAATGTTAGCACTGTCACTAAAGTAACAGTTAATGTAGTAATTGTATTATCGAGAGGTTTAACTAATGGTTAATACTGTTTGATTTCCAGTGATTTAACAATAATATTACCCTTAAATATTTTTCAGAGAATTAAAGCACTTCAAAATATTTAAGCACTTGTATATTTTATTATACATACTCTAAAATCATTAAAGATTTACCAACCTTTTTATATTTTGGATGATTTAGCACTAATATAACTTTGTATATAAAATTATTTTTTGTTATTTAGTGATGAAAATATATATTAACATGTAATAGAACCTCTGCCTGTCCAAAAAAAAAAAACATGTAATAGAATGCTTGTTTTAAAATCTATGGGTCATTTTAAAAATCAGTTAACAATCTTAGATTCTGTAACATATCTTACAAGAACTAAAATTTTCTTCTTTCAAGATTTATTTAGAGCAATAGAGAGAAGGAGTGTGGGGAAAAGAGAGAGATGGATCTTCGATTTACTGGTTCACTCCCCAGATGACTACAATAGCTAGGGCTGAGCCAGGCTGAAGCCAGGAGCCAGGAACTCCATCCTTGTCTCCGACATGGATTTCAGGAGCCCAACTATTTGGCCATCTTCAGCTGCCTTCCCAGGCTCATTAGCAGGAAGCTGGAACAGATGGGAGTGGTAGGGACTTGAACTGGCATTTCAGTATCAGATGCTGGCTGAACCTGCTGTGCCACAATACCAGCCCCGTAAAAACAGATTTCTAATCATTTTCATAAAATAATTTTTAGAATTTCTAACAGTTGGGGATATTTAAGTTAGGTTTTCCTATGTTGATTTTACTGACTGCAAACCATAAAGGACTTAAATAGAAGAGACAGCCTGTGAAGATAAAAAGACCTTTTAAATAAATATGAGAGTTATTTTTATGCCCTCACGTGTTCACTCACCACGTTTTGGTTGAGGCCCCACATGCTGAAGACGGAGTTGAGTTTGGTGGTGATGCGACTCTCTCTGCTCTGGTGGAACTTCCAGTACAGGTCGAGGGAAATAACTTCCACTGAAAACAAGAGCTGCAGGGTCTGTGTCTTCAGAATGAGGACGAGATTGAAATCTTATCAGGTTGTGCAAGACTAGTTATCTATGGGATAGCACATCACCAACTTCAAATGTATATCTGAAAATAAATATGGCTGTCACTGAGGTTTTAAAGTACTATGATAACAAAAACCAGCTTCACCTGAATTGCTTTTGTCCATGAGTAATTTAGAGAAAAGTTCTTCTGAACTTTTAATTCACTGGATGGACACCAGCAGGAAGCTTTTGTTAATTTGTAACCACTCTGCTTTTCCCTGCCTGCTTTGTGCAGTGGAATCTCCTTTTGAGTCTGTTTTGTTAGGAACAGTGAGGAATAGAACATGCATGCTTAGTTTTCTGCTCCACTGAATGGTGCACACATGTATGGTGTAAGGAGTGAGAGGATACTGCTGTTTCCCCAGGTGCATTAGCAGGGAGCTGGATTGGAAGTGGAGCATTTGAGTCTCAAACCAGCGCCCGCCCATATGGGATGCTCATCACAGGTGGTGGCTTTACTCACTATGCCACAGTACCGGACCCTCTGGAACTTCTGTGACATATAGATGTTGTCACGTTGCTAAAATCTGAGTTTAAACTGTGATATATGTTCACGAAAGTATTCAGATTACAAAATTTTTCTCATTTAAGAGCAGTTATAGCAATTTTATTACATTTTCTTATGTTCTTATGCATTTAACCTATTGGTCTATCTCCCAATAATTTCGTATAGTTATCTGTGGCAGGAGTATTTAAAGATTGAATTCTTCACCTCTTACTTTGGAATTAATGTTTCTTTTAAAGCAGGTTGGTGGTAGTTAACATCTCATAGTGATCAGTACATATTGCATGTTTTATTGCACCTAATTGTTCTAGTCCAAGCCAAGCAACTTACTTATATAAGTGCTGACTGGTGTTCTCTGTGTGTGTTCTTCAAACTTCAAAACAATGTCTGTTTAGTCTGGAAAAGCAAGTAAGGCTTAGCACCATGTTGTATAAAATGAACCACTCCTTCTTGCATGGGCAGCAGCAGATGTATTGGACTTCTGATGGTGAAGCAGTGTTCTTGTTTTATTTTACATTCTGTATTTTTACAAGAAGCAGAAAGAGAGAGTGAGCAAGCATCCATCTGCTGCTCTGTTCTCCAGGTACCCCAATGGCTGGGGCTCTGCCAGGGCTGAAGCTGGGAGCCAGGAACTCAGTCCAGGCCTTGCATGTGGGTGGCAGGGACTCAACCCCTTGAGCCATCACTGTTACTTCCTGTTGGCAGGAATGTGGAATACAGGAGCTGGAGCTTGGAATTGAACCCAGACACTCCAGTATGTGATGTGGGCATCCTGGCTGGCAGCCAAGCACTTTAATTTGTGCTTTAAATTTGCCGTGCTAAGAAAGGAATTTAATTAATAAAAGCTGGTTTGGGTGTTGATTTAAATTATTTAGTTTTACTGGTGAACTTAGCATTTTAGGCTAAAAATGTATAGATTTGGATGACTGAGAGAAGTTTTTTTGGCAGGATTTTGCTAATATAATGAAAATGCTGAGAAGCTTGATTCAGGATGGCTACACGGCCTTGTTGGAGCAGCGCTGCCGCAGTGCTGCACAAGCCTTCACGGAGCTGCTGAACGGCTTAGACCCCCAGAAGATAAAGGTGAAGTTCCTGCATCGTGCCTGGCTTACCAGTGCGGCTGCCCTGCAGCTGTAGAAGAGATAAAGGCTGTAACTTGTATTCACGTGGGTGTCTTCAAAAACATCATGGAAGATGCCCATGAAAAAGCTGTGGGTGGGCTTCAGAATGCTTTGTACCAGAATAAGCTGCTGCTTATTTTTTGTTTTCAAGTTTCTTTATTTGAAAGAGAGACACTGAGATAGACTGAAAGAGAAAGCTATCCTACCCACAATTACACTCTCCAGATGTCCAAAACAGCTGGGGCTGGGCAAGGCTGAAGCTGGGAGCTATAAACTCCATCTGGGTCTCCTGTCTGCATGGCAGGGGATAACTGAGTTAGCGCCTGCTACTTCCCAGGGTTTGCATTAGCAGGAAGCTGGAATCAGGAGCAGAGATAGGTCTTGACCCCAGGCATTCCAGTATGAATTGGAAGCATCCTGAACAGTACCTTAACCACCTCACCAAATGCCTGCTCCTAAACTTATTTTTTAAAGATTTATTTATTTATTATTATAAAGATGTATTTATTTATTTGAAAGAGTTACACAGAGAGGGAGAGGTCTTCTATCCGCTTGTTCACTCCCCAAATGGCCACAATGGCCAGGGCTGGGCCAAGCTGAAGCCAGAAGCCAATAGTTTCTTCTGGGTCTGCCACATGGGTGGCAGGGGCCCAAGTCCTTGTGCCATCCTCCTCTGCTTTCCCAGGCCATTATCAGGGAGCTGGATCAGAAGTGGAGCAGCCGGGACTGAGCCAGGGCTTACATGGGTGATTTAACCTGCTGCACCACAATGCCAGCCCCTTCCTAAATTTATTTTTTAGTTCCTTTTCCACAGCCTTTCAGGTCTCTCTAAGATTAGATGAATTTCCTCCAGGTTGTGGGAAGCAAGTAATATGCCAATTCAAACATCACAGTCACACTCAATTTATGATCAGTGTTTATACTCCTGTTAACTCTAGTTTGAGCTCATCAGAACTGTTATTTTTCTTTATTAACATATTTAATCACAGAATTAGAGTCACTTTAATCACATCTTTTCTTCCAGAAAATTTTAGCAAAGTACGTAAATAGCTTAGGCAAGGTTATAAGAAAGCATGTCTTTTAAAAAAAATTTTTTTAAAGATTTTATTTATTTGAAAGGCAGAGTTACAGAGAGTCAGAAGCAGAGAGAGAGAGAGAAAGGAAGGGAGGAAGGGAGGGAGGGTGGGAGGGAGGGTGGGTCTTCTATCTACTGGTTCACTCCCCAGATGACTGCAATGGCCGGAGATGTGCCAATCCGAAGCCAGGAGCGAGGAGCTTCTTCCAGGTCTCCCATGTGGGTGTAGGGGCCCAAAAACTTGGGCCATCTTCTACTGCTCTCCCAGGCCACAGCAGAGAGCTACATTGGAAATGGAGCAGCTGGTACTCGAACTGGCGCCCATATGGGATGCCAGCACTGCAGGCAGTGGCTTTACCCGCTATGCCACAGCGCGGGCCTCAAGCATATGACTTAATCTATTACTCTTACCCACGTTCATGCAAAAGAATGATTTTGCTTAAAAATTATTCTAATTTATCATGAACCATGCCCCAAGAAACTCTGGATTCTGTTGTATTAGAAATACTCAGTATAATATAACAACTTAGTTTTGTAAAATATGTTTGTTTTTTTTTTTTTTTTTTTTTTTTTTTTGACAGAGTTATAGACAGAGAGACAGAGAGAAAGGTCTTCCTTCCGTTGGTTCACTCCCCAAATGGCCGCTGTGGCCAGCGCTGCGCTGATCCAAAGCCAGGAGCCAGGTGCTTCTTCCTGGTCTCCCATGCAGGTGCAGGGGCCCAAGGACTTGGGTCATCCTCCACTGGCCTCCCAGGCCACAGCAGAGAGCTGGACTGGAAGTGAAGCAAGCAGGACTAGAACCCAGTGCCCATATGGGATGCTGGCGCCGCAGGCGGAGGATTAACCAAGTGAGCCACGGCGCTGGCCACAAATATATGTTCTTTTTTAAAAATTTTTTTAGGTTCATATTTTATTTGAAAGGCAGAGTTAAAGAGAGAGTGGGAGAGATCTCTCCCTCTGGTTCGCTGGTTTACTGGATCGCTGGTTCATTGCCCAAATGGATGCAACCAGGGCTGGGCTAGGCTGAAGCCAGGAGCCAGGAGGTTCTTCTGTGTCTCCTATGTGTGTGCAGGGAACCAAGCACTTGGACCATCCCCCACTGCTTTCCCAGGTGCATTAGCGGAGAGCTGCATCAGAAGTCTCTGGTGGCGGCTTAACCTGCCATGCCACGGCATTAGACCTATAAAAATTTTTTTCTAATATTTGACCTTCAGTTCTATCATATTGACTAGTGAGATTTTATTACACTGATTTTCCTGTTATGGCTAGAAGGTTTGTATTATGGAACTTAAGCAGAATTATGTTCACAATTTTTAACTAAGGCATTTTTATTGACAGCAATTGAATCTGGCCATGATTAACTATGTCTTAGTAGTCTATGGACTTGCCATTTCTCTCCTTGGAATAGGACAGCCTGAGGTAAGATGTGTAACAGAGGTAATAAGCAATTAAAATATGACTTTGAGTTTGTAAGATATATAGTAATTATCTGTGCTTTCTTGATAGTCTGAAATAGTTAAGTTTAAATTTGAGACAGATGTGGGGGCAAGAAGAACCAACACAACTGCTGGTACTGGGCCAGGCTAAAGCTGGGAGGCGGAACTCAACCCAGGCTTCCAGTGTGGATGGCAAGGATGCACCCTCCTGAGCCATTTCCCACAGCCTTTGGAGATCTGCATTAGCAAGAAGCCAGGAATCTAACTCAGGCACTCCAGGATGGAACGCAGGCATCTCAGCTGACGTCTTCACTGACCAATTACCCATCCCTAGTTTGTGAAGTTTATTTTCCCTTAGATTTAATTTGGTTTCCTGTTGGAAAAAGGCTATCCCAGGCAACCAGTGGGAATCTACTTTATATTTGTGTAACAAGTGAAGAATGGAATATATATATATATATATATGAAAGATTTACAAGCATAATGTTGAAGAAAAATTGCAGGGTGAGAACATAAACGTTATTATCCCACTTAGTACAATCTGGAAAACATATAAGCTAGTACCGTACATTGTTTGTGAATGTACATCTTGCAGAATAAAAAAATTGGATTATCCCTACATCAAATTAAGATACTGGCTAAATTTAATGATAGAAGTAGGGAATGGGCCTGGGGATGTTAATAGAGGACAGCTTTGTGTTGCTCTGTTTTATTAGAAAAGCAAAAGGAGAAATGATAGTGTTGGTATCAGAGTGCCGGCTAGGGCATACCTGGGTGTTTGATTATTTCTGGTGTGCAGGCTGCTCATCACTGCACGCGGTTTGTTGTTTTGGGTCTGAGCACCCTTCATTTCCACTGCTCCTGCTCTCTTGGAACATGTGTATAACACTGGGTGTTATAACTCTGCTCTCCATGGTTATTTTTTCTATAAATGTTTAAATGCTCTAAAAAGACCACAGATATACTACATCCTTCTACCAATGTAAGTTCCAAGCCTTGCTGGCTACATGATTAATTAACCACAGAGTGCTGCCTAACGGGGATCTAAGTTTTCCCTTGTGTTTAACTCTCCTCCAGAGGTCCGCAATGGCAGGGGTTTGTTTTTTATGTTCTTGGTGTGACAGATGAATGTCTTCCGTTAATGCCTAATTCTGTATTCCAATAGGTTGCTGAAAACAGGTTTTTGTTATTTTAATTTTGTTCTTGGCAGGACAATAATGACATCTTTTTTTTTTCCCTTATGGGAGTTGAATAAATAGCAATTACGTTTATGATTTACTGGAAAATGGTGAAGCTTTTTTTTTTTTTTTAACAAAAAAAAGAGAAAACATCTATTTATTTGAGAGACAGAGTACAGACAGAGGGAGACACAGAGAGAGATGTGTTCCATCTGCTGGTTCACTCCCCAAATGGCTGCAAGGGCGATCTGAACCCAGGAGCCAGGAGCTTCTTTTGGGTCTCCCGTGTGGGTGCCGGGGCCCAAGCACTTGCCATCTTCCACTGCTTTCCCTGCCATAATAGTAGGGAGCTGAATCAGCAGGGACTGGAACTGGCACCCATATGTGATACCAGCACCGCAGGCAGAAGCTTAACCTACTGTGGCACAGCCCTGGCCCAGTGGTGAAACTTTCTTTAAAAACAAAAACAAAACAAATAAACAAAAAAAACCACCCAAATAGGTATGGTAGAATTTAGTTGTTTAAAAGGATTTCATCAGAGTGGTCCCTTAAGAAAGCGCTGTGTTTACCCCAACTTAGTCCTTGCTTTAAACATTTTTGGAATTCCTTCTTTGGAACTGGTGTGTTTTCATAGTGACATTTCCTTTTCCACTCACAATGTGTTACTAGTTATTTCTTAAATCTAAGTATCTTTTAGATTTCTTCCAAAAACAAAACTCATTCAACGAATACAGGTTTCTGGTTGTTGAGAATATTTAAAAGAATGTATCCTAACATGTTAATTTTTGCTAAAGGACTTTTTTTAATGATAGAGTTTTCATCTGTTTTATGCCACAAAACATTGTGCCAACATCAGAATGCCAACTTTTTCAAGGGAGCAACATTTACTAAGATATATATTATAGTGTGTTTGACCAAAATCAGTCTTTTTTTAAAAAAACATGAATTCTCATCTCTTAGTACCAGCCAGACATATCTTTCATTGTCTGATGTGTTAAGCAGGGTTGGTTTGGATGTGTCTTCAGTGCCCATGTTATCAGAAATTCATACAATTTCTAAGAAAATGAAGTGCAAAAGGTGTACCTTTTCCATCAGAATTTTTGCGTATATGTGGTTGTCTTTAATATTATACAAGATGTATGAACCTGCAGATAAAATCTGTGCCAGTGTTTCCCTTTTCGTGGAAATGATCATTGTTCTCACTGTTACTGAAGGAATTATCTGAAGCTGAAAACCAGTTTAAGAGGATTATCGAACACTATCCCAATGAGGGACTCGATTGCCTGGCCTACTGCGGAATTGGAAAAGTGTATTTGAAAAAAAACAGGTTAGTGGAAATGACATTATTGTAATTTCTACCTGATCATTGATGATTCCTTTTCTGGAACTATTTCAAATCTTCTCTGTTATACACTGCTATAATTGCTGTTTTCTTTGAAAAATTTCAGTATCCATCTTAATTTTTAAAAAAGATTTCTTTATTTGAAAAGCTGAAATACAGAGAGAAAGGGAGATCTTCCATCCGCTGGTTCACTCCTCAAATGTCCTTAATAGCCAGGGCTGGGCCAGGCTGAAGCCAGGAGCTTCTTTCTGGTCTCCCTCTTGGGTTCAGGGTCCCAAGCACTTGGACTGTCCTCCACAGCTTTCTCAGGCCACTAGCAGGGAGCTGGATTGGAAATGGAGCAGCCAGGATTCAAACCGGCACCCATATGGGATGCTGACACTGCAGGCGGAAACAGAACCTTCTATGCCACAGCACTGGTCCCTCAATATTAATTATTAATGTAAGACCAATCCATGCTGTTCCTGTGTCTTCTAATTTTAATTCTGGTAAGAAAGTCAATAAAAGAGTAACCTCCTAGAAAGGACTTAGTTTTCTTTACTATGTGTTATCTGTAAATAGTGACTGAATGAATATAAATTAATATTTCAAAGGTCTCTAAACTTTTTTGATTAAATATCTATTTCTAAAAAACTACATCTGGGGGCCAGCACCGTAGCACAGTAGGTTAATCTTCCACCTGCAGTGCTGGTATCCCATATGGGTGCTGGTTCTAGTCCCAGCTGCTCCTCTCCCAATCCTGCTCTCTGCTATGGCTTGGGAAAGCAGTGGAAGATGGCCCCAGTCCTTGGGCCCCAGCACCCGCATGGGAGATTGGGAGGAAGCTTCTGGCTCCAGGCTTTGGATTGGCACAGCTCCTGCTGTTGCAGCCTTTGGGGGAGTGAACCAATGGAAGGAAGACTCCTCTCTCTGTCTCTTCCTCTTGCTATCTGTAACTCTACCTCTCAAATAAATAAATAAAAAATCTTAAAAAAAAAAAAAAAACTACATCTGTATGAACATGGTTTTAATGAAAGAGAGAGTGTGTGTGTGTGCTGGGAATGCAGTGCAAGTCTTGCACAGAGTGGCAGGGGAACCATCTGCTTCTGGGGTGTGTGTTAGCAGGAGGTTGAGTTGGAAGCAGAATAGCTAGATTTGAAGCAGGCACTCCCAGTGGGGGAGGCACACATACTAAGCAGTAGCCTAACCACTGGGCCAAATGCCTGTTCTGCCAGTTAGATACTTTGTTCTGCTAAAATAATTCACTGCCTTATCGTTGAAGAAAGATGTCAGAATACCTGAGCCTTTTAAAATTTTTACAGCAGAGAAATTTTTAGTGTTGATATCCTAATTAGAGTTTATTAAAATGTAAAGAAGTTCCCTATATGATTAGTTACTAGGAAGGCTGCTATTTCTCTTTAAATCTACGTTAATTAGTGAGGTTAATTAAATTTATAAAAATGAAGCAGCCAAATTGTTCAGGTTCCTGGGTTTTTTCAGATGTATTTATTTATTTATTTGAAAGGCAGAGATATGGTGGGGAGATGGAGTGAGGATGGATAATCTGCTTATTTACTTCCCAAATGGCCACAAGAGCTAGTCTGAGCCAGGCTACAGCCAGGAGCCAGGAGCTCTGTTATAATTGTTGGAAACTTTTGAAATAAGTTGTAGGGCCAGCATCATACTGCAGTGGATTAAGCCTCCACCTGTGACTCCAGCATCCCACATGAGCACCGGTTCAAGTATTGACTGCTTTGCTTCGGATCCAGCTCCCTGCTGATACATCTGGGAAAGTAGCAGATGTAACTTCTGCCACCCATGTGGGAGACCCAAATGGAGTTCTAGGCTCCTGGCCCTGCCCTGCTTCTTGTAGTCATTTGGGGAATGAACCAGTGAAGGAAGATCTCTGTCGCTCTTTTTCTGTCACTCTGCTTTTCACATAAATGAATAAATCTTAAAAAAATAAAAGATGTGACTTAAAGACTAGTATGCACCTACCATAAGTTAGCGTATTGGACAGAGTTGTGTTTAAAATATATTCTGGCCAGCACCGTGGCTCAATAGGCTAATCCTCCACCTGCGGCGCCGGCACCCCAGGTTCTAGTCCCGGTTGGGGCGCCGGATTCTGTCCCGGTTGCTCTTCTTCCAGTCCAGCTCTCTGCTGTGGCCCGGGAGTGCAGTGGAGGATGGCCCAAGTGATTGGGCCCTGTACCCATATGGGAGACCAGGAGAAGCACCTGATTCCTGGCTTCGGGTCAGCGCAATGCGCCGGCCACAGCGGGCCAACTGCAGCGGCCATTGGGGGGTGAACCAACAGAAAAGGAAGACCTTTCTCTCTGTCTCTCTCTCTCTCACTGTCCACTCTGCCTGTTAAAAAAAAAAAAAAAGATATATTCTATAGCTGCCAGCATGATGCTTTATTTTTAAAAAAATTTTTAGATCTTTATTTATTTGAGAGGTAGAGTTAACAGACAGAGAGACAGAGAAAGATCTCCCCATCTGCTGGTTCACTCCCCAAATGGCTGCGATGACTGGAGCTGAGCTGACCTGAAGCCAAGATCCAGGAGCTTCCTCTGGGTCTCCCAGGTTGCTTCAGGGGCCCATGCACTTGGGGCATCTTCTGTTTTCCCAGGCCATAGCAGAGAGCTGGATTGGAAGAGGAACAGCTGGGACTCGAACTGGCACCCATATGGGATGCCAGTGTTGAAGGCAGAAACTTTACCCACTATGTCACAACAGCAGCCCCAGTGCCTTAGTTTTTTTAAAAGGAAATTTAGGTACCTGGAATATTTTTGACCCATTCAGTGATTTGTTGCCTGTACTTCTCCCATAAAATTTGAGATTTGGTGACTTTTGTGGTGAATGAAAATATGTCTAATCTTTAACATCTTTCTTTGTGCTTATGACTTTAGATTCCTAGAAGCCCTGAATCACTTTGAGAAAGCAAAAACCTTGATTTGTCGTCTTCCTGGAGTGTTGACCTGGCCCACGAGTAATGTAGTTATTGAAGAGTCTCAGCCAGAGAAAGTAAAGGTACTGATCTGTTTCTGCAGGGTTTCCTACTAACCATGGAGACCCATCTGCACTAACTGATGGAGGTGGAAGACGCGGGTAGGAGCACTCCATCCCCTGCCCCGAAGTGTATGTTCCTTAAAGACTAGTGGGGATCACTGACACTTGCTGAATGTGTTCCGTTTTCCTGTCACATACCTTCCATGTGTCACTGTTTAATCCTTACAGCAGCCCAAGGAACTGGGTACTGTGATGCTTCCCACCTTACAGGTTCATGTGATTAAGTGTAGCTAGGTTAGGGGATGAATTCGGGTTAAACAGCAGGAAATAATGGAACTGTAACTTGAGGCCCCATTTTCTAACTTCATAGCATTTGTTAAACAGTGTGCTATAGCACCTGTACCTGGAGGAAGGTACATTATTTCATCCCAGTTGCTATAATTATTGAGATAGTACCCGAACTCAGAGGATATGAATTCAGTCTCATATCCATAAGCATAAGGATCCTTTGCTAGATTGGAAAAAACTAAATTATGTATGAATTGACTGAATTCACTTGTGGTGAATTCTCATGTTGTGTTCAGAACTTTACTTTGGTTGAAGTTTTTAAAACCATAGGGAGCAGCTTTTCCAACTCAAGAATAAGGAGAAAAACAATTAAACGATAGGCAAAGGATCTGAATACACATTTCTGCAAAAAAGACATACGTGAATGATGTTCAGTATCATTGACCATCAGGGAAATGCAAATCAAAACCACAGTGAGATATTGCCTCACACCCATCACACTGTTGTGTAGGCAAGGAAGTGGAGAAGTTGGAGCATTCACACGTGCTGGTGGTGGTGTAGGATGGTGTAGCTGCTTTGGAAAACCATCTGGCAGCTCCTACATAGAGCTACTATTTGACTCACTTGAGGGTACACAGAGAAATGAAAACATGTTTTCTCGAGGAAACCTGGGCCTGACTTCACAGCAGCCTTACTCACAACAGCCAATGTTCTCCAGGAAACCAGCAAGCGTAAGGAGGAGAGGTTCGAGAGGCTCCTGAAGGAGGAGGAATCGCAGTATTGGGATTCTGGATGAAGAGGCACTGGGATAACTCTTAATCCTTAAAGGAGGTTTCTAACAGCTATTAAGTATCAGATGAGGTTGGGTGATTGTAACAAGGGCAGGATTTTGATTCTGACTCTCTGAAGTTCTGAAAAAAGTTTTTCTCCAGTCTTTTTTTTTTTTCAGCACATCTTTATACCAATTTCCTTTTAATAGGAAAAACTTTAAAAGCTGTATGCAGTTTGTTCTTGGTTTCAAAATTGAGTCATTCCTATGTTGAAAATATTTTGATTGCAAGGTTACTGAAATCCCAGGCATTTTTCTTGATAAATTAGTTTTTGCAATGGTATCATTCACTATTGTTTATTTTGTTTTAGATGCTGATAGAGAAATTTGTTGAAGAATGCAGGTTCCCTCCAGTGCCTGATGCCATTTGTTGCTATCAGAAGTGCCGTGGATATTCCAAAATCCAGATATACATAACTGATCCTGACTTTAAGGTAAGTAATGAATATACAGTGGCAAATTAATTTGCAAAACTTTCTGAAAATGCTTTCAGAGCAGATTCTTTACCTGGGTATGACCAAGGTCTCCGGCCTGCCCTTTTCTTGGACTTCTGTGGGTCTACATTGTCTCGCTCAGGAACCCAGAGTCGCTGATGTGAGCGCTGAGGGCGGGCTGGTGACCTGAGAAGGCAGCTAGTAGCTCTGCTTCCTCCTCCTAGCCCTGGTTCTGTATAGCCACCTAGTCCTTAGACCTGAGAAGCTAAAGGAGATTACTACCCCTGATTTGTTACAGTTCTGACGGATCATAACATTTGAGTTCAGGAATCATTATAAATTAGGTTTGTGATTACTGAATTAGCCCCTCCACACCTAAATTCAAAACCATGTTTGGCACTTAAGTGAGTGAATAAGTTACTGGTTTGTCTTTAAGAAGATAGTAGCTGCCCACCTTCTCTAGTTAGTACACAGATGAAACAATGTTTATAAAATATTTGTATCCCTCACTGTCTTCATTGTAAAGGATAGTGCAGCTGCAGGCTGTGGAGATGAATGTGTGGGGCAGGCACTGTATTTGCAGCCTGACTTGGACCTCCACAAGGAGACAGAATGTCTAGTCGTGTCTGCCAAGTGAATGCAGCAGTCTCTCTTGGAGTATATACTGTGAGTGTCTATGTGTGTGCTTGTCAACATCCTTAAAATGTGAATTAAAATCTCTTTGAAATGCCAGGGTTTTATACGAATCAGCTGTTGCCAGTACTGTAAAATAGAATTTCACATGAACTGCTGGAAGAAGTTGAAAACAACAACATTTAATGATAAAATTGACAAGGTAAGGCACAATCAAATTGCTTGGAGTTTTTAGTATGCTTGTTGTATATAGATTTTCTTTTCTCCAAGAATCTTCAGAAAGTCTTCAGTGAATATAAATTCCTTCCTGAGCATTCTAGACAAAATTAGGAATCTTTAAATTACAATTTTAATAGTAAAATAGAATAAGTTTTTATTTTACGTAATTATAAAGGCTGTAACCATAATGACCTTTAATAAATCATTTAAACATCTTTTGCATTGAGACTATAGGATCAAAAATTTAAGTTTAAATACCTGATTTTAAAATACAGGTCTTAAGTTACGCACTGAAGATTATGGTCCTTTTTAAAAATTCAGTTCCTCAGTTATACTAACTATATTTGAAAATTTTATTTCTAAGATTTTTTTTGTTGATTTGGAAGGCAGAGATACAGAGATCTTCCAGCTGCTGGTTTACTCTCCAGATGACTGCAATGGTCAGGGTTGTGCCAGGCTGAAGCCAGGATCGCAGAACTCCATCTGGGTCTCCCCTGGAGTGGCAAGGGCCCAAGTACATGGGCCATCTGCTACTTTCCCAGGCACATTAGCAGGGAACTGGATTAGAAGTGGAGCAGCCTGGACATGAACTGGCATTCTGATATGGGATGTGCCATCCTAACCCATTGTGCCACAGCACCAGCCCTGACAATTTTAGTCTTCAAAGAATCTTTTATTTGATCACTCAGAAGTGGTGATGGAGAGTTCAGGTCCCAAAATTTATGTTTTCTGCCAATTTTTATTTTCTACCAAAATTTGATGAAGTGATTTGCACTAAGAAACCAAATTAAATTTTATATTGCCATTTCTTATTAGAGTTTTTCTTATTTTCAAGATAATCATGTCAATCAGCATTAACTAGATACCCTTTGAGAGAAGGCACAATTTTATAATTTATTTGCCTTGATAAAATACTTGTCATCTGTATGTATTCTGGACTTCAGAAAAGGAAACCTTTTGTGTGTGTCCTGCATAGGCTCCTGTAGACCACTGTCCCTGTGGGGAAAAGTAGGTTGATTGTACTAGGTGTCTGTTGGCCATGGAAATTATTCAGGTGTGGTGGGAATAAATTCTTAAACTTTAACACACCCTCTCATTGTAAACTAAGGATAGATTTTAACCAAAAACTGTTGCCATTGAGTCACTTTTGCCATGTTTTTATCTTACTTAAAATTGAGTTTCTCTGGTGGTACACACTCTTCCTTTGTGGTCTCATTAACCATTCCAGGATTTTAAATACCCTCTGTAAATTAGTCAGCTTTCTCTTAGATATGCTGAATTAACAGACACCCCAAATATCCGTGACTTCACAGTGAGAGAGGTTCATTTCTTGCTTTTGTTCCTTGTTCTGAAGGTCTGCAACTGCAGATAATCTTAGATTATGTGTAACAATGTGCAGATTACCTGTTGACCAGGGTTGGGCTGTAGCAGCTCTGTTCTGTGTCCATGGTTTTTGTTTCTTTTCTTTCTTTCTTTTTTTTTTATAGAGTTAGACAGTAAGAGAGAGAGACAGAGAGAAAGGTCTTCCTTCTGTTGGTTCTGCCGCTGTGGCCGGTGCCCTGCGCTGATCTGAAGCCAGGAGCCAGGTGCTTCCTCCTGGTTTCCCGTGCAGGTGCAGGGGCCCAAGTGCTTGGGCCATCCTCCGCTGCCCTCCCGGGCCACAGCAGAGAGCTGGACTGGAAGAGGAGCAACGAGGTCTAGAACCTGGCGCCCATATGGGATGTCAGCGCCACAGGCAGAGGACTAACCAAGTGAGCCACAGCACCGGCCCCATGTTTTTGTTTCTGAATCCAAGTTGCAAAGCAACTTTTACTGGAAACATGTTCCTGTGTCACAGGAAAAAGTTCAATGGCTGGTCATGTAGTGTTTATTTTCTTAACTTTTTTTTTTTTTTTAATTTAGTTGAGACAAAGACAGGCAGACAGCTCCCGTACACTCGCTCAGTCTGCAGATTCCTACAGTGTCTGGGGTACATCATGCTGAAGCTGAGAGACACGAACCCAGGCCCTTGAACCATTGTATCACGTGGCACCAGGCAAGGGCTTGCAGTGCTTTCCTGAAGGTTTAGAGCATATTTTTACCATTCCTGGTGGTGAAAATTGTGTGCCTGTGTAGACTGACATCCCCCACATCCTCCTTCTTTTTCATCAAATAGGACTTTCTACAAGGAATTTGTCTTACCCCTGACTGTGAAGGTATCATTTCTAAGATTATCATCTTCAGCAGTGGCGGTCAAGTTAAATGTGAAGTAAGTAAGCCAATAAAGGAGAAATCTTTTAAAACTGATAACCAAAATATGTACACTTTTTAAAGCATTATTTAAATTCATGGAAGTTGTGTGATTTAGATCTTGTCTTTTTCAGGAAAGAAATGGTTACTTCATCTAAGAAAACATAGGGAATAGTGAATATGAGAATCCTTCCTGAAGTATCCCCAAGTCTTTCATTTCCTATAAGAAAGGGAGACTTCATGTTTCGGTTTTATTGTTTGAACTCTTTGGATAACTTTATTGTTTAATCTTCAGGAACTTGCGGGTCATGACGTGGTGTAGGTTCTTAGGGCGGGGCCGAGTGTCTCAAGGGATTACCTGTAACTTTATTGCACAGGTGCTGCAGGAGTGCTTACTCATGATAATAGTCATAATTTATTGGATCTTCTGCTCACCCATAATTTTGTATAAGGGTTTATTTTATTTATTTCAGAGAGTTAGAGAATCTTCCATCCTCTGCTGGTTCACTCCCCAAATCACTGTGATGGCAGGCAAGGAGCCTATAACTCCATCCCAGTCTCCCACATGGGTGCAGGAGCCCAAGCACTTGGACCATCTTCCTCTGCTTTCCCACGACCATTAGTAAAAAGCTGGATAAGTAAAACAGCTAAGACTTGAACCGGTGCCCCTATGGGTTGCCAGCATTGCAGGTGGCAGCTTAACCAGCTGTGCCACAATACTGGCCCCTACTCTTAATTTTTTGAACTTTTTCCTAAAGTGTGTCTCCTCTCCTGTTCTTCTTAGGGAATTATTTCGCTGAAGCTTTCAGCGTTTTGTCTAGGCCAGATCGTTACTGTTCTCTCTCAATTCAAACATACTGTGCTTTTGAGATACGTGTTGTTCATGGTTTTGTGCTGTATGTTATGGGATTATAAGACAAATTTTGGATGTCTTTCTTTTATTTAAAGTTTGAACACAAGGTCGTAAAAGAAAAGGTTCCTCCAAGACCTATTCTGAAACAGAAATGTTCTAGGTAAGATTTTTAATCACTAGTCAGCAGTTTAATGATGTCTCTTAGAATATAATTCTATTAAATGCAGATTTCTGAATTATGCTGTGTTATAAATAGGCTGTGCCCAAATAAGGATGTTTTAAATGATTTTAATAAAAACTAAAGAGAACTAGCTTAAAATGGTTACAGACCAAAAAGTTGAATTGTTATTTAGTATTCAAATTTGTAAGTAAAATTATGACAGTTGTGTTAAGTCACATGTTTTGTAGGATTTGGCATTTGGTTAAGTTATATATCTTGCTGTCAGTCATTTAATTCCAAAACCATTTTAACTTTTTGTTTCTTCAACAAGTATTTTGAATCAATGACTGTTTCTTACTGTGAAATATCCAGTGTATTCTTTGAATTATTCATTTCTTTATCTTTTTTAAAGATCAAATAATTCCATTTTTTTGGTTCAGCTCCTTGTTTTTTTTTTTTATTCTAAAAAGTGACTCTCTTTCCAAAATCATCTGACCAAGAAAAAGCAAAAGAAAAGATGATCAGAATTATTTGTTAGAAAGAATTAATTATAGCCAAATCAACCAAATTCCTGTGTTGTGAGGTCAATTATGGGGATGTGAAAATATTTCACAATGGGCTCTTTGTTCAAAGTGAAATTGTACACATATATTATTTTATAGAGTCATTCATACTATTCTTGTTCTCTGCAGTAACATACGTGTGGAAGTAGCATCTGTACAATCTATACATTGCATCCTTAATTAGCCATAACTTAATCAGTGAGGCTTTTTTTTTTTTTTCATGAAAAAGTGCCCTTATTTTGACTGATGGGCAGTTTATCAACACATTCTTATATCAAACAGAAAATGTAGACCAGGGTCTGACTACAAAGGAAAAGTTCTAACCTATTACTTGGAGAATGGTCTCTATAGTAAGCAAAAGAAAATAGTTCGTTGAGCTTATAACAAAGGTGAGTCATCACTAATCATCAATATTTATCAGCCTAGAGAAGCTAAGACTGAAAGAAGATAAAAAAGTGAAGAGGAAGATCCAAAAACAAGAAGCAAAAAAATTAGCGCAAGAAAGAATGGAAGAGGACTTAAGAGAAAGTAATCAACCCAGAAATGAAGAGCCAAAAGGTATGTCAAGGCATGATAAGAAAAATACACTGTTGCTTAAAAGTATACATATAAATGTTCATCTTATTAGGCCTTATATTAGTCATTAGTGAATTGAAAGACAGGCTTCAGTTAGTGGTTGTTTTTTTTAAGATTTATTCTATTTATTTGAAAGGCAGAGTTAGAGAAGGAAGGAGAGACTGAGTGAGAGGTCTTCCATCCACTGATTTACTCCTGAAATGGACACACTATCCAGGACTGGGCCAGGCCAAAGCCAGGAGCCAGGAGCTTCTTCCAGGTCTTCTACGTGGTTGCAGGGGCCCCAGCACTGGGCAGAGCAGCAGAGAGAGTATCTATACATTTTCACTCCACAAATGCCCACAGTAGCCAGATTTGGGCCTGGCCAAAGCTAGGAGCCAGGAACTCTGTCCTTGTTTCCCTTATGAGTAGCAGGAGTCCGAGTACTTGTCTGCTGCCTTCCCAAGGTGCATTAGCAGGATGCTGGATTGGAAAGCAGAATAGCCAGGACTAGAAATGACACTCTGATTTGGGATGCTGGCATTGCAAGCAGAAGCTTAATCTACACCACAACACTGGCCCTTTAGCATCTTTATACTGTTTTCTGTTACTCTGAGAGAGTCCATTGGTGGGAAAGCACTGATGTTAGGAACAGTGCACAGGGTCTCACACTAATCTGAGCAAACTATCTGTTTCCTCGTCTCTGAAGTGCAGTAGGCTTTATAGCTGACCTGCATGTGCTTTTTTGACATTGCTCTGTAAATTCTGCCGTGTGTACGTAAGTGCCCCAGTGAGGAAGGGTAAATTAAGCCGGCGCCGCGGCTCACTAGGCTAATCCTCTGCCTTGCGGCGCCAGCACACCAGGTTCTAGTCCCGGTCGGGGCACTGGATTCTGTCCCGGTTGCCCCTCTTCCAGGCCAGCTCTCTGCTGTGGCCCGGGAGTGCAGTGGAGGATGGCCCAGGTGCTTGGGCCCTGCACCCCATGGGAGACCAGGATAAGTACCTGGCTCCTGCCATCGGATCAGCGCGGTGCGCCGGCTGCAGCACACCAGCCACGGCGGCCATTGGAGGGTGAACCAACGGCAAAAGGAAGACCTTTCTCTCTGTCTCTCTCTCTCGCTGTCCACTCTGCCTGTCAAAAAAAAAAAAAAAAAAAGTAGCTACTGATTATCAGAAATAAAGCTGAGTTCAAGGAAGCAGCTCATAGCAGGTACCTTAGAGCTCACCTATCCAGCCTTCTCAAGCCCTGACCAGCGTGGGGACGTCTTACTGGTGATTCTGTTCCCATGTCCCCATAGGCCAGGATGTTTATTACCAGGTTTGAGTTGTGAGTTTTCTGCACTTTCTGCTATTATGGCTGTGTTTACAAACTGAGTATTTTTCACTTGCTGTCCTTATTTTTTATCTAGTACTCTAGCGATATTTCAGAAATTAAGCTATCTTTCCCACTTAAAAAAGTTCAGTGCATGTGTTTTATCTCTGCATGCTTAGTGACTAACCGTATTTATTGAATATAAAACTAAGACAGTCTGTGAGGCTGCATTAGTGTGGTTAAGGGATGTGACCTTACTTCAGAGGAACTAATGTTTCAGATACTGTTAAGCAAATGCTGCAGAATGAAGGGTGTATGTGTTTTTGATATGTTTGGTTTAATGTGAATGTTCACATCTTTTCAAAGATATTATCAAATATTTATATTTTTAATTTAAAGTTTTCTTGAGTTATTTACATAAATCAGGGATGGGGAATGTCCAGGCCACTAAAGGGCCTGGGAAATCATTTGGCCTTGCCAAGGTGCAACTGCAGATGGTTTTTGACATCCAGTAAGTCTGTGGAAGGCTAATTTTTAAGAAGATAATTTTGTGTGCCCACAAATGATGTTATAAATATTTAAATAGCCCTTGGCAGAAAAAAGGTTCCCCATCCCAATGTAAAGCAGCATAGAAATCAGTCATATTTTATTTTATTATGTAATGTTACATTGTTCTAAGTTATATCACTGCAAGTTAGTTCTGTTTATTTTAACTAACCATTGGTATTTATCCTTAGAAACTGTAGACAGTGTTCAGAATTGTCAGTTCCTTGATGACAGAATTCTTCAGTGCATAAAGCAGTACGCAGACAAGATTAAATCTGGGATTTTGAATACATCTAAGCTTCTCAAAGAACTGCTTTCTTGGAAAGTTCTGAGCACAGAAGACTATACAACCTGTTTTTCCAGCAAAAATTTTCTAAATGAAGCGGTGGACTATGTCATTCGTCATTTGATTCAAGAAAAGAATAGAGTAAAGACAAGGATATTTCTGCATGTTTTGAGTGAGCTGAAAGAAGTGGAGCCCAAATTAGCTGCCTGGATCCAGAAGCTTAATGGCTTTGGTATGTCCCTTGGTTTTCTAGAGCAATGTAGTTTAGAGGAAAGAATAACATGGGTCTCTGAATCCTTTTCATTTTCCGGTCATATCACTTGTTACATTAAATTCAGGACTACAAATTTATTTGATTAAAAATTCTGTACACCCCCCCCCACTACCAATTTGTTGATTGTTTTGTAAATAGGTTACATCTTTTTTAAAAGACCTAAGCAAATAAAGATCAGTTAATAAGGAAATCCAGACCTGGTTTATGTTAACTATTTGTAAATCTATGAATTATGTGAGGGCCAGCACCGCGGCTCAATAGGCTAATCCTCTGCCTACGGCGCTGGCACCCTGTGTTCTAGTCCTGGTCGGGGCGCAAGTTCTGTCCCGATTGCTCCTCTTCCAGACCAGCTCTCTGCTGTGGCCCAGGAGTGCAGTGGAGGATGGCCCAGGTCCTTGGGCCCTGCACCCGCATGGGAGACCAGGAGGAAGCACCTGGCTCCTGGCTTTGAATCAGCGCGGTATGCCAGCCGCAACGCCACTTGGGGGGTGAACCAACAGAAAAAGGAAGACCTTTCTCTCTGTCTCTCTCTGCCACTGTCTACTCTGCCTGTCGAAAAAAAAAAAAAATTGAAGCGTGGGCACAGCTTCATGTAAATAGGACACCTAGAGTCTGCCGTCTGTAGGGTGCCTTTTGGGATTGTACAGTACAATAGCTTGATTAGAAAGAAAGAGAACCTCAAATTCAGATTCCTTGAAGAATAATACAGAAGGAAAGAGTGGATAAAAATAATTGCTTAGGCTAGGGCAACCTGTATGTAAAATTAAGTGAAACATACCCACAGTTGGACGAGGCTGTTTTAAATCATAGCATCATACAGCTCTGATGCACAGCTCGGACTTCTGTGGTTTCGGTGGGAGAAGAGAAGGTTGAGGAAAACCCTCCGAGTAGCCCTTTTGCCCAGGGCCATGAGGGACTGCGGAAGGTAGCTGCAGATACAGTGCTTGTCCTACACCAGGTCAGGATGCTTTGGGTACCTACCAGGGATCTGTTTATCTTTGTGACCAGGATGGCAACTGGCCTGGCACAACAGTTGATTCAGTTAGCAGCTGTTTTATTAACGACAAAAGGGAGCCACAGAATAGAGAGCAGGACCTCTCAGTAGCAGGTCAAAGAGAAGGACTCCTGCCCCTGCCAGTCACCCTTCCCTGCCTGAGGTTTTGAGACATGGGGCTGTTAGAATCCTAGGGTTTCAGGTAAGGGACTGGTCAGTTTCTGTGAGAAGAGACAAAGTGAGATGGCATCAAGCTTGCCAGAGTTAGCTAAATAAATACTCCTGGGTTTTTTGTTTGTTTGTTTGTTTGTTTTTTTCTTACAGGCAGAGTTAGACAGTAAAAGAGAGAGCGACAGAGAGAAAGGTCTTCCTTTTTCCGTTGGTTCACCCCCCAATGGCCGCTGCGGCCAGCACACCGCGTTGATCCGAAGCCAGGAGCCAGGTGCTTCTCCCGATATCCCATGCAGGTGCAGGGCCCAAGGACCTGGGCCATCCTGCACTGCACTCCTGGGCCACAGCGGAGAGCTGGACTGGAAGAGGAGCGACCGGAACGGAATCCGGCACCCCGACCAGGGCTAGAACCCAGGGTGCCGGCGCCGCAGGTGGAGGATTAGCCTAGTGAGCTGAAGCGCCGGCTAACGCTCCTGCTTTGAGCATAGATCTCCATGGGTTTGTGGTCCCAGGAAGTGACTCCTAACGGGTGATTGCCACTAGTGTCCATCAGATAAGTGAGTTCTGAAATTACTGCTTACTTCATCTGCTGAAGGAGCAGCTTGTCTGGGTTACGTTACATGGACAAGAGTGCCAGCCACTGTTTAGTCAGGCAGGCAGATGTGAACAGTGTCTTTTGATGTAATGCATATTTATTCTGAAGATTAAAGGCATGATTTTAATAAGTATGTGTGCATACTCTGTAGCTTCTATTTAATGTTGTAAAAGGAGTTCACGTATCTTAATTAGTAAGGCTACTGCTGTAGCCCCGATATAAAACATTTATTTAATAAAAAAAAAAAAAAAGCACTTAACAATTTCTGGGATTTTACTTCCCTCTCTCTCATAGAGTCTATACACTGGAGTCATGTTATGTAGTTATGTATATATTTAACATGAGAGAGGCCAGTTTACATGTTTAGCAAAAGATGGAGGGAAAAAGGAAGTAGCAGACCACAAGTGAGAGGATGAGCATTTCAGATCTGCCCACATTCTCCTCACTGACACAGCTCTGATGTGAGCCTCGCGTGGGGAATGCGAATTTGCTTTTCTCATTGGTGGTTCCCTTAAACCTTTTACTGAATTTTCTGTGGCATTCTGGTGTTTAAAGTTGGTAGTTTCTCATGCAGCTTGACCTCTGCAAGCTAACATTTTCAGCTGGAAGAAAGAGCAGTCCAGGGCACTGTGGCCTCCGAGCAGTCTTTATTTAATTGGCTGCTTTGAGCACCCCAGGCCCAGCAAGAGGTGACCGTGCTGTGTTAGAGGTGTGATGGGGAAACTGAGTGAGCTCCTTCTGCTTCTTGGTGGCTGTGTTACTGAGGAGCGTTCACGAGGAGTATGAGGTTGCAGCCACTCTGATTTCTGATTAAATTGGGAATGATGACCACTTTGATTTTTGTAGAGGAGGAGAAGGGGCCATGATAATTTGGGGGGAAAAAAAGAACAGTTCTTGGAGATGTGGTGGGAGTTTACCCATTTCCTCTTGGAAAAAGCATCGGGAAGGTTTTGCATATTATTGATGTTTTGTTATTATAGAGAACATACAGAAATACATTGTAAAATCTTGCTAGCTTGTACTAGTTGGAGTAAAAGTCATTAAGGATTGGTGAAAAAAGTTGTTAGAGTTGTAAAAGAATCTCATGCCATGCTTTCATCTCTAAGACTAATAAAGATAACTCTAATGATGCAAGCTTTTTGGCCCACCTTTTCCAACTAATACAGAAGAATTATTCTAATTAGCTTATCAACATTAAATGGTGTTTCTGAAATACATAATAACCTATGCAGGTCTATTCTCAAGTAGTTAAACATTTTTCCTGAAAATGCAAGCCAACTGCGATGGAACCACTTTCAGAGAAGTGACAGCGACTGGCTTGCAGGGCATTGTCTCCTCTCCTCTGATTGGGGTTCTGTTCTCGTTCCAGGCTTAGACGCCACAGGACCTTTCCTTTCTCGTCACCGCGCATCTCTTAAGGAGCTTGATTTTAGCATCATGACCTTTCTGTGGAGTGAGAAATATGGTCATAAGCTGAAGTCTATAGAGGGAAAGCAACTGGATTACTTCTGCGAGCCCTCAGCATTGAAGGAAGCACGTTGTTTAATATGGCTGCTCGAAGAACACAGAGACAAGTTCCCAGCCCTGCACAGTGCTTTAGATGAATTCTTTGACATAATGGGTATGTGGCCCAGATTTAAATTCATATTGTATTTAGGGGGAAAAAACTTGTGAGTTATCTAGTTTATTTTGAATACTTAACAAAATCAATATTATTATTTGAGAAAAGGTAGAAGTTGACAGTAGTGAGGGTTTTGTTTTTTAATACCGTGAAACCTTCTTACTTTGTTAGCTGAGAGTTAGACATACTCAGGTTTGTTATCCTAGCAACATACCATGCTATTCCCATTTTAGATATTTTGACAGCATCATGGTGAAGATTGCATATTAAATGGATAGAATTTATTAATTAGAAAGCAGTTTGATTCGTAGTATTCAAGAAAACATTTGCTTGCAGAAATAGGTGACATTTGCACAGTCTGTAACAGATAACACATCTGTTCTAACAGTAAGAGCCTAGGACTGGAGTCAGAAAAGATAGGCTATAGCACGGCTTCCTTAATTCAGTTGATTAAAAACCTTTTGGTTTCACTGCTGGATGTTAAGGACTTCAGAAGTGCTTACGCTGGCCCCTGCCCTCGATGGCCTTGTGTTCCAGAAAAAGGGGATAAGAAGAGTGCGCTAATAACAGTAGTGTGATAGTAAGCTCAGTGAGTGAGGACAGAGAAGGTGCTGAGGGCTTTAAACAAGGGAGACAGCCTGTACTTTCATTCTCTCCGTGAGAGAGGAAAGCCCAGAGCAGAGGCAGAGTCTGCAGTGGGCTGTGAACATAGGTGTGAAAATGTGCAGGTGGGTGTCAAGATACGGGGTGGGGGGAGCCTGTTTGGGCCACACCATGGACTCCAGTTTGGCAAAATAGGCTAACTAGCAGTGAATTTGGCAGTCTCACTTGGATCTTAGTTTCTTCATCATTATAATGAGATGATAAGGAGCCAGTGGTCTGTGTGGTCCTATTTCACTTTGTAATTCTAATATTAAATTCTAAGTTAATTTTACTTTTTAACTTTCTGTACTTCTGATGGTAATCCCTTCCTGCACAACATGTCTGTGTATTGTCAGGAGTTAGACTTCGGTTTCATGGTATTTGTTTTAGAAAAGTGCATTGGAAGCCCCAGCCTTGTACAACGGTGTCATCCATTATCAAGTTCACTTGCAGTGGAAGGAACTGAGGAGTCTGCCTTTGTTCTGTTTCTTATGTCAGGCACACGCAAATACAAATGCCTTTCTCTCTCCAGGATACTGCTTCCTGCCTGGGGTGAAGTGCTCCTGGATAGCCTGAATTTATTGGTGTCAGCCTGGTGCTGCTGGCCACACAGGCTGTCCCGGGACAGAACTTACAAACCCATGCATGTTTGGCGCACACAACAGGACAGCTAGAAAGGACACAGGTCCTTCTCAGTGTGTGCTCGCCCCGATTCCTGGGTTCCACATCCAACATAACAGTACATACATCTGGCTGCGACTGTTTCTCTGCTTTTGGCTGTGGAGCTGGAAGCCACCAACCAGACTACTGACCACTTGTGCAGGTTTTCAAGTCTGGTAGCTCCGCCTCCCTCCTGTCAGTTGTTTTTAGTGTTGCTGCTTTTCATTTGACAGAAGGATGGTATTTCTTCAAACTTAAAAATCCTTGGCCCTGTAAAACAGAGTGTTAATATCCTCATTGATGTGATACTGGCAGCCCCAGCTTCTTTCCTGAAGGCTGGACACATGGTTCCCTAGGGAATTCTGTGTAAAGGGCCAAAGGCCCCGTAAAAGCAGTCTGGCCAAATCTTGCCCTTAACACATCCAGATATGTTTTTCCTAAATTTGTCTCCATTAACAACATTGTTGCATATCTAGTTTCTAAGCAGAAAACCCTAGAATTCATTTTGACCATTGCCATTATTTATAACTAGTTTGTCACCATTCCAAATAAGCTTTATCTCTGATCTGTCAATCCCATTTCCCTAGATCAAGACCTTAGTTATCTTTCCATGATGAGACTGTCACAGTAGGCTCCAAACTGGTCTCCGTGTCTCTAGGCCCTCCCACTCGTAATCCTTCCATATTGCCAATACTGACTCCTCTAGAATGTCTGTCTAAATCTGGAACTGTTTCCTTTGAGAAACATTTGCTTAGCTTTGCTTACAGATTAAGTCCACATCATTGGCCTGGGTTGATCATTGCTCTCCCCATCTGCACTGTGAGCAGACACACCAACTTCTGATTCCCAGACTTGCCTCGGACTTTGCTGCCTCCTTTCTGTGCTCACGCAGTTCTGCCATCCTGCTCTACCCCCTTGCTTTTTCATTTCAATTCTAACTTAATCTTCCCCACCTCCCCAGAGCCCTCCTTGACTCCTCCATGGGCCTCTCCCCTTGAAAGCTTTGTTCCCTGCATCAGCTCTGCTGCCTTTGCACTCCCTGTGGGGCTCAGCACATGCGGTTACAAGTGTTCCCTGTCTTTGGCAGTAGAACACGAATTCACTCATGGCAAGGTCTGTCTTGTGCATCTCTGTAGTCCTAGCACCTGGCATAGACGGTACTAGAAGACACTCAGATTAGGCTGAATTGGATAGGAATTTCAAAGTTCTTGGTAGCTTATTTCCCATTTAGCCAGGCATTTTGTACCTGGTTTCTAAACTAGACATGTGTCAAAGCCAAATATAGAATAGAATAGTCTTTGCTGGTAGTGTTTGTGCTTTTTTTAACCTTTAATGTATTACATGGAAATGTCAATATTTCATTTCCTCACCAAAACCATCTGTGTCTTCCCACAGACAGTCGCTGTACTGTGCTACGGAAACAAGACAGTGGGGAAGCACCAGTAAGTTACATGCTCACTGAGATTAAGTTAAAAATAATATCAGAGCTGTCTTCCTTAGTAGATTGTGGTTGCCTTCTGTTCTGTCTGGGAGGTCAGAAATTCTTCAAGCTTAGGAAGGTGATCAAGTAAAGAACAGAACAGCATTGTGGCAGTTTGGCGGGTGGGGGGGACTGCTTGTTTACTGATCCTCCTTTAAACAGATTCTGTCACAATCTGCCATGTCAGATACTGCCTGGCTAGGTGTGGACTTGCAGCCAGCATACCTCGGAGGGAGGTGAATGCTTCACTGTGTGTGTCCCGCTGTCCGACCACGTGCACGATTCTGGTTTGCTCCAGTAAAAGGACCATCAGGGAAAGGCTATTCTGGCGTATAACCACTTACCTACTTGAAATAACATAAACCTTGTTGAAAATGAGGTTCGAAAGTTGGGGAAGTTTAATTTTACTTCTAACTTTAGGCATTATTAGACTTTTTTCTTACTTTCTATTATAAATTATAGCATGTAGACTAATTCACTCTGGTGTTGGTTTTTTTTTTTTTTTTTTTTTTGACAGAGTGGACAGTGAGAGAGAGAGACAACAGAGAGAAAGGTCTTCCTTTGCCGTTGGTTCACCCTCCAATGGCCTCCGCGGCCAGCACGCTGCAGCCGGCACACCGTGCTGATCCGATGGCAGGAGCCAGGTACTTATCCTGGTCTCCCATGGGGTGCAGGGCCCAAGCACCTGGGCCATCCTCCACTGCACTCCCTGGCCACAGCAGAGAGCTGGCCTGGAAGAGGGGCAACCGGGACAGAATCCAGCGCCCCGACCGGGACTAGAACCCGGTATGCCGGCACCGCAAGGCGGAGGATTAGCCTAATGAGCCGCGGCGCCGGCCTGGTGTTATTTTTATTAACCATTTTACATACATGTAACTTTTAACTAGCCTATGAAAATCAATATGTTTTGTTTATGTTGTGTTCATTGTTTTTTCCCCCTCCTTTTTTAGTTAAGTTCTACTAAGGTGAAAAACAAAGGCAAGAAAAAAAAGCCAAAAGATTCAAAGGTATGGTGTATTTTCTGTATTAATTCTTATCTAAACCGCCCAAATGGGTTTTTGGATATAGAAGTTAGAATCAAGCAGTTCTGGGAATATTTTGAAACATTTTATATAAGAGAAAGACTTTTTGGGCTTCAAAGATACTTTTTAAAGTCTAGGCTTGGTTTTTGGTTTTTGTTTTTAAAATTTACTGATTTGAAAGAATTAGAGAGAGAGAAATATCTTTCATCCCTTGGTTCTCTCCTCAAATGGCTGCAATGGCCAGTGCCAGGCCAGACTGAAGCCAGGAACCAGGAGCTGCTTCCAGGTCTCCCCCTTGAGTGGCAGGGGCCCAAGAACTTGGGCCATCTTCCACTGCTTTCCCAGGCCCCTTATCAGGGTTCTGGATCAGAAGTAGATCAGCAGGAACTTGAACTGGTGCCAGTTTGAGATGCAGCATCACAGATGCAGTTGTAGGAAAAAGGGGAAGGGGTGCAGATTGCTGTCTCCTCAGCTGGGCACCAAATGTAAGGAAGAGGGCACAGAACAGAGAGGAGATAGAATACAACCTCAGAGCCAGACCAAGTTATTCCAAGAAAATAAACTCGTAGAGGTCAACCAACTGCCAGCTTGCAGAGTCGGAACACATGGCTCAGGGCCCAGATCGCAGGGGCTGGGCTTTTCTGTATCCTTGGTGGGCTAGGGATGGGGGTGTGGGAGTAGGCAGCGGTGAGCTAGGGATAGGGGTGCAGGAGTAGGCAGCGGTGAGCTTCTCCATGCAGGTTTTTGGGCTTCTAAACCTAGGGAAGAATGCAGGGAGTGGGTGGAGAACTATAGGCTGTGAGACTGAATTGGGATTCAAGGACAAGGGATAAATTCTGATTTTATCTGTCTTTTGGGCAATGAGCTGCAACGGCTGAGGCTTATGTCCTTGTTCCCTCAATCCTGACTCAGAGTATAGATAAGGAGATGGGGTGCCAGTTTCTTTCTGGCTACTTCGCGCTGATATGGGTGTAGACGTGGGGTGAGGATCTATTCTTGGATCATATTGAAGAAGGAGAGCGGTCTTGTGTTGCTCCTGTGAGATGACTTGAGATATATGCTTCGTAAATATTATTATTACTAAATTGTTGTAAGGAGATAGGAAAGCAGAATAATAGAATCTAATTTTAAAATTTTTTGTTGGAATTATTTCTGTTGCTCAAAATACTTACTGCCTAACATATTCAGAGTAAGAGTGATGCAGGATTGATGTGGGGCAGTGGTTAAGTCACTGCTTGTACTGTTGTCATCCCCATCAGAGTGCTGATTCAGGTCTAGGCTGTTCTGCTTCCCATCCAGCTTCCTGCTTATGTGCCTGGGGAAGGCAGTGGAAGAAGGCCCAAGTGCTTAGGCCCCTGCCACCCAGATGGAGTTCTTGGCTCCAGGCTTCAGCCTGGCTCAGGACTGGCTGTTGTGGCCATATGAGAAGTGAACCAGTGTCTCGGTCACTCTGCTTTCAAATAAATTTTTAATAAAAGAATGATGAATGCTAGTCATCATAACAATCTTAGAATGGATTCTTTTGTTTCTCTCACCTAAGGCTCTACTCCAAGCCTTTGAGATAATAAGTAGATAATAAATATTTTTAAGTCTCCTAATGGGTTCTTTCTTCTTTTTAGTACTTTTATTTATTTATTTATTTATTTGAAAGGCAGAGTTACAGAGGGAGGAGGAGAGACAGAAAGATTCTTTCATCTACTGGTTCACCCACATATGGCTATAACAGCTAGGGCTGTGCCAGGCCAAAGCCAGTGGTCTCATTCAGGTCTCCCACATGGGTACAAGGGCCCAGGCGCTTTCTTCTGCTGCTTTCCCAGGCACATTAACAGAGAGCTGGATTGGAAGTGGAGCGACTGGTACCCATATGGGATGCTGGCATCACAGGTAGAGGCTTAACTTGCTAAGCTGGCCCCTTGATGGCTGGTTAATGGCATGGAAGGAGGGGACTGGCTGAGGAAGTAGTCTACTTTTCCAAGAGGATAGAAAAACCCTTTCTTTGACCCTATCTTTAGTTAGCTAAACTTACACTAAGTAACATTTAAATTGTGTTTAAATTGAAACTATCCTAAATGTTAATTTGAGCTTTTTTTTCTTTAAGATTTTGTATTTATTTATTTAGACAGAAAGAGAACCGTCTCCCATCCACTGGTTCACTCTTTTTTTTTTTTTTTTTTTTTTTTTGACAGGCAGAGTGGACAGTGAGAGAGAGAGACAGAGACAGAGAAAGGTCTTCCTTTTTCCATTGGTTCACCCCCCAGTGGCTGCTGAGGCCGGCACACCGCACTGATCCAAAGCCAGGAGCCAGGTGCTTCCTCCTGGTCTCCCATGCAGGTGCAGGGCCCAAGCACTTGGGCCATCCTCCACTGCCTTCCCGGGCCACAGCAGAGAGCTGGCCTGGAAGAGGAGCAACCGGGACAGAATCCGGTGCCCCGACCGGGACTAGAACCCGGGATGCCAGCGCCGCATGTGGAGGATTAGCCTATTGAGCCACGGTGCTGGCCTGGTTCACTCTTAAATGGCCACAGTGGCTGGAGCTGAGCCAATCCGGAGCCAGGAAGCAGGAGCTTCCTCCATGTCTCCCACGCAGGTGCAGGGGCCCAAGCACTTGGGCCATCTTCTGCTGCTTTCCCAGGCCATAGCAGAGAGCTAGATCAGAAAAGGAGCAGCCAGGACTCGAACTGGTACCCATATAGGATGCCGGCACTACAGGTGGAGGCTTAGACCACTACACCACAGCACTGGGCCCCAATTTGAGCTTCTGTATAACTGTTGAAATTTAGATCACCACAGGATCCTGTTCCAGGAGAATCTGCATCTGTCTTTTATCTATTGGCAGTTAGCATGCATGTTTATATAAGTACTCATCAGCTTAAGTGGTAAAATTCCTCTTTCATGGATTTTAAGGAAGAAAATTATTGTCATTTTTTTTCTTTTAACACAGCCTATGTTAGTGGGCTCTGGAACAGCTTCAGTCACAGCGAACGATGAGACTGTCACTCCAGGGGAAGACCATAAGTAAGGACAGTCTTTTTGCTTCATTTTAACCCACATGTTTTCACTTAATAGGTGGTTTCAGCATAATATACTGTTGATTTTTCTTTTGTGACTCTAACTTTCCTTTTCAAAGATACACATATTTTATGACAACCTGCTGTTATCTATCGTGATTGAATTTATGGCATGGTTGTAGACATTAAGAAATCATTCAAACTGTTAAAGTTGCAAGATGATGAAATTTATTCAGTAAGTATATGTTGAGAACCTCCTGTGGGAGGCACTGTGGGAAAATCCTAGGAGAAAATGTCTAGAAAATAAGCTTTTAAATATTCAGTGGAAAGAATACCCTGTTGATAATTATTACCTGTTTTGCTACAACAGGAAGATATTTTAGGAGCTATATATGCTGTTATGGCTTAACCTTATACATTTGTTATTTTTAATGCCCTCTGATGAAACTGCGTTTTCAAAAAGCAAATAGACATAAGAGATCAAACTAGTGGGCAGGCGGTATGGTACAGTGGAGCACCTGCATCCATATTGGAGCACCTGGTTCAAGTGCCAACAATTCTATATTTCGGATCCAGCTTCCTGCTAATACACCTGGGATACAGTGGATGATGACCCAAGTACTTAGGTTGCTGCCACCATCGTGGGAGACTCAGACGGAGCCCCTGGCTCCTGGATTTGACCTCGCTGAGCCCTGGCTGTTGTGACCTTTTGGGGAGTAAACCAGCAAGAGAGGATCTCTATGCTGTCTTGGTCACTCTGCCTTTCAAATAAATCAATCATTTTTTAAAGATTTTTGTATTTGCTTACTTGAAAGAGTTACATTAAAAATGAATCTTACTGAAGAATGGGATGGGAAAGGGAGCAGGAGGTGGTACAGTTTGGGCGTGGGAGGGCGGGTATGGGGGGAAGAACTGCTGTGTTCCAAAAGTTGTACCTATAAAATTTATATTTATTAAATAAAAGCTTTCTAAAAAAAATAAAAGAGGTACAGAGAGGCAGAAGAAGAGAGAGGGGGAGGTCTTCCATCCGCTGGTTCACTCATTGGATGGCCGCAGCGGCCAGAGCTGTGATGATCCAAAGCCAGGAGCCAGAAGCTCCTTCTGGGTTTCCCACACGGGTGCAGGAGCCCAAGGACTTGGACCATCTTCTACTGCTTTCGCAGGCCATAGCAGATAGCTGGATTGGAAGTGGAGCAGCTGGGACTTGAACCTGTGCCCACATAGGATGCCAGCACTGCAGGCGGAGGATTTACCTGCTACACCACACCACCTGCCCCTGCAAATAAATAAATTAAAAAAAACAAACAAAAAACATAGTGAGTAGCAATAACCTTTTTTAAAAGATTTTATTTATTTATTTGAGAAGTGGAGTTACAGACAAGAGGGGGGGGAAACAGAGAGAAAGATCTTGCATCCACTGGTTCACTTCCCATACAGCTGCAATAGCCAGAACCAGGCTGATCGGAAACCAGGAGCTTCTTCAGGGTCTCCCACATAGATGCAGGAGCCTAAGCATATGGGCCATATTCTGTTTTCCCAGGCCATAGCAGAGAGCTGGATTTTAAGAGGAGCAGCTGGGACTAGAACCGGTGCCCATATGGGGTGCCGGCGCCACAAGTGGAGGCTTAGCCCACTATACCACAGAACCGGCCCCAACAATACCCTTTTTATATCATTTTCATTATTTTTTAAAACTTTGTTTGACAGGTAAAATTACAAACAGAGAGACAGAGGGAAAGGTCTTCCCTCTGTTGGTTCGCTCCCCAGATGGCCACCACGGCTGGCGCTGATCCAAAGCCAGGGGCCAGGTGCCTCCCCCAGGTCTCCCATGTGGGTGCAGGGGCCCAAGCAGCTGGGCCATCCTCCATTGCCTTCCCAGACCACAGCAGAGAGCTGGACTGGAAGAGGAGCAACTGGGACTAGAACCCGGCACCCATATGGGATGCCGATGCCACAGGCGGAGGACTAACCAAGTGAGCCACGGTGCCGGCCCCTGTCATTTTCATTATTAACCAAATGGGTTTTTTTTCCCCATGTCTCTTAATGGAGTTACAAGACAGGTTAAAATTTGCAGTCATTTTTATGGATTCTTTAAATGGAACAGTTGTTTTAAGTTAAATAATAATGGCCTGTCTTGGGGCTGGCGCTGTGGCGCAGCAGGTTAAAGCCCTGGCCTGAAGCGCTGGCATCTCATATGGGTGCCGGTTCGAGACCCAGCTGCTCCTCTTCCGATCCAGCTCTATGCTATGGCCTGGGAAAGCAGTGGAAGATGGCCCAAGTCCTTGGGCCCCTGCACCCATGTGGGAGACCCGGAAGATGCTCTTGGCTCCTGGCTTCAGATCGGTGCAGCTCTGGCCATTGTGGCCAGTTGGGGAGTGAACCAGCGGATGGAAGACTCTCTCTCTCTGCCTCTCCTCTCTCTGTGTAACTCTTTCAAATAAATAAATAAACCTAAAAAATTAAAAAATAATAATAGCCTGTCTTAGTCTATTTGGGCTCTGTAACAACGTACCATAAGCTGGGTGGGTTATGCACAACAGAAATTAATCTCTCAGAGACGCTGTGAGGCTGGGAAGTCCAAGATCAAAGTGACTGTAGGTTTGGTGTCGGTAAGGGCCTGCTTTCTGGTTCACAGATGCCACTTTCCCACCATGTCTCCCATGGTGGCAGAAGGAAGGAAGCTCACTGGCCTCTTTTCTTTAAGACACAAGTTCCTTTTGTGAGGGTTCTGCCTTCATGACCTAATCAACTCCCAGATGTTCCCCAGTCCAGCACCCCACATGGGTGATTGGCACTCACCATGGGCACTTTGGGGGAGACACAAACATTCAGACCCATAGCACAGCCATTCCTGAGATTGACAGTCTTGTGCCAGGTACTGTTCCAATGGCTTCACACATGTAAACTTAATTAACCCACTCATCTACTCTAGGAGAGAAATCCTGTTATTAAGGCCACTGTAGCTAAGGAAACAGGCAGTGTAGTTAATGATTTGCCAGGAACACAAAGCTAATAAATAGCAGAGAGAAGATTTAAATATGCTATATGGTTTTCAGATTACTTGACCTTTTTGGAGTGCTAAAATCTTTTATTCTTAAGTCTTTCTACCTATGTCTTTTACCTCTCTAACCTTAGTTTAACTTAATACCACTTACAATAAAATCTTCATTTTTCTATTATTAAGACAACATTCATCTCCTCAAAAGCTGTAAGTTTTCAGAAATTCACAGCAAGGTGAATTATTAATTTTTTAAAGATTTGTTTATTTTTGAGGCTGGCGCCAAAATATGCTTAGCAGATAAAGCCACTGCCTGCAGTGCCGGCATCCCATATGGGAGCCAGTTCGAGTCCTGGCTGCTCCACTTCCAATCCAGTTCTCTGCTGTGGCTTGGGAAAGCAGTGGAGAATGGCCCAAGTCCTTGGGCCTCTGCACCTGTGTGGGAGACCTGGAAGAAGCTCCTGGCTTTGGATCGGTGCAGCTCCGGCCATTGCAGCCAACTGGGGAGTGAACCAGTGGATGGAAGACTGACTCTCTCTGCCTCTCTGTCTCTCCTCTCTCTGTAACTCTGACTTTGAGAGAAATAAATCTTTTTTTTAAAGATTTTTTTTAATCTTTTTTTTTTTTAAAAAAAAAGATTTATTTCTTTGAAAGGCAAAGATAGAGAAGAAGAGAGAGACATCTTCCATCCACTGGTTCACTCCCTAAGTGACTGCCACAGCTGGGGCAGCAGCTGGCTGAAACCAGGACACAGAGGAGCTTCTTCATGGTCTCCTATGTGAGTGGCAGGAGCCCAAGCACTTGAGCCATCTTCTGCTGTTTCCCAGGCACATCAGCTGGGAGCTGGATCAAAAATGTAGTAGCCGGTTCTCAAACTGGCGCCCAAATGGGATGCCAGCACTATAGGCGGTGATTTAACCTATGCCATCGCACTGACCCCAGTATGAAATATTGATTAAAAGTGTCAGAGCCAGCATTATGGCACAGCAGGTTAAATCTCCATCTGCAGCACACAGACAAACCATGTGAGCACCGGGTTGGGACCTTACTGCTCAGTCCACTTTTGATCCATCTCCTTGTTAATGTGCCTGGAAAGCAGTGAAGCAGTCCACGTGCTTGGGTCTCTGCACCCATGTGATAGATCTGGAAGGTGTAAAATGTTTCCATGACCGTAATTGTGGAAAATATTACATTTCTCAGTAGTATTTTTTTGTAATGTATTACTATCATTCTGTTTATTTCAATTAAGTAATATTTTGGTTCATCCAAAAGTATAATTCTTCACACACAGTTTTTGTTTTTGTTTTTTTTAGCAGACGCAATTCAGACTCTGCAGGCCCATTTGCAGTGCCTGACCATCTTCGGCAAGACGTGGAGGAATTTGAAGCTCTCTATGACCAACACAGTAACGAGTATGTTGTTCGCAACAAGAAGCTGTGGGACATTAACCCAAAACAAAAGTGCTCAACTCTTTATGAGTAAGTAGGGTGACATTGCTACAACTGTTGTTTTAGACTGAGGCTGCAGTTAAAAATCAGAAGTTTTAAAATTTGTGTCCCATATTTATTGATTTTTTATTTTTTTAAAGATTTATTTATTTATTTGAAAGTCAGAATTACATAGAGAGAGGAGAGGCAGAAAGAGAGAGAAAGTTCTTCCATCCAATGGTTCATTCCCCAGATGGCCGCAATGGCCGGAGCTGCACTGATCCGAAGCCACGATCCAGAAGCTTCCTCCAGGTCTCCCACACAGGTGCAAAGGCCTAAGGACTTGGGCCATCCCCCACTGGTTTCTCAGGCCACAGCAGAGAGCTGGATCGGAAGAGGAGCTTCCAGGACTAGAACGGCACCATATGAGATGCTGGCGCCTCAGGCTAGGGCATTAACCCACTGCACCACAGCACCAGCCCCGTGTCTCATATTTATTAAATAGCCTTCAGAACCTCTGGGGAAGAACATTGTCAGTGCTTTGTCAGGTGTTACACTGAATTAATTGAGGGTTTTTAATGCTTAAATTTAGAATCCCAGTGATTACTAGTTTTGTCAGTTTGAGCGACTAATACGGACATTTCCTACTAAGCTATCCTGTGATTCCCTGGGAGGAACTATTAATAAAGAAAGAATCATGGTGATTCTGTGATCCACATTACTGTGTGGCTGGATGCATTGTTTGGCCTCTCACCATACTCTTATATACTGGTTTGGATTTACATTTCCCTGATGGCTAGTGATCCTGAACATTTTTTCATTTGTCTGTTGGTCATTTGAATTTCCTCTTTTGAAAAATGCCTGTTCATGTCCTTTCCCATTTCTTAACTGAATTGTTTGGTTTTTTTTGAGTTTCTTGAGCTCTTTATAGATTCTGGATATTAATACTTTATCAGTTGCATAGTTTGCAAATAATTTCTCCCATTCTGTTGGTTGCCTCTTCACTTTGCTGAGTGTTTCTTTTGCAGTACAGAAGTTTCTCAATGTGATGTAATCCCATCTGTCAATTGGCTTTGATTTGATTGCCTGTGCTTCTGCTGTCTTTCCAAGAAGTCTTTCCCTATGCCAGTGTCTTGCAGGGTTTCCCCCAATGATCTCTAGTAATTTGGTGGTACTGGGTTTAAGATTTAGGTCTTTGATCCATTTTGAGTGGATTTTTGTGTAAGGTGTGAGATAGGGGTCTTGCTTCATATTTCTGCACGCAGAGATCCAGTTTTCCCTGCACCATTTGTTGGAGAGACTGTCCTTGCTCCAGGGATTGATTTTAGCTCCTTTGTCAAAGATAAGTTGGTTGTAGATGTGTGGATTGATTACTGGAGTTTCTGTTCTGTTCCATTGGTCTACATATCTGTTTTGTTTTGTTTTGTTTTGTTGTTGTTGTTGTTTTTTCCAGTACCAGGCTGTTTTGATTAAAACTGCCCTGTAGTATGTCTTGAAATCTGGTATTGTGATGCCTCTAGCTTTGTTTTTGTTGTATAAGATTGCTTTAGCATCGTTTGAGCATCATTTTTTTCTAGATCTAAGAAGAATGTCCTTGGTATTTTGATTGGAATTATATTGAATCTATAGATTGCTCTCAGTAGTATAGACATTTTGATGATACTGATTCTTCCAATCCATGAACATGGGAGATTTTTTCATTTTTTTGTGTGTTTTTCTTTAATGTTTTGTAATTTTCATTGTAGAGATCTTTGACTTCCTTGGTTAATTTATTCCAAGATTTTTTTTTTTTTTTTGACAGGCAGAGTGGACAGTGAGAGAGAGAGACAGTGAGAAAGGTCTTCTTTTGCCATTGGTTCACCCTCCAATGGCCGCCGCGGCTGGTGCGCTGCGGCCAGCGCACCGCGCTGATCCGATGGCAGGAGCCAGGAGCCAGGTACTTTTCCTGGTCTCCCATGGGGTGCAGGGCCCAAGCACTTGGGCCATCCTCCACTGCACTCCCTGGCCACAGCAGAGAGCTGGCCTGGAAGAGGGGCAACTGGGACAGAATCCGGCACCCCGACCGGGACTAGAACCCGGTGTGCCGGCGCCGCTAGGTGGAGGATTAGCCTAGTGAGCCGCGGCGCCGGCCTATTTTTAAAAATCTCCAAACATAATTCTTTGAATTTTTGAAATAAACACATGATCCCTTCAGAATGATAGTTTGTGTTATTGACCTAGGATAAAGGAAAGAAAACTTCAGCTAACCTCGGGTGCATGAAAAGAGTGTTTAGGAAAAGAATATTGGATGAGAAGTTGAGAATACTGGGGATGGTGTTGGCATTGTGGCAAAGTGGGTTAAGCTCCTGCTTTGGACACCCATCTCTCATATTAGAGTGTGCCAGATCCAGTCCTGACACCTCTGCTTCTGATCTGTCTTCCTGCTAATGCTCCTGGGAGGCAGCAGATGGTGACTCAAGTGAGTGGGTCCCTGCCACTCGTGTGGGAGATACAGATGGAGTTCAGGGCCTGGCTTCAGCTTGGCCCATCCCTAGATGCTGTGGGAATTTGGGGAACGAGTCAGTAGAACCTCCCCGTGCCTCTCCCTCTCAGCCTCCTCCTTCCTTCCCCTTTCTCTGCCTTTCAAGTAGATGAAATTAAATGGACATTTAGAAAGTAATACTAGGGGGGCTGGCGCTGTGGCACAGTGGGTTAATGCCCTGGCCTGAAGTGCCAGCATCCCATATGGGCGCCGGTTCAAGGCTCGGCTGCTCCACTTCCGATCCAGCTCTCTGCTATGGCCTGGGAAAGCAGCAGGGGATGGCCCAAGTCCTTGGGCCCCTGCACCCGCGCAGGAGACCCGGAGGAAGCTCTTGGCTTTGGATTGGTGCAGCTCCAGCCGTTGCAGCCAACTGGGGTGTGAACCATTGGATGGAGGACTCTCTCTCTCTCTTTCTTTCTGCCTCTCCTCTCTGTGTAACTCTTGACTGTCAAATGAATAAATCAAAAAAAAAAAAAAAGTTTAGGAAAGCAGATACATTTTAAAAAAAAGTAATACTAGGATAATTTCTACCAAGTAACCTTTTATTGATATTAAATAAGAATCCTAGGATAATTTCTACAAACTGACCTTTTCTTGATTTTAGTATTTCTCTTTAAAGTATGGAATTAGCCTAATTTACTTTAATGACCTCTATCTGGTTCTAACATTTTATGATTTTGACAGTTGAAGCAAATTATTCTTCATTAGTTTTTCCTACCACTACTTCAGTGGTATTAGCTGTCAGCAAAGATTTATTAAAGACATAAGGCTAAGCAGTGTTACAGATTCCAGAAACAGCAGAAGGTGTGGTCCTGTCATGCAGCCTTCAGCATTGCAGGACTAAGATGACCGTTGGTGGGGTTACATTACTGCAGATAAGAATCACGAGCGTTAGAGCAGAGTTGTGTGCAGTGGGTGAAGCTGCTGCCCAAGAAGCCAGCATCCTTTCCGAGTGCCAGTTCGAGTCTTGGCTTCTCCACTTCTGATGTATCTCCCTGATAATGGGCCTGAGAAAGCAGTGGAAGATGGCCCAAGCGCTTGGGCCCCTGCCACCCACGTGGGAGACTTGGGTGGAATTCCAGGCTCTTGGCTTCGGCCTGGCCTAGCCCTGGCCATTGCAGCCATTTAAGGAGTGAACTGGCATATGGAAAATCTCTCTTTCTCTGTTTATTCTTTTTTTTTTTTTTTTTTTTTTTTTTGACAGGCAGAGTGGACAGTGAGAGAGACAGAGAGAAAGGTCTTCCTTTGCTGTTGGTTCACCCTCCAGTGGCTGCCACGGCTGGCACGCTGCGGCCAGCGCACCGCGCTGATCCGATGGCAGGAGCCAGGTGCTTCTCCTGGTCTCCCATGGGGTGCAGGGCCCAAGCACTTGGGCCATCCTCCACTGCACTCCCTGGCCACAGCAGAGAGCTGGCCTGGAAGAGGGGCAACCAGGACAGAATCCAGCGCCCCAACCGGGACTAGAACCCGGTGTGCTGGCACCGCAAGGCGGAGGATTAGCCTAGTGAGCCATGGCACCGGCTCTCTGTTTCTTCTCTTCCTGTAATTCTGCCTTCCAAATAAATACATCTTTTTAAAAAATAAATGCTAAAATAATAAGAACCATGAGCATGTACGAAACTGATTTTGCCCAGAATAGTACTGTGGAAGTACTTTCCTTGTTCTTTAAATTTTTATGTATTTGAGAGGCAAAGTGAGAGAAATAAAGAGTGAGCGAGCACACCCTCATATCCTCTTTTTGAGTCCCCAAATGTCTTCAGTGGCCAGGGCTGGGTTTGGCCAAACTAAAGATGGGAGCCAAGAACTCAACCACAAGTCTCCCCATGGGAGGCAGAAAGCGTATTATTTGGCCATCACTGCTGCCTCTCGGGGTCTGCATTAATAGGAAACTGGAATCAGGAACCTGATAGTGAATCCAGGTATTTGGATGTGGGTTGCAGGCATCCTAGCCACCATCTTGTTAGGCTACACACTGACCCAGGATTACTTTTTAAATTACCTTTCCCGTCTGTGCCCTGGACTGGCAGCAACGGGCACTGGTCTTCAAAATGCCCATCTTTGGCTATTTAGAACATTAATGATCACATCAAATTATAGAAATGTTATATATACACATAGAAACATGTGCATGTCTACGCAACAAATCTTAGTACCCCTGGTGAATTTGTTTTCTTACAGCAAATTTTACTGCTGTCACATACAACACACTCAGTTCTTTGCCTCTGGTTTTTTTTCCTTTTTAAAAAAATGTATTAGAAATAGAACGAAGGAGAGAGAGCGTCAGTCACGAGGAAGCTCCCACCTGATGGTGGATTGCAGATTCTCCAGGAGCGCAATGTGGGGGCCGTCCCTGGACCTCACAGTCGTTTGCCCTCATTTGTCTCGCCTTCCTTCCCTGTCTGTGGTTGCTCTTTGGTCACTGGGAGCAGCTTCCCTTCACGTGGGCTCTGTTCTTGGTTCAACACTTCAGATTTCATTTTCTTAGTCCGGGTAGAAAAGCTTTAGTAAACCACGTACACCGTTCATCAGTTATTTTACTGCAGTGTAATGGCTGCTGGACAGTGACTGGAAACACTTTGGGCAGATGGTGCGGGCTGATATTATTACTGCCAGCCAGTCAGATCCTCTACAGGATTGGTCGTTCCTGCGACGACAGTGATTGGTTTCTCTTTGTCTCACCTTCCCTCTTCCCCTTTTGCTTTTAGACGTTTATAAAAGGAAGTTGGATGGGAACCCTAGAGCAAAGACATATTGAACCTTAGTTTGCACAGCAGCATGTATATAGAGAGGAAATATTTAGGAATATTGGGAAATACTCCTAAGAAGAAAATATTATAAAACACCTGAGAACAGATTTGGGGTGACTTTTAGTGTTTAGAGCAGAGCAGCAGTGCTGACTGAGGAAAGTGGCATTTGGTCTTTGTAACAGAGTGTCAGTTGCTTTTAAGAGAAGTTAATCATTTTTAATTGCACAAAAAGTGATTTTCTTTTGCTTCAAAAAAGCATTGTTTTTAACTTCCCTTCTAAATATGTGTTGTGCTTGTTTGCATTAATTACTTAAAAAGTTCCTTTACATATTTTTGTTTTTGAAAATGCCTTCTTAGTGGTGTCTGATGTGACTTCCATGCTAGTCATACGATTGTTTTAGGGTGAATACAGAATTCATTGGAAGGAGAGGCCGATCTGAGCCTGATACAAGAATGAGAAAAGAAAATAGACCTAGAATCGGAACATACAAAGCCAGCACAGAAGAGCAGTCAAAGGGACTCGGCCCATCCCTGTGGATCTGGGTCTTGAACAACATTGGTTTATTGATCACGTATGGTTGATGTTGGTCCCTCCAAGTCATTGCACATTCCCAAATGAAAGATTTGACTGTATTTACTATATCCACACTCAATAGGATTTTTTGAGATCTTATTTCCTCTACTAATTTGAGATTTTTTAAAATTATTGTTTTAAAATTTATTTACTTGGGCAGCAGAGGGACAGAGCACTTCATTCCCCAAGTGCGCAAGGGCCAAGGATGGGCCAGACCAAAGCCAGGAGTGGGGAGCCAATTCAGGTCTCCCACATGGGTAGCAGGGACCCAATTACTTGAGCCCACCATTGCCTCCCAGGGTAAGCATGAGTAGGAAGTTGGAATCTGAAGCAGAGCTGGGACCAGAACCTAGGCACTCTGCTATGGGATACAGGCATCCCAACTGTGTGTCCCAAACACTATGCCAGATGACCCACCCTGTCGTTTGACATTCTGGCTATTTGTCCTCAGTAAATATTCTTTCTTGTTCATTACTTTTATAATAGATTATATAATTATACAATTGAAATTTATAAAATAACTTCTTAATCCCTTTTTGCTTTTTCCCAAAAAAGATTCTCAAGAATTATTTTCTAAGGGCTAGACAAAATTGTACGTACTGTATCATAGGCTGCATGAACCTCATGTTCATGTAGGGGGTGGGGGCAGTGAGACTGTTACAAGTGAAATGATGTTTTGCTTTGGAAAATAAGCTTTTTCCCCCCAAATATGTGCAAATGTGTTCTTACAGTAACTCATGTAAATGTACATTTTCTCCAAGCTACTTCTCTCAGTTGTTGGAGGAACATGGTCCCTTAGACATGAGCAACAAGATGTTCTCTGAAGAATATGAATTTTTCCCAGAAGAAACTCGACAGATACTAGAAAAAGCAGGAGGTTTAAAATCTTTTCTGCTGGGATGTCCTCGTTTTGTTGTAATTGACAACTGTATTGCATTGAAGAAAGTTGCATTACGACTCAAGAAAAAAAGAAAGAAGAAAAACATTAAAGCAAAAGTGGAAGAAATTTCAAAAACAGGAGAATATTTGCGAGTTAAACTACCACTGAATCCAGCTGCTAGAGAATTTAAACCAGATGTGAAGTCCAAAACAGTGTCTGACTTCCCTTCAGCCCCAGCTCCTGAGCGTGTGAAGCCCAGGCCCAGATCTGCTGATTCTCCCAAACCAGGCTGTGAAGATGCGAAGCCCAAGTTGGTCTCTGAGCATTCTTCCCGGCCAGTTCCTGAAGACGGGAACCCTAAGGGGTCTTCCTCTAGTTCTCCCAAACCTGTCTCTGAGGATACAAGTCACAAGCGAGCCTCCTCACATTGTCCCAAACCAGTTCCTGAAGATGTGAAAGCAACCTACTGGACACAGTCCCATTTGGTCACAGGATACTGTACCTATCTTCCCTTGCAGGGATTTGACATCACCCAGACACCGCCAGCATACATCAATGTGTTACCAAGCTTGACCCAGTACACTGCCATCTACACACCTTTGGCCAGTATTTCCTCTGAATATCAGCTGCAAAGATCAATACCCGTGGTGCCATCTTTTGTCGCCAGTGACACAGCAGATAAAAATGCTGCTATGTGTTTTGAGGGTCATCCTCTGAATACTGAGCAAGCCTCTGGGGACCAGATGGCCCTCCAAACACGAGTCCGTGAACAGCCTTTGGGAATACCCGTGAAGTCGCAGTGCAGCACAGATGGTGCTGATCTGTCCCCGAGCGAGTCTAACAGAAATGCCGGGCACGCTGGGAGTCCTAAGAAGTGTGAAGTAAATCCAGAAAGTATCGGTGCAGTAACAGATGCCCCACAGACGCAGATGGCTGCCACACAGGTAAGACTTAAACAGAAGTCTTACACTGTAGCAAAGTTAAAATCCCTAAAAATGATTCTGATGGTTACTGAGGCCTTTGTTGGAAAATACTTTAAGTCTAAGAACACTTTTTGAAACATAACAGGCACATTTGTCAGAAAGAAGTTTTCAGTCCAGTAAATAATACCCAAATTCTGTAGCAACTGAGAGCCAGTGGAGTCAGCTGAAACATTTTAATAATTAATAAAGTCACAGTTGGAGGGTGTGGCTGTTTCTTTATAGAAAAGTACAGATGCTAATAACGGTCAAGCCCACATCACTCAAGCTTGCCTGCCAGTTACAGCAAGACCAGAACAGGAGACTGTGGGATTTACTGCAGGTCGGGGGCTGGGAGGGTGGGGGAACATGATGATGGCTCCTCAGAGAAAAGAAAGGAAGAAGAGTCTCCAGCTTCTCCTGCCAAACCAGGGGAGGAATGAGGGAGGCAAAAGAAGTGTCCTCACGGAGGGAAACCAGAGGGGAGTCCATGGAGGAGTCCTTCCCAGCAGGCCTGAGAGTAAACCCAGGTTCCTCTCCAGTTGCCTTTCTAGGGTGTGAATTGATTTAAATGCTTGGGTTGCCCCACTGCTAAGTTAAACAAAATGTTTCAAGTGTTACAAGTGATGAACCAAAATCATTTTCAGTTACACTAATTCTGAAAGTATCTCCTTACTAATAATAAATATTTATTGAAAACATAGGACATAGTCTAAATTGGAAACAAAACTTGAAAAATTGTGAACATGTTTTAAAATGTTATTACACGGTGAGTTTATGTACAAAAGCAACTGAGGCAAATTGAAATGAAGGGATTGTTTTGCCCCATAGGTGTCTTCAACCATAATGCACCAAGAAGTCAACACTGAGCCGGAAGATCCTCTTAAGACACCACAAGTGAGTCAAATTGTATTAACCTCTTTAAAAGTTTAATTTTCATTAATTATTCTAGATGGGAATGATGAGTCAGAACTATCTTAGACTCAGCTAAGTTGATCTAAAGGAAAGTAAGTTTTCTTATAGCATATTTATTATAAAATATGATGGCTTTATTGTTTTAATTGGTGAAACGATGATATATTGATTTATAAATGAAGTATTCATGTGAATAATACAGAAAGATATTATAAAGACTTTCACCACTTTAAGTGATCCAATTAGAAATTCCATTAATATAATTTACTTTATTGATGCATTGTGAGAGAATAATTATTTGATCAGCTGTAAAGGTACTGAAAAGGTGCTGGGTAAAATTAACCTCCCCCCATTTTTTAAACAAATGCTGATAATAAAATGAGAATTAGTATCTCTCAACATACTAGTATCTTTCTCTTAAGCCAAAAGCCATCTTGCTTAAAGGTAAAACGTCACCACTAATATATTATCCTAGAGATACTAACTGACAAAATTAAATAAATAATGTAGAAAACAGGAGATAGAATTACCATTATTTACAGAGACTAAGATTGTATTTCCTGAAAAATCTAAAATGACCAACTGAAAACTTGGACCAAAGTAAGAGAACTCAGAATGATGACTGGATACAAAATAAATAGCTTCTCATGTACTAACAACAGGCTGTTAGAAAGTGTGTCAGAAGAAAATATTCCATTTTCAATAGCAACTAAAAGATAAAATACTTGTCTATGTAAAGAAAACTGAAATGCTTTCAGAGACACATAGGAAGACCCATTATAATAAAGAGACTGATTGGTTCCCCTCAAGCTTTTTTAAATTTAACACAATCCCAGTTTACAGTGATATATATACAACAGACTAGCTCAAAATCTATGGCTTAAACCAAAGAGAAGCATGTGTTATCTCATTGTTCTTCCAGGTCAGGAATTTAGGAGCCACTTTAGCTGAGTGGTTCTGGAGATATTATTCAAGTAACAGTAAAGGTGTTGGTGAGGACTTAGTCACCTCCAGGAAAACCTGGGCTGGAGGTTCTGCCTCTGGGATGGCTCGAGCACATGCTGACACGGAGCCCAGTGGCTGTTAGGCCCTACTTTAGGAAGCTCCACTTCACTCCTGTTTGCCTTGATCACAGAGCAGCTCCTCAAGCTGGTTGTGCAGAAAGAGACCCTGTATAAGGGCATGAATACCAAGAGGCCAGGACCTTGGCAGCTGACTTGGAAGCTGCCTACCGCACAGGATTTACTTGGAACTAGACAAACTGATACCACTTTTTGTGGAAAATGAGCCTCAGGAATGGTCAGGGGAAAGGAACTGTAAGAGAATTATGAAGCTAGATAGCACATAAATAGACCATTAGAATAAAAGTCTTATGGAATAGAATACAGAAATTTAAGGTATAGTGAAGTTGCTAAACTATCAGTGAGCAACATGTTGATTAAACACTTGGTGCTGGGGCCTGCGCTGTGGCGTAGCGGGAAAAGCCACTGCCTGCAGTGCTGGCATCCCATACGGGTGCCAATTTGAGTCCCAGATGCTCCACTTCCAATCCAGCTCTCTGCTGTGGCCTGGGAAAGCAGTAGAAGATGGCCCAAGTCCTTGGGCCCCTGCACCCATGTAGGAGACCTGGAAGAAGCTTCTGGTTCCTGGCTTCAGATTGACACAGCTCCAGTCGTTGTGGCCATTTGGGAAGTGACCCAGTGGCTGTAAGACCTCTTTCTCTGTCTCTGCCTCTCTGTAAATCTGCCTTTCAAATAAATAAATCTTTAAAAAAATAGTTTAAAAAATGAATTAAAAAAATAAACACTTGGTGTTAGGAGAAATGGGTTGCCATCTAGAAAAAAATTAATTTGGATCCCTACTTAATTGCTTCCACCCAAATAAAATCCAGGCAGATCAAAGATTTAATATAAAAAAATGGCCCCTCTATAAAAGTGCCCCCTTGAAAAGGGAAATTTGGTGACCATTTCTTTTCACTGGGGTCTCACCCACAAAGGTGCTTCATGTAGGACATTTTTTACCATTGTGTCCTGGCTTTTCAGCCAGACCAGAATGCCTTAAGGGCTGATTCTGAGGTCAGAGTGCTATTTAAAGCGATTGTCATGCTATGAGTCTGCTGTGTGGACTGCTTCCCTTGTTGGAGCATTCACTCCTTTTTAATTCTATCCGTTATTATTACAGGTCACTTAATCCTATCTATGTGATTACTTTAATACTTAATCCTATCCATATGATCACTTTAATACTTAAAATGCTGATTTTTACTACCCAGCTTAATTAAGGGGACTTGGGGTCCTAAGGCAGATTTTTAAACTGTACCCTTAGAAGTAAGTCCATAGGAATGTATGCAGGACTATACAGCTTTTACTGTAAACTTCATGCACTTCAGAATTACAACTTTAGGAACATGGTGATTCTTTCCACCATGCCTGCCTTCCCACCCACACTCCCACCCCCTTCCTCCTCCCTCTCTTATTCCCCCTCTTATTTTTTATTAAGATCTATTTTCTTTTTTTTTATTTAGTAAATATAAATTTTCAAAGTACAGTTAATGGATTACAATGGCTTCCCCCCCCATAATTTCCCTCCCACTCACACCCCTCCCATCTCCCGCTCCCTCTCCCATTCCATTCACATCAAGATTCATTTTCAATTATCTTTATATACAGAAGATCAATTCAGTATATATTAAGTAAAGATTTCATCAGTTTGCACCCACACAGAAACACAAAGTGTAAAATACTGTTTCAGTACTAGTTATAGCATTACTTCACATTGGACAACACATTAAGGACGGATCCCACATGAGGAGTAAGTACACAGTGACTCCTGTTGTTGACTTAACAATTTGACACTATTGTTTATGGCGTCAGTAATCTCCCTAGGCTCTAGTCATATGAGTTGCCAAGGCTATGGAAGCCTTTTGAGTTTGCCGACTTCGATCTTATTCCGACAGGGTCATAGTCAAAGTGGAAGTTCTCTCCTCCCTTCAGAGAAAGGTACCTCCTTCTTTGATGGCCCCGTTCTTTCCACTGGGATCTCACTCACTGAGATCTTCCATTTAGGTCTTCTTTTTCAATTAACTTTATACACATGATTAACTATACGTTAAGTAAAGAGTTCAACAAATAGTATGAAAGAAAAAAAAAATAACTGTTCCTCAACAGTCAAGACAGGGACTGTTCAAGTCGTTGCTTCTCAAAGTGTCTATTTTACTTCTACAGATTTAGGCAATACTTTTAAGAAGATAGACTCACACTGAGTATGTTGTATTTGAAATTTGCAGTCCTCATGTAATGCAGATGGACATCTTTCCTAGTTAGTAAACAAAAGACTGACAGCTTCATTTTCAGCATCCGACTCCTCGGACTCAGGCATGTGATTGTGGACTGTCCTAGCAGTGTGAAAGGTTTTCAGAATCCTTACAGAGGAAGACTTAAAAGTAGGGACAAAGTCAATATATTCTGTTCATATCTGAAATATATGTAGTAACTATTTTTAATAAAAAAACTTGTTTTAATAAAAAGTTCTTGATGTTTATTGTGGAGAATGACATTGAGATCAAACCATTGATCTAATACTAAACTTTCCTAAAACAAATAAGTATCAAGAACTAGTTACAATGTAGATTGAAGAGTTTCAGTATGTATTCCAGTAATATGAATATTACTTTTTAAAATATGGCTTTACTAAACCGTGTTTAGGGATTTTTAATTCCTGAATTACTGTGGTATTCCTCTTGTACATTTTCACCTGTATTTCCTTGTTCTTTTCTTGTTTTAAGAGATAGTTCAGAATAAGAGAGTAAATAGGCATTTTGAACTACTTTAATACGCAATTTTATAATTTACTTTTAGGGGGATATTTCACGGATTGAAAAGGAGTACCAAGGATTACAAGAGCAGCTTAAGGAAGCATATGAAAATTATGAGCAGATAAAACTCAAGGGCTCAGAAGAGACCAGGGACCTGGAAGAAAAGTTGAAAAGGAATTTAGAAGAAAACAAGGTAATCCTGCCATTTGCAATCTCTCTTTAATTGCATGTGGCAATTAGGAGAACATAGCTGTGCTGAACATCATTGGCTAAACAAAAGGTTCTTTCTCAAAATTGCCTGTTTCAAATTTCTCTATAATATATTTAAGTGACAGCATTTCTTGCAGTATTTTATAGCCTCTATGAATTCTTTTTAAAAAAGGGCTGTAAATCTGGGTTTTCATTTATCCATAATTCAGCTTCTTCATTAACAAAAACTCCATGTATAGTGACTTAAGTTCTGAGTTAAATGTTTTTTGTATTGCAAGGCACTTTAGGAATTAGTGGTGGCCGGCACTGTGGCTCACTAAGCTAATCCTCCGCCTTGCGGCACCTGCACACCAGGTTCTAGTCCTGGTTGGGGCGTCGGATTCTGTCCCGGTTGCCCCTCTTCCAGGCCATCTCTCTGCTGTGGCCAGGGAGTGCAGTGGAGGATGGCCCAAGTGCTTGGGCCCTGCACCCCATGGGAGACCAGGAGAAGCACCTGGCTCCTGCCATCGGATCAGCACGGTGCGCCGGCCATTGGAGGGTGAACCGACAGCAAAGGAAGACCTTTCTCTCTGTCTCTCTCTCTCACTGTCCACTCTGCCTGTCAAAAAAAAAAAAAAAAAAAAAAAAAAAAAAAAAAAAAAGAAGAAGGAATTAGTGGTTCTGAGTGTGAGCCCTGGAGTCAAAATGTCAGGGTTCAGGGCCAGACTGGTTCTAATCTTCGACAAGCTATTTAGCTTCGCTGTGTTTTAGTTCCTTGTCTGGAAATTCTGAGCAGTAATTGCTCCCAGTTCCTGGGGTTGGAGTCACACTTGTAAAGTACTCACATTATAAAGCCTCAGGAAGTATTGTCTGCCACTGCTATCACCATCATCTTCCTCTTCACCTAAGACAGTGTAGGAATAACATGGTGGGGGTGGGGTAGGTATATCTGAACTGTAAGCTCACCCACATCATCATCATCTTCCTCCTAAGACAGTGTAGGAATAACACAGTGGGGGGTTAGGTATATCTAAACTGTAAGCTCACCCAGAGAATCTCATTTAAATCTTCTGATCTTGAATTCTGTGAGCTCAGATTGGTCGTCTGTTACAGGTAGCTGGCAGTGGAGTGACACTCAAGTGGCAAGGCCAATCTGGAAAGGAAAATAGAATTCTAGATGTGAGGAGATCATAGTGTGCTTTGTTTTTAAAACTATTATATTCTGTTCAGAGAGAGATTAATCCATTTAAGAAGAAGAAGAATTTGTTCCACAAGTCTGGATCAATAGCTGGGGTAACATACAGAAGAAAATTAGCCAAGTGGAACATTAATTAAGAAGCACGCGTACTGAGATTTAAGTACACCAAAGAAAAGGGTCAGATTGCAAAGGGAATTTTCACAGCATCCCCCAGGACCTTTGTGAACTCTGGGTGGGGCTGGGGAGATTGAGAAGATGAGGAGAAGTGGGTGGAAGACAAGACCTTTCTGCTCAGTTCTCTGGTTGGGAATTGGGGAAGAACAGCGAGCAAAACCAGAAGTCTGCCTTGCTCAGTGACACACAGATCACGAGTTTGAATAAGCTACTTGGGAGGCTTACCAAAATAAAGTGTCTGTATAAACTCTGTGTTGCCTCGGGCAAATTCAGTTTTGATTAAATCCATGTGGAAATGGCCGTGTGTGCCTCTTCGGAGTGCCAGAGCAGATGTGGGGACATGGGTATTGGTATTCAGTGAGTGAAGTGGCTTCCGGCTGGCAGGGCCTCTCTGGCTTCATAGATGGGTGCCCTGCCCGGGTGCTGTACTGGAGCAGTTCTTCAGGGCCCTGCTGCTTGTGTAGTGGAGCAGGAAGCACACAGGGAAGAGGAGGCGGGGGGGGGGGCGGGGGGGGCGGGGCAGCAGCTCTGGCAGCGGGTCCTGCTCCTGCGCTTTCTCGCCTGGACAGGCTGTGCTCAAGAACACGGGCAGTCTGCCTCTGTAAAGGGTAGTGAGGGGCTTATTAGGTTACTAGATTCCTGTGTGAAGTATGTACTTGTTTCTTATTAGGATAAATCCCTTTGCTTGGTATCTACACAAGAGCAGATGAGATTTAGACCTGGTCCCTTTTTTATTAATCATGAGGCTGCTGTGTTATTAAAAGGTGGTTAGTACCAACAGCAGATGAAATCGTGTCGTATTTTCACTGGCTGAGCTATACAAGAGGGGGTGTTTGTGTGTGCACACACGCGCTCCTATCTTTGTAATACTCGTGCCTTTTGTTACCTGAACTCTCTTAGGTCCGTTTGCAAAGTGAGTCCTCATGCCTCGGCATAACCTGGGGTTGCACACAACCTCTCAGCCCAAGGGCTGGGTCTGAGGGAAGAGCACTGGCGCAGAGCAGACAAGCAGGATGGACGGGCCGCGGGGTCGTGGCCGTAGTGCTGAGCCAGGCAGAGTACATGGAGGGCAGGAAGTGGAGGTGTGGCGGTCACCTCAGTCACAGTAATGAGTTGACAAGTTCAGCTGCAGAAGGAAGATGTGAGCAGAATTGGTGCCCAGGCGAAAGGGAGTGCTGAACTATTGTTGAACCTCTGCCCCCAAAAGCAGTTGGCCTGGGCAGCTCAAAGCCACTGAACTCAGCCCCGCCCCTGTGGAGGGACTCAGAAGTCTTGGCAGATTCGCCTCCCTGCTCTTTGAAACACTTGGTGTCTGTTAGAGGCTGAAGAGGGAGAAGTGGCCTCTGAGTCAAGGACTGCTATTGCTGTGAGGCCATTGTTTCCCATGGAGTCCATGGAAAGTGGCTTCAGGGGCCCGGTCTCTTCTAGGGGAAGGCGCTACAGTTCTGCAGCTGAACCCTTGTCCTCAGTGACCTCGGCATGTTCTCAGAATAAGCAGGAAGTCAGCTACACAGGAACCTGATAGGAGATGAAAAATGAAAGCTTACTCCTAGACGGATAGGAAATCAGTATTAATCATGAAGCAGCCATTGAAAATAGTGGAATTATTCAAACTGGAGGATATTTAACTTATCACTTTTAGTTGTTTCTTTAACAGGTGCTCTGGTTCCCTGAGTCTCATTCTCATTTATAGTAACTATTAGAAATATTAACATAGAGAATATCTTACTTACAAATGACTGGCAATTGGAAGCATGAATCAGACCCAAAACTTTTCCTCCTGTCAGATAAATTCTGGATAAGTTGTGGGTTCGGAAGTCTCACACATCTAAGTGCCCAGGGAAGCTGACAGAGAGGCTGGGGACAGTGGTGTGGACCCTGACCTTCCAGAGCAAAGAGAACCTGTGTTGCCTCAAAAGAATACTTCGTCTCCCTTGTCACACTGCCCGACACTCTGGCAGGTATCTCAACCTCAGTGCTTCTGCTCTCCAGCTGGAGCCATCACATCGATATTTTATACACAAACAAAAGCATTTGGACTTGCCAAATAAAGCCCATATTTAGGCTGCCTCTAGATAAGAGAATCCTATAGGTGGCAGTGAAGTGTGGATGCGTGTGGACACATTGAAGTGGCTCTTCAGGGTCCCTTCCTGTAACCAGGTGTTCTCAATGGTCAGGAAGCGGCTCCATCCTGCACACGGCCACAGCGCTGGCTCAGGTGGGTGTGCCCACTGAGCTCAAATCATTGAGGAAGCCATGACACCAGCAAGGCTCTAGTCTGTTGGTTTCTTTTTTTCACAAAAATAAATCTTGCCTCTTATTCATGTATTTTCTAAAATGTTTTTAGATCTCAAAGACAGAATTAGATTGGTTCCTTCAAGATTTGGAAAGAGAAATTAAAAAATGGCAACAAGAGAAAAAAGAAATCCAAGAAAGACTAAAAGCACTGAAGAAGAAAATCAAAAAAGTTTGCAATGCGAGTGAGATGTAAGTAACAATAAGCATTTTAATATTGTGGAGTTTGTATTTTTATATTTAATTTCAAACTCTGCTAAGTCAAACTTTATAGTTTTCAGTGTTTTTATCTCACTTAGAAAACCATGCACTTAGTAGTTAACTAAGGTTTGTTTTCTAGCATGTTTTTAGATAAGTCAGCAAAGAACTGGTGTCTTTCTAGTTTGAACTCCACCCTTCCTGTGTTACCTTGGGTCCTCTTTTTCCTTATTGGTAAAAGGAGAGGCTAGTCTAGACCCACAGTTCCTTCCAGCACAAGTTCTGTGGTGATTGATTACTTTGTGCTGGTACATCCTGAGTCTTTATTGAAATTTGACCTTGTATTGTGAAGGACTGGGTGACGCATGCAAGTCCCAGGCATTGTTGTCACGTGAGCCAAGTTGTCAGGTGGTTGCTTTGTTTTCTTTTAAGATTTATTTTATTTAAAAGGCAGAGATACAGAGAGAGAAAGAGAAAGACAGATCTTCCATTTGCTGGTTCACTCTCCAAATGTCACAACAGCCAGGGCTGGGCCAGGTCAAAACCAGGAACCAACAGCTCAGTCTAGGTCTCCTACATGGATGGCAGGGGCTCAAGTACTTGAACCATCTTCCACTTCTTTCCCAGGCACATAAACAGGGAGCTGGATAGGAAGTGGAGCAGCCAGGGCTCAAACCAGCGCTCATGTGGGATAATGGCATTGCAGGCGGCAGCTTAACCTGCTGCAGCACAACACTGACCCCTAAGTGTGACTTAATGCTGGCTAACATATCCAGACTCAGTAACTTGGCTTAGTAGTTGTTTCATTTGCTCATGGTCCTGCAATCTGGGCTGAATCCAGCTGGGCCATTTTCTTGCAGCTCTTGGCTGCATTTTGTAGGGAAGTTGGCTATGGCCGGGCCCAGCTAGGATGCTGAAGTCGTTCATCCTGTTTCTGTCCTTTTTTTTTTTTTTTCCAGAGTCCCTGTCCCTGTTTCCTCTCCCTATGGTTTTTATCCATATGATGTTCCCATATGTTCCCTAGTGTGATAGCCAGACTTATTTGGTGGCTAAGGACCCCCCAAGGATGCAGAAGTGGAAGCTGCCAGACCTTCTGAAGTGTCGGGCTAGAACTGTCCCAGCATCGCTTCCGCTACGTTCTGTTGCTTAGAGCAAGTGGCAGGCCTAGACAAGGCTGACGGGCACGTGTGTGGGAGTGCGGTTCACTGGATGCATGCTGCATGCTCACCTTCAAGGGTGTTCATGTTTTCTCCGTGCTCTGTGCCGTATGATTAAGTGACTCTCGTTGATTGTGGCCAGCCGTGCATTTGGGCGGTGTTCAGGCAGTCCTTAGAAGAATGAGGAGGTAGAAAACACGGCTTTGGAGTTTTTCTTCCCTACGTCATGTCATTGTGGTTAGGCTCCACGTAGTTTCATTGAACACTTTATGGAGACAGCAATATCTGAAAACTCTTAATATTTGAGCATTTTCAGTCTTAGTCAACTTTTAAAATGTGGAAGTAATTATTTTAATATTTTTTTTACATGTTCAGTTCAGACATACTAGCAAACCATGCAAGCCTAAATGGAGCTGCTAATGATAAGAATAGTTTTTTTCTGTACTGGCATGAAAATTAGCCATTTGGCCTAGTGATTATCGCCACTGGGGATACTTGTATCCTGTATCAGAGTGCCTGTGTTTGAGTTCCAGCTCTCCCTCCATCTTCCTGGGAGACAGAGCTGGATGGCTTCACTATTTGCATCCCTGATGTCACATGGGAGACCGCAGTGAAATTCTGCCTCTGGTCCAGGACAGCGCCTGCTGTTGCAGCACTTGGGCAGTGAACCAGCAGATGGGTGCTCTCTGGCTCTCTGTGTCTCTGCCTCTCAAGTTTAAAATAAAAAAAATTCTCCTGAAAAATAAACTTTCTTTGAGTTTTTTTTTTCTACTTTCTTTGTCACAGACTTCTCTAAACTTTTTGTGCATTCCAGATTAATTCTTTAAAAGTAACTTTTTTTTTTTTTAAGATTTACTAATTTACTTGAAAGAGTTACACAGAGAGAGAAGGCGGGGCAGAGAGAGAGGTCTTCCATCTGCTGGCTTACTTCCCAGTTGGCTGCAACAGCCAGAGCTGTGCCAGTCTGAAGCCAGGAGCTTCCTCCGGATCTTCCCATGTGGGTGCAGGGGCCCAAGGACTTGGGCCATCTTCTGCTTTCCCAGGCCATAGCAGAGAGCTGGACCAGAAATAGAACAGCCGGGACACAAACCAACGCCTATATGGGCCGAACCAGCACCTATATGGGATGCTGGCCCTGCAGGAGGCGGCGGCTTTGCCCACTATGCACAGCGCCAGCCCCTAAAACTTTTATGTTTAGAATAGAGAAGCACCAGGGATATGACAAATAAATTGACGTTGCTACACTTTTGATCACTCAGTAGCCAATAAAAAATGCCCAGTACTTAAAGAGCTCACAATTGGCGTAGCAAAAGAGATTGCAGGTGGCCATGAAAAGGCAGGAATTCCACACAAGTATCCCCCAACATTGAGTATTTAAGGAGAGAGGAAGCACTTCACAAAGAAGTGCAGTGGCAGTTAAACTGGCGTGTACTGGGTACTCGGGTGTCCTGCTCCGTAGAGATGATAGAAGGTGTGTCAGCTTAGCAGGAGAGTCAAGGCAGAACCGTGAGGTGCGGGGCGTTGCCCAAGATCCATACAGGGTTCTGAAGGCTGCAGCAGTCTCTGTGTGTTTCTGTTTGACTTTTAAGTTCTAGAGAGTGGAAGGCTGTTTTCAACATGTATTTTCTCTTGAATGAGAACCAGTGGCTCTACTGACAGTGGTGCCACATATCTTGAGACACGAGGGAGTGACTGACCAGTAAGCTCAGGACTCGGTGTGGTAAGAACTAGGTGCTCTGTCCTCGAGGTGTAAAGGACAATGACCTTAAATTCTTGGCCTGTTAAGAGGTACTAGAAATGAAACATGGACAAGCATAAATCAGGAAATCACTGGGTGGATACAGATGGGATTTACTGTGGAGTCTTGTTTTTTTTTTTTTTTAATTTGAAAGTTACTTAAAACTTGGGGATTATGCTCTTTTAGGTCTACCCAGAAAAATGATGGAATGGAACAGGAACGTGAATTACGTGTGGATCAATCTGTTGAAATCAGGCAAATTAAATTTATTTTAATACCTTCTTACACAAGCACACTAGATTCCGCTATGTTTTTACTCATCCATTTATTTGAGATAATTACATTTCTGTTTGCTTTATTTCTATTTCATTGTTAAGTTAATATTTAAATACATTCTTTAAATGTTTTAATAAGGATTTTGCTTTTATTTCCCATTGTCAGTGTTGAAAGTTCTGAATTTATTGATTATTTTTTTCTTGCATTATAACTTGAAACTAAAAATGTGTTTTAAAGCTTTCATTTTGTGTTACGTGAAATATTAACCTCAAGCATAGGATGGTAGTTGACTACTGTTGTTGCTCTATGATTAGAGACTCACTAAAGAATTTTTTTGAAAAATTTTTTTTTTTTTGACAGGCAGAGTGGACAGTGAGAGAGAGAGACAGAGAGAAAGGTCTTCCCTTTTCCATTGGTTCACCCCACAATGGCCGCTGCGGCTGGAGCACTGCGCTGATCCAAAGCCAGGAGCCAGGTGCCTCTCCTGGTCTCCCATGTGGGTGCAGGGCCCAAGCACCTGGGCCATCCTCCGCTGCACTCCCTGGCCACAGCAGAGAGCTGGCCTGGAAGAGGGGCAACCGGGACAGAATCCAGCGCCCCGACCGGGACTAGAACCCGGTGTGCTGGTGCCGCTAGGCGGAGGATTAGCCTAGTGAGCCGCGGCGCCGGCCTGTTTGTTTGTGAATTGTGCTTTTAGATGGTGGTCGAGGCCGGCTTGGGCCCTGCACCCCATGGGAGACCAGGAAAAGCACCTGGCTCCTGGCTCCTGCCATCGGATCAGCGCGGTGCGCCGGCCGCAGCGCGCCGGCTGCGGCGGCCATTGGAGGGTGAACCAACGGCAAGGGAAGACCTTTCTCTCTGTCTCTCTCTCTCACTGTCCACTCTGCCTGTCAAAAAAAAAAAAAAAGAATTTTTAATATGAACCTTAAATAAAGTTGCCTTTTAGCCTTTATTGACAGGGATAACACCTTTTCCCATCCTGGTCATGAGTCCCTTCCGTGGTGAGCGCCTGTGCTTCTTTATCACCCCATCCTGTTTCCACATCTGCGTTCTCATCTTGGTCCCCAACCTTTTTTAGCCATCCCTTTGTTGATCATTTAGTTTTTTGTAAACATTTTTTTTTTATTTGAAAGACAGAGTTGCAGAGAGAGGTGGAGACAGAGAGAGAGGTCTTCCATCCACTGGTTCACTCCCCACATGACTGCAACAGCCAGAGCTGAGCCAATCTGAAGCTTCCTCTGGGTCCCCCACGGGTGTGCAGGGGCCCAAATTCGGGCCATCCTCTGCTGCTTGCCCAGGCGCATTAGCAGGGAGCTGGATTGGAAGAGGGGCAGCTGGGACTCAAACCAGCACCATATAGAATGCTGGCACTGCAGGCCAGGGCATTAACAAGCTGAGCCATAGCACCGGCCCTGGTCATTTAGTTTTGTTTCCACCTTTTAGCAGTTCCAAAAGTCTGGCTAAGAACACTTTTGTGTTGGGCCGGCGCCGTGGCTCACTAGGCTAATCCTCCGCCTGCGGCGCCAGCACCCTGGGTTCTAGTCCTGGTCGGGGTGCCGAATTCTGTCCCCGTTGCTCCTCTTCCAGTCCAGCTCTCTGCTATGGCCGGGAGTGCAGTGGAGGATGGCCCAAGTCCTTGGGACCTGCACCCCATGGGAGACCAGGAGGAAGCACCTGGCTCCTGGCTTCGGATCGGCGCAGCATGCTGGCCACAACAAGCTGGCTGTAGCGGCCCCTTGGGGGGTGAACCAATGGAAAAAGGAAGACCTTTCTCTCTGTCTCTCTCTCTCTCACTGTCTGACTCTGCCTGTCAAAAAAAATAAAAAGGAAAGAAAAAGAACACTTTGTGGAGCTCGCTTTTCCCCTTTGGATCATTCCCTTGTAACCTGCTTTGAAGCAGCAGTTCTCGCTCAGAGGCTGACGAGTGCTTTATAAAGTCTGCTGACGTAAGCCAGATTGCACTCCACTTCATCCTGCAAGAGCAGCGGCCTGGTCCTCAGCATTCCCTCCACGCGCTCACTCGAGTTTCACGTCATTTGTAAAGCACCAAGTGTGCATGGGTCTGTGTGGGGGTGAAGTAGGAGGCAAGAAGGTACTTAGAGTAGGTTTCCGAGCTAACCTGCCAGAAGCCACTGCTAATCTCACAGGTGTAATTTGTTTCAAGAATCTCTTTTTTCCCTTTAACGTTTGCAGTGATACATTTACAGACGAGAGGAAGAAGCTGGAAGAGTGTGTGAAGACAGGGAAGGAGCGTTACGAGGAGAGCCGCCGAAGAGCCGTGGCTGCAGAGGTGAGCCATGGCGCTGGGGGCCGGCAGAGGTGAGCCATGGCGCTGGGGGCCGGCAGAGGTCGCGGGGCCATGTGTTGGCTTTTGGTTTCCTTCCTCAGCTATGAAGTGTAAGGACATTGTCAAGTATGTGGAGGGTGAGGTTACCTCCCAGAATCCTGTCTCCCTAAAATAACCACTGTTTCCCCAGCCTCTGGCTTTCCCGTTTTTACCATTGTGCTTGTGCCGTACGTAGATGTGCTTGTGTTGTAGCCAAGCCTCGTACCCTGGTTTCTCTCTTTCACACTATGCATCATTTCCCATACCACGCACCTTGAAGAGCTTCGTCATGCTCAGTCAAGTGGTAACTGCAGTGCCAACCCTAGCACGCCTAATCCCCTCAGGAAGAGCAGCCTCCGCCCTCCCCCAGAGCAGTGTGCACCAGTATCAGTTCACTGTTCGCCAGACTCGGGGACAAATGTCGGAATAATGCCATCCTCAAACGTGGTTGCCTGTGACTTTTCTAGCTGAGAAACAAGTATTCTGTGTTAATACGTGTGTCTGTGATTATACTGGGGAAGATAAGAAAAGGCTCACGCAACCTGCAGACGTTAGACTTTTCAGCTAAACATTGTGCAGCTGCTTCTAAGGGAGGGAAAAAGAAAAGAACTGAAATGTGCGTACTTCGTGGGCCCCACCCCTGCATCTGAATTCCTGCGCTTGCTCATTCATATTTACCACTGTTGTGCCTGGGGAGCTCTGTCGAGGCCACAACCCCCTGGATCAAAATGAAGCTGTTCTGCATTTCCTGTAGTGATTCTTAGAAAAGTGGGCAGCTGGCCTGGGGAAGCCGGGGACGCCAGAGTGTGGGAAGTGTGCTGGAGACTGTGGATGTCCTGTTGAGAGCAGCCTCTCTGAGGCTTTCCACCTGAGTGCGTGCAGCTTCCGCGTTATGCTGTGGGCGGGGCCCTGCTCACCGCAGACGGGACTGCGGGCGCACGTCCTGTGTTCCCACGTGGCTTCAGCACACAGCCTTGTGCAGCCTCAGCTCTGCCAGAAGTGAGGTGCATGACTTAGTGTCATTTTGTTACTCTATTTTTAAATCCCAAACTTTTCATTTGTGTTCACCTAGATGAACCAACAACATAATTGAATTCTGTCCTTGTATCTCATTTACGGGGGAACTGGGAGGTGACTTGAATATTCTAAGTTGTAGCCCTTGGAATGGTTTCAGGCTTTTGTTTGTAAAATACTTCATGTGCCCCCTGACCCGCTGGCAGGTCTCCGTGCTCGAGAACTGGAAGGAGCGTGAAGTGTACAAGCTGCAGGCCCTGGGAAGCCGGGCAGAAGCCTGCCTGAAGAAGCTGGAGCAGGCACGCAGGTAGCTGCAGCTCACCAGAGTCCTTCCCAGTTAGGACGCCAAGTTAGAGACCTTTGGGAAAACTTTTAAATATCAGGACCATTTTATTTTTAATAACAAAAATGGTAAAAATTAGCCATGATTAATCTAAATGGAAATCTAACTAGTTAATATTTTGAATTGAATTCAGTGTTCTAGAAGAAATGAAAATTGATGTATTTTTCCCTTAAGTAGTAAATTTGAAATTTCATATTGATAGGGTTGTCCTACCTAATTTTGAAAGGTTGAATAGTAGTCCAACATGCAAGCATGTCATGATTTATCAAACACTGCTAGAGTGAGACAGAGGTGACTTAAACTGTTGTTAATGCAAGCTGCTCTGCAGTGTAAGCATTCCTACAGTTCAAGTCTTTCTGCACATTATTAGTCACAACCCTGCAGTGAATTTCACAGTGACTGTTTCATGGGAATGTCACTGCGGGGGATGCGCATGTACATTAAGTTTCTTCAGCCCTCCATAATCTTTGCCTGTTTTACTTTTGAAGAAAGCTTACCTGGGAATCTGGAGGTCTCCGTAAGCCTGGCATTTGTGCTTCTCTGTAGGTTTTTGCACTTCAGGTTACTTTGCATCTGGACTTTTTATCACATTCCACAATCCCTGGTTTTCCATTGTTCTTGGTGCTTGCTTTAAAAGAAAAAAAAAAAGATTGATTTTGTTTATTTTTAAGGGAGGGAAGGAGTGGATAAGAGAGAGAGAGAGAGAAAGAGCTGGGGCCAGTGCTGTGGCGCAGCGGGTTAACACCCTGGCCTGAAGTGCTGGCATCCATATGGGCACCGGTTAGAGACCCAGCTACTCCACTTCCCATCCAGCTCTCTGCTATGGCCTGGGAAAGCAGAAAATGGCCCAAGTCCTTGGTCCCCTGCACCTGCGTGGGAGACTGGGAAGAAGCTCCTGGCTCCTGGCTTCCGATCACCATAGCTCTGGCCATTGCAGCCATCTGGGGAGTGAACCAGCGAATGGAAGACACCTACCTCCCTCCCTCCCCCCCCCCCTGCCTCTCCTCTCTCTGTGTAACTTTGACTTTCAAATAAATAAATAAATCATTTTTAAAAAAGAGAGACTTCCCTCCTGAGCGATTGCTTTGTTAAAAAAAAAAAAAAGAGAGAGAGAGAAAGAGCTTCCATCTGCTGGTTTACTCCTGAATGGCCACAAAGGCCGGAGCTTGTCCAGGCTGAAGCCAGGAACCCAGAGATACATCCTAGTATCCTACATGGATTGCAGGGGAGCAAGTGCTTGGGCCATCTTCCTCTGCCTTCCCAGGCGCATGATCAGGGAGCTGGATCCTAAACAAACAGCAGGCTCTCAAACTGGTGCTCAGATATGGAATGCGGATGTTTCAAGGGGCAGCTTAGCCCTGCTGCAGCACCATCCCAGCCCTCTGGGGCTTGCTTTTTGGTTCAAATTTCAGACCTGCAGAGTTGAACCAGAGAGTGGCAGTGTCTTGGGAAAACAATTTTAATGTATAATTTTGTATTCATTTTCAAGATTTAATTTTTTTTCACAAGGAAACCTTCCTGATGAAGGTAAACTAATAATGCTGATTCAGGCCGGTGCCGCGGCTCACTAGGCTAATCCTCCGCCTTGCGGGGCCGGCACACCGGGTTCTAGTCCTGGTCGGGGCACCAGATTCTGTCCTGGTTGCCCCTCTTCCAGGCCAGCTCTCTTCTGTGGCCCGGGAGTGCAGTGGAGGTTGGCCCAAGTGCTTGGGCCCTACACCCCAAGGAAGACCAGGAGAAGCACCTGGCTCCTGCCTTCGGATCAGTGCGGTGTGCCAGCCGCAGCGCGCCGGCCACGGCGGCCATTGGAGGGTGAACCAACGGCAAAGGAAGACCTTTCTCTCTGTCTCTCTCTCTCCCTGTCCACTCTGCCTGTAAAAATAATAATAATAATAATAATGCTGATTCAGATGTCAGGATGAGGACAACTGAGGTTGAGACCAGGGATTCAGATACCTGTGTTAAGCACTAACCATGGGCTTCGTAGCACAGCTTCTATGGGGTATATCTTGGGCCTCATTTCATCTAATAGTGTCAACTGCCTTCAGATAAGCCTTAGAGGACATGCAGACTCTTTCTTGGAGATGCTGTGGTAACTGCCAGTTCCACCAGAGGACAGCAGACAGCAAAAGAGAAAAAACAGCTTTGTGTCTTCTCTAAGATACATCATGTGAACTGACACGATTGCAGAGTGATAGTGGTGTCCGCCTTTTCAGTTAGGGGCAGAAGGTTTGACATATTGAAGATATTATACATTTATCTTCATCTGTCAAGCCCCATTTATTTATTTTCACAGTAAAGTGGGGATTAGGGTTGTATTGGGATGCTTTGACTGTGCAGGATGCCTTTTTAAACATTTTTAAATGCAAAGGCATTGTGGTGCAGCAGAATGAACTGCCATGTACAATGCCGGTATCCCATATTCAAGTACCATTTTCGGTTCCTGCTGCTCTATTTCCCATCCAACTCCCTGCTAATGTGCCTGGGAAAGCAGAGGAAGATGTCCCAAGTGTTTGGGCCCTTAACACCCACCTGGGAGACCCAGGTGGAGTTCCAGGTTCCTGGTTACTGCCTGGCCCAGCCCCAGTCCTTGTAGCCATTTGGGGAGCAAACCACTGGATAGAATATCTCCTTTCTATGTCTCTGTCTGTCTCTCTCTCTCTCTCTGCAATTCTGCCTTTCAAATTGATGTCAAAAATAAATTAGAAAATAATTCGTGCAAAGGCAACCTTCAGTGTTAAACTTGAAGATATCAAATTAAGAATGACGAAATTTTCAAATTTGGTGAAACAAATTAAAATTCAGAATATTTGATCTTTTCTTACCATTTTGGGTGGTTCCTACTTTTTTTTATATCTTTAGTTAAAAATCTCTGAAATGTCTGTAGTGGCAAGCTGGCAGGATACTTAATTTTTAAAAAATAGGTGTATGTGTTTATTTTTTTCATGTTTAAATCTTCATTTTCATTTTTACTTTAGAGCGTTCAAGTTTTTAGATTTCTAAGGTGGATATATGTTTTGTACTTTTTCAGTGACTCTGCAGCATGTCCTGACATAGAGTGTGATATACGTTCATGGAAATCATTCCTTTCTAATGTTGCAGAAGAAATTGAGAAAGTAAAGGTAAATTATAAAACACTATGTAGTTCCGCCTAAATCCTTATGAGGCTTTAATTCTCAGGAGGCTACTGTCATATTGAAACTGTTTCTTTGATGAGCTGTTAATTATAATCAAATACCTTTTTGTTGATATTATTATGAAATCTTCATGAAAGTAGTATTTTCCTAAGTTTCTTCACCTCTGCCCTTGATTACTGAGATTATGTGATAAGGCTGTAGAACATCATGAGGGCTTACTTCGAACTTCTTTTCTTATAAAAAGAATTTGTTAAAATATCTTGCTTCTCAGTTGTACTTCTTAGACAGTTGTTGACCATTTGTAATGTGTAGTAAAAAAGTATTAATTGGCAATTGTGGTTTTTCCCTGGGAATTTGTTAGAAAACTTCACACTTTCACTTCTACCCACAGTCTCAGTTTGAAGAACAAATTAAGGCGGTTAAAAATGGTGCTCGGCTCAGTGAGCTCTCTGCAGTGCAGACTTCCCAGCTCTCGTTTCCTGCCTGTGGCACGGTAGGTCTGTCACAGCTTTTGTTTTCCTTGAGGGAAGGAAGTAGAAAACAATGAAGCACAACTTCTTTTCTTAGCTGGACAAACTAGTTTGCTTTTATTGTTGTTTCCTGGGAGAGGAGGTGGGATGGATTAGTAATTGCCTTACTTTTTCATTATTGCTGCTGCAGGTTAACCTGTTAAGCCTTCTAACACTGTCATGTAGATAGGAGATCAGTCTTCCTGCATCTGTGCAGACGGACAGGACTAAAGCAAATGCTGCTGGAGCGTGTTTCCACCACTTCGGGCACCATTGCCCAGCCCTTCCTCTCTGGGTGCAGGCATGTGTGTGCACGTGCATGCACGCATGGATTCCAGCACTTGAACAAATAATTCAGGAACATGATTCGCGCAGGCCTGCTCTACTGTTACCACCTCAGATTATTTCCAGATGCTTCGGGGCATAAGACCAGAAATCTAAAAATTAAGATCTGTTTTGTCATCAAATACAGAATAAAAGTTTCCGTACCCGAAGCAGAGGGCTTTTATTGGTCTGGCATGCCACAGTTTACACTTAATCTTAGCCAAAAGGCCAAGAAGCAATGGCATGTCATATTTACTGCTGACTTGGGATATTGATTGTTGAATAATAGTGACTGCCAAATCTTGTCTTTTTATTTAAAAATACGCAGCACAGTAAAGAAAAGCATTTATTTATTTATTTATTTATTTATTGACAGGCAGAGTGGACAGTGAGAGAGAGAGTGAGAGAGAAAGGTCTTCCTTTCCGTTGGTTCACCTTCCAATGGCCACTGCGGCCGGTGCACCGCGCTGATCCAAAGGCAGGAGCCAGGTGCTTCTCCTGGTCTCCCATGGGGTGCAGGGCCCAAGTACTTGGGCCATCCTCCACTGCACTCCCGGGCCATAGCAGAGAGCTGGCCTGGAAGAGGGGCAACCAGGACAGAATCCAGCGCCCCTACCGGGACTAGAACCCGGTGTGCCGGCGCTGCATGGCGGAGGATTAGCCTAGTGAGCCGTGGCGCCGGCCAGCATTTATTTTATTTTGTGGTTAACCCTAGTTTTTTGTTTGTTTTAGTTCTGGGCGCCCATTTCTTAGATTTAGACCCAGGACAGATACTCAGTACCTAACAAATTGAAACTAATTAGACACAAAGCATTGCGGGGATGGCCCTTGCCTAGGCTTGGTCCAGGTTCTTGTCTCCATGTGAGAACAAATTCAAGGAGGAGACACAGATGCATGTGAGAAGGAAAGTAAGATTTCTTTAAAGGCAAAGGGAAGCTGCACACTCAGGAGGGAGTGCAGGCTACCTCCTGGAAGGCTGCACCTTATGGCCACCCTCATAAGATTGGGGTGGTGCCTGGGGCAGAGCTTAATTGAGTATCAAAGGAGAGAGTTTGGGGCCCTGCATGAGTTATATGCAGTTATGTGCCCCTCTTTTGGAAATCTCGAAGATCATGGTGTCAGGTGCATTAGCAGCTAGAGTCCATTTGGGGAAATAATGGAAGTGTCATGGCATCAGGTACATGATGGGAGCAGGTGTTCCCATCAGGGTAATTCCATTATCATCATCGGCATCCTGCCTGTTGGGTACTTCTAGCTGGCACAACGCTGGCAAACTGTGTCTACACAGAAGGGGTTGGGGTTTGGTGGTGCATGCAGGGTTGCAGCATGAGTTCCTCTTTGACTTGCTGCTCCCATGCCTACATCAAAAGGAGATCAGACAGTAAGAATTTAATGAGGGACCACAGAAGCCGATCGGAGTTCGGGGCACGACACTGAAATCTGGTTCCTAGAGATGGAAGAGACGGTTCTCCCCAGCACCTGCTTGGAGCTTCTGCCATCGGCAGACCTTTGCCTAGGCTGTTCCTTGGCCTGGACCACCGTCCTCACTCCTCGCCTGCCTTCCTCTGAAGGTGCACGGGGGCTCGGCCTTTGCATCCTGTGCATTGCAGTCCTCCAGGAAGTGGCCAGCACCTTCAGGCCACCTGGTCTTGAACACCCTCTTTTTATGTACGTGCAGCTTGAACTAAGCATGTGGAGACACCGAGTTCTTTCTCACTAACTGAGAAAGACAGATTTGTTTAGAATTAAGTTGACGATCACTTCTCATCTGTAGTTTTTCCAAGTTCTTACAGTAGATACAGAGAAAAGAAACTGAATCTCACTGGAATATTTCACCATGAATTTGTAATTCTAGCTTACATAATTTTTTAAAGATTTATTTATTTATTTATTTGAGAGGTATGAGTTACAGGCAGAGAGAGGGAGACAGAGAAAGGCTTCTACCTGCTTGTTCACTCCCAGGTAGCAGCATCAGGTGGAGCTGAGCCAGTCTGAAGCCAGGAACCAGGAGCTTCTTCTGGGTTTCCCATCTGTGTTTAGGGGCCCAAGGACTTGGGCCATCTTCTGCTGCTTTCCCAGGCCATAGGAGAGAGATGGATTGGAAGTGGAGCAGCTGGGACTAGACCTGGTACCCATTTGGGGTGCTGGTGCTGCAGGTGGAGGCTTAGCCCATTATGCTGCAGCACCAGTCCCAGCTTACATAATTTTTTTTTTTTTTTTTTTTTTTTTTTTTTTTTTTTTTTTTGACAGGCAGAGTGGACAGTGAGAGAGAGAGACAGAGAGAGAAAGGTCTTCCTTTTTGCCGTTGGTTCACCCTCTAATGGCCGCCGCTGCAGCCGGCGCACCGCGCTGATCCTGGCAGGAGCCAGGAGCCAGGTGCCTTTTCCTGGTCTCCCATGGGGGTGCAGGGGCCAAGCCCCTGGGCCATCTTCCACTGCACTCCCCTGGCCATAGCACAGAACTGGTCTGGAATAGGGGGAAACGGGACAGATTCCGGCGCCCAACCGGGACTCGAACCCGGTGTGCCGGCGCCGCAAGGTGGAGGATTAGCCTATTGAGCCACGGCGCCGGCTCCAGCTTACATAATTTTATAATACTAAAAGGAGTTTTTAAAATTTTGTGAGGGGGCGGGCGCGGTAGTATAGCAGGCAAGACCTCCACCTGCAGCGCCAGTGCCCCATATGAGCACCAGTTCATTCCCAGTTGCACTGCTCCCAGTGCAGCTGCCTGCTAATGTTCCTGGGAAAGCAGTGGAAGACAGCCCAGTGCTCGGGACCCTGCACCCATGTGGGAGACCCAGAAGAAGCTCCACTCTTGGCTCGGATCAGCCCAGCACCAGCCATTGCAGTCATTTGGGGAGTGAACCAGCGGATGGAAGACCTCTCTCTCTGCCTCTGCTTCTGCCTCTCTAACTCTACCTTTCAAATAAACAAACCTTTAAAAAAATTTTTTTTGAGAGGAAAAAGGAGAGAGGAGAGAACTTCCGCGCACCGGGTCACTCACCAAACTCTGCTAGGGCTCAGCTGAGGCTGAAGCCAGAGGTTAGGAACTCAATCCAGGTCACTCACATAGGTAACAGAAACCCACACAGGGTCTACACTGGCAGGAAGCTGTAATCAGGAGCCAGAGTCAGAAGTTGAACCTGGCATTCCACTAAGGGATGCAGGCACCTTAATCTGGAGTGTTGGCTGGCACCGTGGCTCACTAGGCTAATCCTCCACCTGCAGCACCGGCACCCCGGGTTCTAGTCCCGGTCGGGGCACCGGATTCTGTCCCAGTTGCCCCTATTCCAGTCCATCTCTCTGCTGTGGCCTGGGAGTGCAGTGGAGGATGGCCCAAGTGCTTGTGTCCTGTACCTGCATGGGAGACTGGGAGGAGGCACCTGGCTCCTGGTTTCAGATCGGCGCAGTGCGCCGGCCACAACACACCGGCAGCAGCCATCGCGGCCATTTGGGGGGTGAACCAACGGAAAGGAAGACCTTTCTGTCTGTCTCTCTCTCACTGTCTAACTCTAACTCTGTCCAAAAAAAAAAAAAAAAAAAAAATCTAGAGTGTTAGCCACTAGGCCAAATTCTACCTGCCCCTCGAAAGAATCTTTATGTCCCAAATCCTGGGACCTTGCAGGGTGCCAGGAGCTTGAGCAATACTTGTCCCTAAAAATCATTCACTTTGTTTCCTCCCTCCATGCCCTCTCCATTTGCTGGGGACTTAGCAGTGATCAGCAATAGATGTGGAACATGCCCTCAGAGTGCTAATGGGCTTGGGAGGAGACAGCTCTGAAGTCCGTGACAAGCAGAGTGCGTGAGGTTCTTCAAAGCAGAATCCTACAGCAGCAGAAATCGGGGGACTCGCCTGGGCTGGAGGGACGGGCCTCACAGGAAGGGGGTCTCTGTGAGGCAGAGCTGGCACAGGAGCAGGCCAGACGGAGGAATAGCGTGTGTCGGATGTTGTGATGCCGGGAGGACAGAGTGTTCCAGATATGAGAGACAGTGTTTGGAAGCTAAGGAAAAAGAGAGCAGACAGGAGATCTGGGCCTTTCAGGGCTGTGAAAGAAGTCTGGCAGGAGGCCTGGGGAGAGCCTGCAGGTGCCTCAGCCCTGGGAAGCAGTTTGGACTTTGGCTTCGATCACTAGGAGGCAGGTGCAGGTTTCGAGTTAGGACACAACATCAGGTTGATGACGAGCTGGAGGGCAGTGAGGGGGCGGGACTGGAGTGCTAGCCCATCACTGGTGACCAGGTAGCTGCGCTCTGCCCACTTGTCCTCTGCGAGGGAGTGGAGTGGGGGGCGGGACTGGAGTGCTAGCCCATCCCCTGGTGACCGCCAGCCCTCTGCGAGGGAGGGGCAGAGGGAGGAGACGGGAGAGGTGTTGCAAAAGCTGTGCTGCTTGAGACTGGGCAGTGTGTGTGTGGATGAGCACCAGGCAAGCCCCGGGTGTGTGTGGCAGGGGCGGGCACCAGGGAAAGAGCAGCCCAGGGGAGGCTGCACAGAGGCTGGTTCTCAACACACTGGCGCTTGAGTCGCCTTGGAATCACCCCAGTGGATTTGCAGATTAGGAACTCAGGGAAATAATCTAGACCGGGAGTTTAGGAAAAGGGGGTGTCACCAGCCGGCGCACAGCCACTGTGGCCTGAGGAAACAGGAAGTGGCCTGTGTGGAGGTGCAGCATCGGAGGGGGCGTGAGCACTGCCAGGGTCCAGGCTGAGCCCTGCAGGGAGGGCTGAGGAGGGTCCCCGGGCACAGCAGTGGGGAGCAGGCAAGGGCGTGTCTCCAGAAAGAGGCAGACCCGTGTCCCCGGGGCTTCATGTGGGCGGAGATAACTTTGGGGAGCACTGGGATGGCTGTCCTGGGTCAGTTTAGCTGGAATGGGGGAGACAAGCATGATGGGGGTGGGGCTGCAGAGTGCATGAAGTGTAGCAGGGGACATATTCTCACTTAAGCAGTTTTTCTGATTTTATAGAGAAAATAATTATAGAAGTATTTAGAAGTCTTACCCTTGTTCTAACAACAGCCAAGTTAGGATTGGTCATTATGTTAAAACAAACAAAAAACACATTGCCTCCACCCTGCCTGTGCACTGGACCGAGGCGTCCTCACAGCTGTGCGTGTCATCCTTGTCCTCAAACGTTCCTCCTCTTAAAGCAAGCCCTAAGTGATCCAGCTGCTGTGGTGTGTTCCTCACAGATTCATCCTAAGTTACCTCCGCAGTCTTCAGGCCCCGGGGACGGGGGGTCTGTGGTTTCTGCAGGCAGCAGCCAGGGAAACCGAACCACGGTGCATGAGGATTCGAGCCTGCTCTCTGCCCACGCTTGCCCAGTGGAGGCTCCTTCTGCCCCAGGGAAATCATCCTGTGGCCAGCCCGAGGCCACTCAGCTGCCAGAGTCTAAGGGGGCCAGCCGAGCGCCTGCAGAACAAAGCCCCGAGGCTGGTGAGAAACCGCCTGCCGCTCCGGGACATGCTCCTCATTCAAGCAAGTCTCCAAAGAATGCCTTCAGTAGTGTCATCGAGCACCTGTGGGTGGTGTTCCCGTGCTACAGCAGGTACGAGTGTAAAACGCCTATGACCTGAGATGCCTCACTCAACTCAGGTGTCCTGAGAAGCCAGGGCCACTGAGAGGTGGACACAAAAAGGATTGCATCACTGCTTTGCTCAGAACAGCTGCATTTTTTTTTCTTTTTGTAAATGTGGAAGTAAACATTTTTTAAAGTACTTTTTAAAAAACTGTCCTTGAAAAACAGAGAGACAGAGACAGAGATCTTCTGTCTGCTGCTTCACTTCCCAAATATCTGCAACAGCTGGAGCTGGATCAGGCGGAACCTAGAAAAGCAATGTGCTTACCTAGACTGAAGCATTGACCACTGGGTAATCAACACTCAGGGTTCATGGCAGAAATTTTGATGAGATCAGTAACACTGTCCAACACTGGTTGTAATAGAGTCAGTGAATGAGTTGTGAAACAATGGTTTTATATATAAACAGCACATGATCGGAGCGGGTCTTCTGGCACAGAGTTAAGCCACTTGGAATACCCACATCCCTAAGAATGCCACCCACAGAGGAGGCCCAGATGGAGCTCCAGCCTCCTGGCTTCGGCCTGGCACACCCCCACCTGTTGCAGGCATTTGAGGAGTGAACCAGTAGATGGAAAATCAATTAATATTTCTCTCTCTCGGCTGGCACCGCAGCTCGATAGGCTAATCCTCCACCTGCGGCGCTGGCACACTGGGTTCTAGTCCCGGTTGGGGCGCCGGATTCTGTCCCAGTTGCCCATCTTCCAGGCCAGCTCTCTGCTGTGGCCCGGGAGTGCAGTGGAGGATGGCCCAAGTGCTTGGGTCCTACACCCGCATGGGAGACCAGGAGAAGCACCTGGCTCCTGCCTTCGGATCAGCGCAGTGCTCCGGCCGCAGCGGCCATTGTGGGGTGAACCAATGGAAAAGGGAAGACCTTTCTCCCACATGAGCCCCAGTTCGAGACCCGGCTGCTCCACTTCCAATCCAGCTCCCTGCTAATGGCCTGGGAAAGGTGCCAAAGATGGACCAACTGCTTGGGCCCCTGCACCCATGTGGGAGACCTGGAAGAAGCTCTGGCTTCTGCCTGCCCAGCCCTGGTTTGTTTGTTTGTTTGTTTGTTTTTTGACAGGCAGAGTGGACAGAGAGAGAGACAGAGAGAAAGGTCTTCCTTTGCCATTGGTTCACCCTCCAGTGGCCGCTGCGGCAGGCGCACCACGCTGATCCGATGGCAGGAGCCAGGTGCTTCTCCTGGTCTCCCATGGGGTGCAGGGCCCAAGCACTTGGGCCATCCTCCACTGCACTCCCTGGCCACAGCAGAGAGCTGGCCTGGAAGAGGGGCACCCGGGACAGAATCCGGCGCCCCGACCGGGACTAGAACCTGGTGTGCCGGCGCCGCAAGGCGGAGGATTAGCCTAGTGAGCCGCGGCACCGGCCTCCAGCCCTGGTTATTATAGCCATTTGGAGAGGGAACCAGCAGATGGAAGATCTCTCTCTCTTTCTCTCTTTCTCAACTCTGCCTTTCAAATACATTGAAATAATAAATCTTTTTAAAAAATCTCTCCTTGGCCAGCAAGAATCAAGTAAGACAGGGATGATTTACAGGTGCTTTGGCAATGTCTTTCTGCCCCTCTGACCTCTGCTCTCCAAACTGGTGCTAGTGGGCAGAGGTGCCCCTGGCCTTGGTTGGCTAGGAGAGATGAGGCAAAGGCAAGATGTGGAGGCAGCTCAGAAGAGAAGGTCCACTCAGAAGGAGCAACCCTCTTCCCTGAACTGCGGTTTCTGTCTTGGAGACGATGTGAATTAAGGCCTTTGAAGAGAGTTGTTAGAATATGATTGGCCAAACTTGATACTGACTGAAAATAAGTATATCTTATTTGCATGTGGATGTGCTTGGCCTTGCCTCAGTTTGAGAAGCGTGGTGAGTTTTCTCAGTAACAATTGCCATGCCAATTGCCAAAGTACTGAAGTTGTGATTACCATAAGTACCCTACAAATAGAGTTGTTTCCAATGTTGAATAAATTCAGAAATTTGAACAAATAGGAATGCATCCTACTTTTCTGGAAGTTGAAGTATGTAGGGTGCTGGTGGTACAGTAGGTGTCAAGTTCCCATGCACTGGGGCTGGCCTCCTGGTACAGCAGGTTAGAGCCACCAGTTGCAGCACTAAGCATCCATATCCCAGCCCTAGTTCCAGTCCCAGCTGCTCTGCTTCCAGTCCAGCTCCCTGCTGATGTACCTGGGGAAGCAGCAGAAGACGCCCAAGTGCTTAGGGCCTTGGGATGCCAGCATCTGTGCCACAGCGCCGGCCCTGGCTAGATTCATTCAAGGGAAGAAATCTATAAGACTAATTTCCTCTTGCGTAGAAAGAAGTTTATTGATTTCAGGATGTGTTTATTGATTTCTTGGTATATCTGACTGTTCAGTGGAGTTGCAGAAAGCTGTGATGTATCTAGGCAGTGTAACTATATGAAGTAGGTTTTCAGAATTGGGATGGGTATTATTAATGGATCTAGCAGCAGACTGTTACTTTAACATTCTATTGAAATAAGCATTTAGTAGTGATGTGGAAATTTTCACAAGTACTTGGAAGAGTGATACTGCCTTCAAATAGTTCTTGCTTCTCATGTGTGGTTCCTGTTGCTGCCATGGGGTCCCCATAAATGTTTGTTTATTCATTCACTGTTGCTGTCTTTGGGTGGGGCGGTTGGTACCTCCCAACAGTGGGAAGCTTCCTCTTGTCATTTGTCTCCCACTTTCCCTTTCAGCACTGAACTTGCTGGGTTCATTAAAAAAGTGCGGAACAAAAACAAGAACTCACTGTCAGGATTGAGTGTCGATGAGATTGTCCAAAGAGTGACAGAACACATTCTTGATGAACAGAAAAAGAAAAAGGTATTTCTTTCAGACACAGTGAAATGTTCCACTTCCTCCTGATACGTAAAATGTGAGAATTACTTTTAAACAAAAGCTCTACTCACAAAGCAGGAAGCTGACTGCTGAAGACAGAGAGTGGTCAAACCTTGCTTCCTTCCTGTCACCCCCTCCCCCCAATTGTCTTTGTAGCCGAATCCAGGGAAGGACAAGAGGACATCTGAGGCCAGCTCCGCTGCTTCTCTGACCAGGTCCGCCCAGGGCCCCGCCTCCGCGGCAGTTGGACCATCATCACCCAGAGCCACGGATCGGAAGACAGATGATGTCCCCGTGAGTGCTGTATGTATAAGCGGAGCTCGTTTTGCTTTTTGAGGATGAACAAGAAGTAAACAAAAATTTTACTCCATGATTTGAACCCATTCTTTTCATTTTGAGAATGAAGTTATTTGACTCTAAAATTTGAAACCAGATTTTGATAGACTTGAGTGTGTCCTGTTAGAGGCATCAGTGAACGGTTCTGACAGAGTGACGAGAGCTTTGGCCACGCTGGATCTTGTTTCACTGCAGATGGTCAAGTACATGCAGTTTTTTCCTTATCAAGTGTGGTATTTTGAATAGTTGGGAAAAATAATTTTTGAGTAATTTTCTTCTCTGTGACCGTTGGCTTTGGAGTTACAGAGACGTAATTGCGTCCCTCGGTGACTCCGAGCCTAGGCTGTGGTCTGGATTCACATAGTGAATGACCAGATTGGCACCGTGCTCCGGGGGACTGGTAGCTGCCGTGTGCCTCTTTCCTCAGGTACCTTGGAGGGAGGGGACACTGTAGTGGGTTAATGGAGTCTGTAACTTGACATGCTACTTTGTTTTTAGGCAGTGAGATGCTTACACTTACATAGAACTTCTAATAAAATGCTGTTATTTCTCTAACGTGAACCAGGGAGGCATTGTATGCATCCTTATTTTGCAGCAAGCAGTCAGGCACGGAGGACTCACAGGGCAGCTTGCCTGCACTCACTCAGCTGAAGGTGTGATTACAGCTCAGGGCAGGCCTTCCCACTGCCAGCATCCAGCCATCCCCTAAGCCACGCCACACTGACCAGCAGTGCTGGACAACATGTGTGGCTCAGGGCATACGAATTCTGATGCTGAGCAGAATGTCTCCAGCTGCGGGATCAGAGCAAATGACTTGGGCGTTAACACATCCACCATCTCATAGCTTGCAGCAGTGAGTTGGCAACACGAGACTGCACAGATGCCAGTGTGCTAACTTGAGCCAGCGTTGAGTCTTTCTCTGAACCTATCTTCTTAGTCTTCCTGTACCTGTTCAGTTCCCAGTGCCCTTCGGAGATTCTTCACACCACTCAGCTCCATGTGTCCCTGAAAGCGTGGGAGTGTGCACAGGGCATTGCCATGGGCCTAGACTGGAGGCCCCTTCTCCCAGGGGTCTCCCGGACCTGTCACCTGTTCTGTGATCCTCCACCCAGGCAGAAGTCTCAGGGCCTTCCCATGCATGTGCATGTGTGTGTGCATGAGAGAGAGACAGAGAGATGGAGGGAGAGAGAGGGAGGAGGGGGTAAAGAGATGGGGAGGGAGAGAGATTGATTGGCTACCCTCAACCCAAGATAGACAAAGGTGATCATGTTTCTGTTTCATACTTGATGTTGATAGTTAAGATATAAAAGCTGACTTTTTAAAACCTTACTGAATTGTATGAGGAAGAAAAGTGTATTCAAACAGCAATTTAATTTGATAGGTTTGAGAAAATTAAAATTATTTTGTATTTTTAAATTATAAATTATAACATGGTAACAATAGGAAATACATAAAAGGGCATTTAAGCGCCCCATAATTACTCTTTTTTGAAATTTATTTATTTATTTGGGAGGCAGAGCTACAGAAAAAAGAAAGGGAGAGACAAAAAGGTCTTCCATCAACTGGTTCACCCCCCAAATGGCCACAACGGCTAGAGCTGGGCTGATCCGAAGCCAGGAGCCAGGATCTTTCTCCAGGTCTCCCATGTGGGTGCAGGGGCCCAAGCACTTGGGCCATCTTCCACTGCTTTCCCAGGCCATCAGCAGGGAGCTGGCTCAGAAGAAGAGCAGCTGGGACACGCACCGGTGCCCATGTGGGCACTGGCCCCTCCATACCTACTCTTTTTTTCTCAAGATTTATTATTTACTTGAAAGGCAGAGTTTACAGAGAGAAAGATCTGGTCAGCTCCCCAAATGACCACAGTAGCTGGAGCTGGGCTGATCTCAAAGCCAGGAGCTAGGAGCTGCGTTCATGCTCCCAAGTGCAGGGGCCCAAGCACTTGGAAATCTGCTGTTGCTCTCCCAGACACAGCAGCAGGGAGCTGGATCGGAAGTAGAGCAGCCAGGACTCCAGCCAGTGCCCATAGGGGATGCCAGTGCTGCAGCCAGTGGCTTACCTATTGTGCCACAACACTAGCCTCACAAACGTGCTTTTTTTAAACAAGTATTATAACTTTGGTATATGTTCTTCTAAACTTCTTTATGCATCTATATATTTAAAACTGAATACTTCAGTCATTTTAATATGCTTTTAAGTGGGGAGAGTTTGTTTTCAATTTAATTGTTGTTTTATGAGAAAAATATATTGTGTCAGTGCTGTGGCATAACCAGTTTGTGTCCTGGCTGCTGCTCTTCTGATCCAGCTCTCTTCTTATGGCCTCGGAAGGCAGTGGAAGATGGCCCAAGCCCTTGGTCCCCTGCCACCCACATGGGAGACTCAGATGGAGCTCTGGGCTCTTGGTTTTAGCCTGGCTAGCCTCAGCCATTGCAGCCATTTGAGAAGTGAACCAGCAGATGGAAGATCTCTCTCTCTATGTAACTCTAACTTTCAAAAAATAAACCTTTAACAAAGAGAAAAACATAAAGGAAAAAATTAAATCTCAATTAATAAGCAAGTAACCCTGACACCATTTTGTATGGCTTTCTAAACTGTTTCCTGGGCATGTCCCCGTACACACGTTCTATCTCTGAAGGATTGAACCCCGTGACAGATGCTGTGTTGTAACCTGGTTCTTTCGGTAGTCTGCTGTGAGCAGCCCTCTGATGAACCTCACCATGACCTTCACTGGCCGCACGTAGTCCGTCCTGTGCGTGCTGTAGCTTCCTGTACCTGCCTGTTAGATAATGAGGGGAATGATTAGCTTGTAATATTAAACTAATGTTTAATATTCAACTAGTACATTAGGTGGGGTGTGAGATAAGGAGGTGTTTGTGGTGTTCTGTGTGGAAATCCTAACCACATGAGACAGTTTTTCTCTGAGAAAAATTACAACTTCAAATACATATGTTTCTTTATGTATTTTTATATTTTTATTATGAAATGCTTTTTTTTTTTTTTTAATTTTTTGACAGGCAGAGTGGACAGTGAGAGAGAGAGAGACAGAGAGAAAGGTCTTCCTTTGCCATTGGTTCACTCTCCAATGGCCGGCGCGCTGCGGCCGGCGCACCGCGCTGATCCGATGGCAGGAGCCAGGAGCCAGGTGCTTTTCCTGGTCTCCCATGGGGTGCAGGGCCCAAGCACCTGGGCCATCCTCCACTGCCCTCCCTGGCCACAGCAGAGAGCTGGCCTGGAAGAGGGGCAACCGGGACAGAATCCGGCGCCCCAACCGGGACTAGAACCCGGTGTGCCGGCGCCGCTAGGCGGAGGATTAGCCTAGTGAGCCGCGGCGCTGGCTATTATGAAATGCTTTTTAAAAGTGTATTTCCTCCAGCTGCTTATCCATAATTAGGAATCATTTGCTCCCATTTGTGGCAAAAGTGTTTGAATTTCCCTTGTAGGAGTGCTCTTACCATAACAGAAATACAGTTATTCTTTTTTTTTTTTTTTTGACAGGCAGAGTTAGATAGTAAAAGAGAGAGAGAGAGAAAGGTCTTCCTTTTCCGTTGGTTCACCCCTCAAATGGCTGCTGCGGCCGGCACACTGCGCTGATCCGAAGCCAGGAGCCAGGTGCTTCTCCTGGTCTCCCATGGGGTGCAGGGCCCAAGCACCTGGGCCATCCTCCACTGCACTCCCGGGCCACAGCAGAGAGCTGGCCTGGAAGAGGGGCAACCGGGACAGAATCCAGCGCCCCGACCGGGACTAGAACCCAGTGTGCCGGCGCCGCAGGCAGAGGATTAGCCAAGTGAGCCACAGCGCCAGATGAAATAGTTATTCTTTAATACTCAAATATGTTTGCTTCCACAGGCATCCAGTGCAAGTTCCTGTGAAATATGCCACGAGGTGTTCCAGTCCAAAAATGTGCGTGTGCTGAAGTGTGGACACAAGCTTCACAAGGGGGTAAGGACTCCGTCCGGCTGCCCTCTGTCCCCGCTGACTGGCAGGTGCTGTGGGACTGAACAGGAAGGCACCAGCACTCCCCGTGTGCCCAGAGAGACTGGTGCTGCGGGCAGGGGAGAGCAGCCCCAGCCGCCGCACTGCCCTTGCTCCGCATCCACCCTGCTGGACTGAGAGTCAAGGCAGCAGTGTCCGCTTCCTCCTTACACACACAGCCCAACACTTGAGCAGCCACTTGTCCGTGTGGTTCATGACGTCGGCTGAACGTTCTTTAGGAGAAAAACTGCACCTGGCAACGTCCCTTCTGCCTGACCCTGGAGGATTCTGGGTTATGGCCTCCACAGTTCCTGTGCTAACCACCGTGGTGTCTGGGTTCTGTGAACATTCGCCATGCACCCGCTGCAGGGTCAGGACAGATCAGGTCCCTGCCGTGTCAGTGTGTTCCGTGAGGACAGATGAAGACAGCGTACCCACTAGAAGGAATCAGGGAGCTTGCGGAGTCTCTGTCCAAACTCTGCCTCCTTCCGGTGGGGTCTTGTGCCCAGGCTCCCTAACTTTCCATGTAGACCAGCAGCAGCAGTCCAGGCAAGAGCAAGAGGGAACGTGGCAGACTGGCTAGGGGGTCGTTCAAGGGCCAAGACTAGGCAGAGGGCTGGCTAAGAATCAGATCAAGTCCAACGGCCAAGAAAATGCCTCTTGTAGAAGTCAGAGCAGCCAAGATTGGAGCCAGTGTCGGGGAGAGGACAGGGCCACTCCCTAAGGCCAGTTCAGAGCCCAGAGTGTTCATGGGTCGGACTGTAAAGTGGGATTATTCTGGTCTGAGCAGGCATCAGTGTTCCTGAGTCCTGGGCGCTGGCTCCAGGCCTTGCCAGACTTGGGTGGAAGTTAGCCCTGCCTCCCACAGGGCAGCCGGAGAGCCGAGCGTCCCCGGGGTCTACGGCACCGACTGACTGTCTCCTCTTTTTCAGTGCTTTAAGCAGTGGCTGAAAGGGCAGAACGGCTGCCCTGGCTGCCCCGCCTGCCCCAGCTGCGACCTCCAGGCAGAGGAGTAGCCGCCCCTCGTGGAAGAGGCCAGCCCAGTGGAAGTCGGGAACCCCTCCGTCCTGCCAGGTGTTCACACTTCTCTGAAGCCTAATCCACAGCATCTGAATGTGAAATGGATGACCTTCGGTTTAAAAGAGCAACATTTGAAGATTCTTACATTGTGCCCCAGTGTATTGCGTAATTTTCCCCACTCTGAGTAAACATTTTGGTGATAGCCAAGTAGTGGCTGAGAAAATGACGTGCCCCAGTCCCGCACTGGTGAGGCCGCTGCCGAGGCCCTGGGGTGGCGCCTGGGCTGGACAGGAACCAGACGACTCTTGACCTGCTCAGGTGCCCCTTTTTAGGAAAATCTCTCTAGCAGCTCCGCAAGAGAGATGATACTGACCTTTTCAGATTTTTGTAAGATTCAATACTCCTGAAAATACTCACATTTTCTTCAGATTCTAGAAGTGGGCTAAAGCAAACCACATTTTAATAATATATAATTAATGTAAAAGTATTGGCTGTTGTTGACCTAAAGATTAAAATTTCCTCTTCGTGAAATACCATGTGCTTTTGATTTTTCATTTCATTATTTTATTTTCTTTGCATAACCTTTAAAATTTTACTTTTAGAATTTTTGCATACATTTAAATGTTTTTCACCTTTTAAAGGTGAATTCTGATTTTTGAAAACTAGTTACAAATAACTTTTTATTTATTATTATTATCAACCAAGACTTTTTTTACCCCTAAAATTGAGGCTGGCAGTTCGCCATTCCAGCCCACGTTTGGAACTTATCTTTGAGCACTCCACTGTTCTCGGTGGTGGCGTTTGTCCTGTCTTAGGCCGTCAGCAGGCGCTTGGTACGTGCGTGCAGCGCAGGGCTGAGCACAGGCGCTGTGCAGTCATCAGCATCCCCCTCCCGTACCCCATCACCAAAAGAGAAACTCGCGTCGTCAGACCACCCTGGGCGTCTGTGTTACCGCTGCTTGTGTCTGACATCCGCGTAAAGTGAATGCATGCAGTCTTGTGCTGTGGCCTGAGAACAAATCTGTCACTGCGTTAGAAAATATTTAAGCAGTAGCTGTCTTCTAGTGACCTGTTGACAGTGCTGAGTAGGAAACATGCGTCCTGGACACATTCCATCACTCTCAAACACGAAGGATCAGAGACTTGGGTTCTTTGTTCGACCGGAAACCCCAAGGCACACACGGACGAGCTGATCTGGTCACTTGCCTCTCTTCCGTCAATGTGAGTTCTGATGTCTTAGTGACTTAGTCCGTAGAAGTCCTTATTTGGAAAACATTCTGTTTGGTGGTCCCTAAAACACTGTGTGCATATCTGTCATAGCTGAGAGCTGTGGATACTAAAATACAGCGGGGCCAATTTGTAGCAACAGGTAGGAGGGAGAAGAGCAGCTCTCGAGTGAGAAAATGTGTTTTGTCCCCAACTCCACTTCCTTGTGACCATGCCTTACATCTGTCCAGTAGCTTCCAGAATAAAGAGCATTCTAAAATAGTAGCAGTTTGTTGTCATTCTTGTCCATTCCTTCTCTCCGGTAATTGTAAAATGCAATCCACTTGAAAATGCAGTACCTGTGTGTTACGCTGATGTTTAAAAAGTGACTTCCTTTGGAAAAACAGCCACGCTGTCTGAGGAGTCTGACCAGGATCCGAGGGCGCTTCAGAAGCTGGGCCAGGGAATTCATTGTGCCTGTAGGAGGTTCCCAGTCAGGGCCGCCGTTGCGGTGCAGTGGGTCAGACCACTGCCCCAGCCAGTGAACCAGTGGACGGGAGATCTCTCCTTCTCTTTCTGTAACTCTGCCTTTCAAATAAATGAAAACTAAATCTCTAAAGAAAGGGACGGGGGATGGAGGGGCAGCCTTGGTGTAGCAGGTGTTAAGCCACCGCCTGCAACGCCAGCATCCCAGATGGGCACCGGCTCGTGTCTCAGCTGCTCCACTTCCGATCCAGCTCCCTGCTGATGCAGCTGGGGAAAGCAGTGGAAGGTGGCCTCAATCTGTAGGCCCCTGTCCCCACATGGGAGACCCGGGAGAGACCTGGTCTCAGCCTGGCTCAACCCTGGTTGTTGCAGCCATTTGAGAAGTTAGCCAGCAGATGGGCAATCTCTGTCTCTCCCCTTCTCCCTCTAACTCTGCTTTTCAAATAGATTTTAAAAAGTTTCCCAAACTCAAGTTTGCAAGACCAACTGTTTAAATTTGAGAATTTACTGTCAGGCTAAAGTAAGTTTCTTTGTGTGGATACGTAGAAGGATGTTGAAAATGAATAGCATGTTACTTAAGGTATCTGTGGATTCATGAACCACTGAGGCTAATGAAGAAGGCTTCCCTTCTAGAGGGCCCTTTGAATATGCGGAGAACCAAAAGATGACAAAAGAAAGCAATCGTAACACTCTGTCCCCTGTGTGTTCAAGTATATTCAAAGTATTAAATAATGAGTGACAAAGCAGTGACTGTCCCTCTAAAATTCAGCTGCTGTTTCTCTGCTGAGATTCTTAGTCTGAGTGAGGGATGATGGAGAATCCAATACAAACTGCAGTGACACCAAGCAGTGCCAAACACACCTCAGGGAGAACGAGGCAAGAAACCCTGAAATGGCTGTTTGGGCAGCTGGCGCCCTGGAGATGTGGATTAAGGGAGAGGGAAGAGATGTTCTGTCACCACGAGGGACCTGCAGACGAGGCTGCAAAGGGAAGGCCAGGTAGGGCCGGAGACCCCCTCTGGCCCGGCAGGCCGAGGCAGGCGGGAAGTGGAAGGCTCCCTGGCTCAGCAGGCGACATCATTAGAGTCACTAAGAACATGGCCGGGTGCCACCGTGCCCATGCCTAGTGCCTTGTTCTCTCACTCTGACACCATGGATTGAGGAGAGGCACAGCCTCCGCCTGCCGGGGGGGTGGGGGGGTCCTATCTCCCTGGCTGCCCTGCATCACCTCTCTGGGCAGCTCTGCGTCAGTCCCTCCTGTCCAGTTAGGTTTAGGTTCAGAGTCCTGCCTGGCTGGTCCTCACCGACTCCCCCACGCAGGGGAGAACTTTCTAGTTCATCCCCTCATTGCCTCCACTTTTTCACTGTCTCCCTTTTCCAACTTTAAAGTTAAAATAATGTATATCAAAAAATAAAATTAAACAACTCTAGTAAGCTAAAATCCCAATTCAGAGGAAGATTTTGGCTGTCCCTGTGGGAGAGTGTGCCTTGGCCCCTCGGTCCCAGGTGGGTCACAGTTGCAAGTATGAAAGGAAGGACACAGCTCCTACAAGAGAACAGTCTTCTGCCCATGAGGTAGGGATTTACTAGGAAACAAAAGGCATTAACCCAAGTATCAGAAGCTGCTAAGTCAGAGTCAAAAAGACTCCAGAATATAGAAGGAAGTGTTGTAAAAGCAGTATATAAACAGCCAAAGGTTCAAATAGGTGCTTCACAAATACCCAGGTGGCTTGTAGCCATCTCAGTGGCCAAGGTTGTTCAGTAGCCATCATCAAGGAAGGTAAACTAAGACTTCCCTGGGTTGTCTTGAAGGTACCGGGCCTGGGCAGTAGGGGGCAGTAGTACTGAGCAGTAGGGCCATCTGTCAGGGACCTGTTCGGCCATCTCCACAGCACGTGTGAAGGTGGAGTACAAGAGCTCACAGGCTCGATGTGAGCTGGCTGTTACACACTGCTACTGAAATCTGAATTTCAGGGGTGGGTATTGTGCAGCAGATTAAGCCACCACTTGCGACACGCTCATCTCTCACAGTGTCTGGTTCAAGTCCTGGCTGCTCCACTTCTGATCCAGTTTCCTGCTCTGCATCTTGAGAGGCCCCTGTGCTTGGACCGCTGCCCGCCCTGTAGGAGCCCTGGGCCGAGCTCTGGGCTCCTGGCTCCAGCCAGCTCAGCCCTAGCTGTTGTGGGCATTTGCAGAATGAACCAGCAGATTTCAAGGAGGTTTTTTTCCCTCCCTCCCTGCCTGGCTCGCTGTCACTTTTTTTTTTTTTTTTTTTTTTTTTTTTTAAGATTTATTTGAAAGGCGGAGTTACATTGTCCATCTGCTGGTTCGTTATCCAGATGGCTGCAAAGGCCAGTGCTGGGCCTGGCCAGGCCAGAGCCAGGAGCTTCTTTTGGGTCTCCCACGTGGGTGCAGGGGCCCAAGCACTTGGGCCATCTGCTGCTGCTTTCCCAGGCCATAGCAGAGAGCTGGATCGGAAGTGGAGCAGCGGGGACAGACGCACCCATAAGGATGGCAGCTCTGTAGGCCACAGCTTAACCTGCTATGCCACAGCACTGGCCCTGCCTGTCAAGCCTGTGAAAATGAATATTTAAGCATTTTGAATTGCCTCCTAATTACTACTGTTCTTAAACTGTCAGCTCTAGGGGTAGCGTTTACTCCATAGACATCGGCACAGCCGGAGCAGAGCCTCGGGGGTGCGGTGGGGTCGGGGCTCAGCAGGCCCCTGAAATGGCCACTGTGAGGTGGGGGTGGGCTTGGGGCTGTGGCCCGAGACCAGCAACGCTGGGTCACTGCCACATCAGTAGGCAGTAAGCTTGCAGGTGCGCCCTTGTTAAACACTGGTGCTGCAGTCCCCGTGCACCCGGAGGTCCTGCTCCTGGCCGGGCCCGGGCATCCGGTGCCTCTATTCCACCCCTCCCTTTCAGCTCCAGCGGCTGGGAACTCTGGGCCCAGGCTGGCCCCTCCACAGGTCTTCCCTGAGGGGTGGGGGTGCCCCAGCAGGTCCCCGCCCCGGGCTGAGCCCCTGTGCTCACCGCCACCTGCACCCAGGAGCCCCTCACACCTGGGCTCACGCCATCCCAGCCAGCCTCTCCCCTTCCCCAGCCCTGCAGTGCGCTGGCGCGTGGTGGGGTCTCCCTGAACAGAACCCAGACTCCAGGACAAGAACCACACACCCCTACCTGGGGGCTTCTGAGCCTACTGCCCTAGCTCCCGGCTGCCCTTCCTCAAACCCCAGCCCGTGCTCCGCCCCGCGCTGTCTTCCAGCCTGGTTTTTCCTTGTAGCTGTGTTGTGATGCTGAATTGAGTGCTTCCAAGCTCTGTGGCTTTTCATTTCCCCAAGTGCCCTGTCAAGTAGAAAGGGTGCAGACCTAAAGTGAACTAACATCCCCAAGGCCGTGAGACTAAACCCTGATCAAGATTTGTGCTTGCTGAGTCAACCTGAGGCTCGGGTCACCTGCTGGCCGCTGCGTCTCTGCCCCAAACCCGGCTGGCCTCCAAGGTGTGGCTGCAACAGAACCTCCATCCCGGCAGGCAGCAAAGGCCTGGCGCCCTGGGCACTGCTCCCATCCACGGCACAGCCGCAGTGGGAATCCCCCTCGTGCTACCCCTCGAGGCCACACCATGGTGCCTGATGATTCCCCAGGTTTCTCCGTGGTCACGGCGCCACGACCTTCGTGAGGAGAACCAGCTGTCTTCACTGAACCCCGCAGATGTGGGAGAGACCCTCCTCTGCCCACTCGAGATGGACTCACACTCGGAGTGGACTTTACTGTCACCAGGCTTGCAGATCAGGGGTCTGCGGAGCGGGCTGCCTGGCGCAGTCACACAAGCGGTGACGTCCTGTAGGGCAGGTCCCTCCCTCCCTTCCTCATCCCGGTACTGCGGGCGCTCCGTCTTCCCAGGTGCCTCCTAGGCTCTCTGTCCCTTAACTTCCTCTTGCGAGTTGGTCACTCCATAGCATCCTGTTGGCCAGCGAGTTTCGCCACACCTGCCAGTCATCCCAGGTAACTTTCCATCCTGTGTTGAAAGTGCACCTCCGGACATTGTCTTACCCTGCCCTTATCTGTAGGTGGGAACTTACGCTGTTGGTCTTGGAGCCCGCTCACTGCTGTTCTAATGAGGCCAGGCTGTTTGGCCTTCAATTTTTCCTGAAATTTCTGGTTGCCTCTTTTCTTCCCATACGTGCCCCTAGCTTGTTCTCCTGGGCGCCTTCAAGAAGCCCCCTCTGAGGGACACCTGATTGCTCGGCCAGGTTGACCTCACTCCTCCCTTACATTGATGCTTTTTCTTGGTTCACAGCCCTACACTTCCGGAATACCTACTCTGGCAGCTCCAGGAAACACCCACACTGGGACAGCTGAGGTGCAAGCAAGGAGCCTACTGCAATGTGCAAACGGGGCTGACGCTGTGGTGTAGTGGGCTAAGCCTCTGCCTTTGGCGCTGGCATCCCATATGGGCACCGGTTCGAGTCCCGGCTGCTCTACTTCCAATCCAGCTCTCTGCTATGGCCTGGGAAAACAGTAGAAGATGGCCCAAGTGCTTGGGCCCCTGCACCCACATGGGGAGACTCCCCTGGTAGACACGAGAGCCAGTTCTGGGCCAGGCTAAAGCCAGGAGCCTGGAACTCCATCAGGGTCTCCCGCTTGAGTGACAAGGGCTCAAGGACGCGGGCCAACTTCCATTGTGCTCCCAGGCACAGTTGCTGGATCAGAAGTGGGGCAGCTGGGACTGGAGCCAGTGCTCTGGTACAGATGCTGGCCTGATGATACGATGTTGGCCTGATACGGGATGCCGGCGTTACAGCGGCAGCTTAACCTGCTCTACCACAATGCCTGCCCCCTACCTTTTAAAATCCAATGTCTAGAAGCAGTTCCTTTGTCTATTATTTTATTGTGGGAGAATAGGTACATATTTTTCAAATTCTGGATAGACCAGGAAGTCCTGGTCTTCTAGTAACACTTTGAAATTGTTTGCATTTCTGTAAAATAAATCCTCCTCAATGTACCCACTGGTTCATGAAGCCTCTCGCAGGGACAGACTGAGGACCGTCACGACTCAGCAGGGGTGGGACAGAAGTGCGGAAGCCCCCCAGGATCATGCGTCTGTTTGGGGGAGACGGACTCTGTGCAGGGAGCAGGTGCACTCAGCTAAACGCTGCCGGGTGCTCAGAGACCCCACAGACACCGGGGCTGCGTCACGGCCCCCAGCACCTCCCAGGGCCCTCACTTAGCAATGGGGGTGCGCACTGGGCACCGCGGCTAACACGCCTCTTGGGGCACTCCCATCCCGACCTGCAGGGCCTGGGTTTGGGTCCCAGCTCGGCTCCCAGTACCAGCTCTCTGCTAATGTGCGCCCTGGGAGGCTGCAGGTGGGGGTCCGTGCCGTCCCGGGGAGACTTGGACTGCGTTCCCGGGCTCCCGGCTCCGGGTGGCAGCCCTGACCCACCCCATTGTTGAGGGCGTCTGAGGAGTGAACCAGTAGATGGGAGATCGCTCTCTCTGTCCCTCTGCCTGCTTTTCAAATAAATAAAACAATTTTAAAAGAAAAAAGTTATCACAGAAACATGAGAAATGCATGGAGTATGCTTTGGTTCTCACTTCAAAGGCAAAGGAGGATAGTTTCCTACGGATTTTGTAGTTTGTGTTTTTTTTTTTTTTTTTTTTTTGTGCCTCAAGTGGTCAAAGGACTTTAGATGTGTTTGAAGTTCTGATAACAAACTTACCCCTCACACTTCCTCCCAGAGCCCTGGTGAGGACGGACCTGGGGGCAGGGAGAAGGGGGCTGCAGCTGGATCCCCCCGAACTGCTGAGCCAGTGCCTCTCCCTCAGCCCTGTCCCCCACCCCACCGGCCCTGAGAGCGCGGAGTGCCTGTCTCTGCCTGCCTTCTCACCTTCTCACTGTCTTTCCTTCCCTCCCTGGTCCGGAGGGGCGGCGGGGGCTGGGGGACCACAGAGCCAGGCCGGAAGGGGGCCTGTGACCCGGAGCTCGGCTGAGCAGACGCGAGGCTGGCAGCTCCAGTGTGCCTCTGCCCAGCTGTCAGCACCCTCACCCTCACTTTCTGTCGGAAGCCACTGCACAAAGGACCGCCCTGTTCATCAGCCCCTCCTTCCAACCGCTGATGCCTGGGCGTGAAGGGTGCAAGTGGGCAGATGGCCTCACGGTGCTCTGGGCTGGCGCACCCTGAAGCAGGCACGGAACTTGGAGTGGGAGAAAAACCGCTCAGTTCACACGCTGGGGCCTGGCTGAGAACGCTGGACTTCCGCACTTGTCTACAGTGGCCGTTTCCCCTCACCCCCTGCGCGTCCCTGTGGTTGAGTGGGGAGACCCTGCATGTAGGGATGAGGCACATGGGGCTAGGACACCCCACTAACCAGCTCCATTTAGCAAGGTCGCTTTAGCCTGACAACCGCCCAAGCTCCTGACACGGCAAAGTGTAAGTGGGGGGCAAGGACCCCTCTGTCTTTAAAATTTTGTTGAGAGGCAGAGACACACGCACACACACGCACGAGAGCGCGCGCCCAGCCGCTGACTCACTCCCCAGACACCGGCAATGGCCAGGGTGGGGCCGAGACAGGCCGGCAGCTCCACCCCAGCCTGCCCCGGGGCTGCCTCTCAGAGATGGCATTCGCAGCAAGTGGGGGCTGGGAAGTGAACCCGCGGGGGTCTTGACCAGCAGGCTAGGTGCCCACCCCAAAGAAGCTGCCTTGGGACGCTCCCCGATCCGGTGCGTACCCAGCGGGGAGGCCCACATCAGTCGGGTGTGCAGGGCCGGGGGCCGTGAGCTCAGCTCCCAGCAGCTGTGAGGCCTCGTCCTGGCGCTGGTCTCAGCTGTGCCTGCCCAGGACGCTCCCTGGGAGAGCTCAGGCGTTCTGCAACCTTCCGCACCCTAAATCCCCGCTCGCCAGGGGACTCTGCGGGGGGAGGTGAATCGTGGCCCCCAAATTCTCAGTGAGGCTTGACCACCCACGTGGCTGGGTGCGGAGGTTAGACCTCTAAGGGCACAGCTCAGGTTAACCGAGGACCCGAGGAGGGGCCCCCAGTGCAACCTCACTGGCGTGATTCTAAGAGGGGACAGCCAGGACTTCAAAGATGCCATGCGGGGTGCCAGCAGGTGCCGCCTGTAAGCAGAGGAAGAGAGGAGCCCGATCCGGTCCGGGCGCCCGGCCCCCAGGACAGGGGAGCTCCCTTGCTGTGCGAGCTGCCCGCCCTGCGCTGTTCGGCGGCCCTCCAGCCACACACGCAACCCGGCGGCGGCACTGTGCCTCCATGCCTGCATGTCTGTCTGCAGGTCGTCTGCATTGCCAAGTACAAACTCAGGCTTGTCGTCTTCTCCGCAGAGCCCACTGGGGAACGGGGCTTGCACTGCATCCACGGATCAGCTTGGGAAGAATAAACACAATATTGATTCGTCCAACTCCCAAACACCATGTGTCTCTGCATACGTAGACCACTTTGAATTCTCTCACCCACGTCTTATACTTTTCATTTTAGTCTACAGCTTTCTCTAGATGAATTCCTAACTATTGTGATGAATTTTCATACAACTAGAAATGCTATTTTTAAATTTTTATTTATTTGAGAGGTAGAGTAACAGAGAAAAAGAGAAATGCACCTGCTGGTTTACTCCCCAGACACTCCCACAGCCGGGGCTGGGTGGGGCCGGGCTGAGGCTGGGGCCCGGGACTTCTGCAGTCTCCCACGTGGCAGGCAGGGACCCCAAGTGCAGCCCCACAGGGGATGCAATGGCAGGAAGCTGGAATCAGCAGAGCCAGGACTAAATGTGTGTGTGTGTGTGTGTTTTGTTTTTTTGTTTTTTTTTTTTGACAGGCAGAGTTAGTGAGAAAGGGAGAAAGGTCTTCCTTCCATTGGTTCACCCCCCAATGGCTGCTACAGCGGGGGCTGCACCGATCTGAAGCCAGGAGCCAGGTGCTTCCTCCTGGTCTCCCATGGAGTGCAGGGCCCAAGCACTTGGGCCATCCTCCACTGCCCTCCCGGGCCACAGCAGAGAGCTGGCCTGGAAGAGGAGCAACCAGGACAGAATCCAGTGCCCTGACGGGGACCAGAACCCAGGGTGCCAGCACTGCAGGCGGAGGATTAGCCTAGTGAGCCGAGGCGCCGGCCTGGACTAAATGTTCTCACCAGTTCTATTTTGTGATTAAGACCCTTTCATGTAGTGGCCAGTGTGGTGGTATAATGGGTAAAGCCGCTGCCTGTAGGGCTGGCATCCCATATGGGCACCAATTCAAGTCCCGGCTCCTCCACTTCCGATCCAGCTCCCTGCTAATGCATCTGGGAAAGCAGCAGAAGATGGCCTGGGTGCTGGGCCCCCTGCATCCACGGTGGGGACCGAGAGGAAGCTCCTCGCTTCGGCCTGGCGCAGATCTGGCTGTTAGAGCCATCAGGGGAGCGAACCACTGGATGGAAGACAGCGCTCTCTCTCTCTCTGTAAATCTGCCTTTCAAATAAAATAAATCTGCTAAAAAGAGAGAGAGAACTTCCAGGTAGACAGTCACATTGGTGATTAGATTTCCTTCTAATCTTTGTCTGTTTTTGTGGTTTGATGCGTTGACTCAGTTCTCCAGTTGCCTGGTTCCAGACGTCAGAGAAAGCAGTGAGACTTCCGTCCTTAAATATGACAGCAGCTGTAGCTTTCTGTAGATGAGCTGCACCCAAGCAGGAGCCTTCCCAACGTATGTTCAGCCACGGGAAGGGGCTGGGGGTTTCCAGGAGGCCCGGGTGTGGCCGGGAGGGGATTTGAAACTGTCAAAGAGGGAAGCAGGCAGGCGTTGGCCTGGGGGTTGACAGCCTGGTCCCACAGCAGTGCCTGGTTCCAGGGGCAGCTCCAGCTCCGAGTCACTCCTGGGAGGCAGCTCACGTGGTCGCCTCCCTGCCATAGGTGGAAGACCCCCTGGCCCTGCGGGCACTTGGGCTGTGGGACCTCCATCTCTTTCCCTGCCTTCTGAACAAAAGGATGAAGAGGGATGGCCTCTGGGTGGGGGACACGGAGGGCTCCGGGCTGCGAGCTGTGGGACAAGGCTTGGGGTGGGGCAGGGCCAGACCTCGCGGGGCCTTGGGGACAGGAGCTGGGGGTCGTCCTGCGGGCAGCTCTTCTCCCCATGCTGCCCCTGCACCCCCACCCCTGGAGTGGGGCTCCCGGGGGTAAGCAAGGAGGCCTGGTATAGCCACGACAGGGTGGCAGGTGGAGAGGGCCAGGAAGTCCCACGGGGTGATTTAATACTGACTTCTTAATTGTTGGAGAGACACACAGAGATCCCCCATGCACTGGTTCCTTCCCCAAACGCCTGCAACAGCCAGAGGCACGCGATGTCAGCTGTCATTCCCTTAATGGGCGGCCGCTCAGGACTCCCCACCCCGTATCCAGCACCCCCTGGAGTTCTGCCTCCTCCACCTCCCACCCGGCCTCCTGACACCGCACCTGCAAGTTGGCAAGAGATGGCCAAGTGCTGAGGCCCCCACCACGGGGCGGTGCTGGGGTTCCTGGCTCCTGGCTTCAGCCTGGTCCAGCCCTGGCTGGTGAAGACCCTTGAGGAATGAAGCAGTGGGTGGGAGAGATTCTCTCTCTGCCTTTCAAATGAGTAATTTTTAAAGATAAAAAGATGAAATTAATTTTGCAGATGTATTTTATGTAACTAGTGTACCTGGCATATTTACTTGAACATAAAATCAATGTAAAAATTACTGAGGTCTGTTACATTACGTTCTGTTACGTGCTGGGTCTGTACCACCCGGAGCAGCCGCATCTTGGAGCTCATGGCCACACGTGGCTAAGGGGCCCCTGGCTACCGGATTGGGCCGGTCAGGCCAAGACTCTTATTCCACTTTACATATAAAAAACAAGCACCGAATGGCCAACACACACGAGTCACGAGCCGTCAGGAAAATCAAATGAAAACCACAGTGAGGTTTCGCTTCACCCCAGCTGGAACGCCTATCATCCAATCAAAAAATAAATGCTGGGGAGGACGTGGGGGAAAGGCCCCCTACTCCACTGCTGGTGGGAATGGAAACTGGTGCAGCCACCGTGGAAGACAGCGTGGAGACCTCAGCAACCTGAACACAGACCTGCCGCAGGCCCCAGCCATCCACTCCTGGGAATGAAATCCGCACAGGAGAGTTACCCGCACCCCCAGGAGCTAAGACAGCGACTCAGCGCAGCTGTGCATCAGCCGCGGACGGGAACGCTACTCACCGGTAGGAAAGAATCAAGTCCGGTCTTTGGCAACAAAGTGGGCAGCTGGAGACCACGATGCTTAGGGAAATCAGCCACACCCAAAAAGGCAAATCGCATGTTTTCTCTGATTTGTGGTAACTAATATATAGAGAGGAGGAAACGGACATCTTATGATCTGATTATTGTCATAGCCCTTGCTGATATCCCTGGGGACAGTGTCTTTCCACTTGTTGAACACTTTATTAGTGAAGCATGAAGCCTGTGGTTATGAAGTAAATTCAACGTATGTTATTGCAAAATTCAAAGAAAAGGAAGGAGCCAAGTATGCATCTTCCAAGTATGTTCTTGGGATCGTATCTTTGAAATACATGAAATCTATTCTCTTTATAGTAATAAAAATATGTATCTTTAGAATTTTTTAAAAGAGCATTTATTTATTTACTATTTGAAAAGCAGATTGACAGGAAGAGACAGAGAAAGATATTGTGGGGCTGGTGCTGTGGTGTAGCGGGTAAAGCTGCCGCCTGCAGCACGGCATCCCATATGGGCGCTGGTTCGAGTCCCGGCTGCTCCACTTCTGATCCAGCTCTCTGCTGTGGCCTGGAAAAGCAGTGGGAGATGGCCCAAGTCCTTGGGCCCCTGCACCCGCATGGGTGACCTGGAGGAAGCTCCTGGCTCCTGGCTTCATATTGTGCAGCTCCAACTGTTGCGGCCAATTGGGGAGTGAACCAGAGGAAGGAAAACCTCTGTCTCTCTCTCTCTGCCTCTCCTCTCTCTGTGTGACTCTGACTTTCAAATAAATAAATAAATCTTTTTTAAAAAAAGATATTGCAATCTTCCATCCTCTGGTTCACTCCCCAAATGCCTGCAACAGCCAGGTCTGGGTCAGGCCAAAGCCTGGAGCCAGGAGCTTCTTCCGGGTGTCCCACGCGGGTGCAGGGGCCCAAGCACTTGGGCCACCTTCCGCTGCTTTCCCAGGTGCATTGGCAAGGAGCTGGATTGGAAGTGGAGCAGCGGGCACTCAGATATGTGATGCCAGTGTTGCGAGCAGTGGTTTACCCGCTGGGCCACAACGCCCACCCCTTACAGAGCTGAATCTCCCAGGAATGAGGTGACAGCGCAGGTGGACTGCAGGTCGGATTGTACCTTCTGCAGCCCCCACCAGCCCCCACCGGCCCCCTCGTCCCCGTGCGTGGTGTCGGGGTCCCCAGCACAGCACACCAGCCTGATGGGCTGCATCTTCGACTTCTCTCGAGCGCCTCAGCCTTGCGTCCGGATGCCTGGTAGCTTCTCTGGGCCTGCGCACCTGCTTCCTGGGATGCGCGTTACTCTCTGTGGCATCCGAGCACCCTGCTGGGTTTCAGTGCGAAGGCAGCTCATATGCGCATACATTTCACACCAGGTCCCCATGGGAGCCACACAGACCACATCGCTATTAGACTATAATCAGGCACTAGGGCCGGCGCCGCGGCTCACTAGGCTAATCCTCCGCCTAGCGGCGCCGGCACACCGGGTTCTAGTCCCGGTCGGGGCCCCGGATTCTGTCCCGGTTGCCCCTCTTCCAGGCCCAGCCCTCTGCTGTGGCCAGGGAGTGCAGTGGAGGATGGCCCAGGTGCTTGGGCCCTGCACCCCATGGGAGACCAGGAAAAGCACCTGGCTCCTGGCTCCTGCCATCGATCAGCGCGGTGCGCTGGCCGCAGCGCGCTGGCCGCGGCGGCCATTGGAGGGTGAACCAACGGCAAAAGGAAGACCTTTCTCTCTGTCTCTCTCTCTCACTGTCCACTCTGCCTGTCAAAAAAAAATAAAAATAAAAATAATCAGGCACTAAATTCCCAGCTCCTGGGTCCCAGGGCTGGCGGCAGGGGACCTGCAGCCGAAGAAGGGGCCTGCGTTTAGTTCTGTTTTTCTGTCCACTGGAAGTGGAAGAGAAAGCCGCCCGCGCCTCCCTTGCACCGATGGAGAGGGGTCATGGAATCGGCCCTCCTTCCCTTTTACACGGAAGCCACAGCACGAGTTCTGTGGGTGTGGAAACCCGGATGCCGCCTCCGGGTGATTGTCCAAGGGAAAGGTCTTTCCAGGAAAATGTCTCCTGCCACGTGACAGGTGGGGCAGCTCGGGCAGCTGCGCCCCTGGGCCCCAGGCTCCGCAGGGGCAGCTGCTGGTCTGCCAGTCCCCCCCGCCCGCCCCCCCGCCATCCCACCGCAGCCCTAGCGCTGCACGCCCAGCCGGAGCGCCAGGGTTCTTGGGACAAATGAGGCCTGGAAGTCGCTCCCTCCCTGCAGCCGCCGCCGCCCTCTCTGGTTTCTTCTGACCCACCTGTCCTCTGCTGCTACTGATTTTGGACACGACGCCGCCCGTCGCGCTGCCGGGTCTCTGGCCGCTGTGGCTGCCTTTAACAGGGCGCCGTGTTTGTGGGGCTGAGCCCTGGGGGCTCTCGTGGACGCTGTGCAGGGCCAGGCGAGGAGCTGTTTGTTCTAGGGTTTTAGCAACAGTCTAGGGGGTGCCTGCCAGGTCTCCGAGCTCTTTCTCTACGGAGATTCCGCCTCTGCCCGCCCCCAGCTCAGCCGACCACCGGCCCCACCAGCCCCCGGGGCTCCCAACACAGATCCAGTTTGCCTCGCTGCTCCCACGGGCTCGGTCCCGCGCAACACTGCACAGGTGTCTCAGACACGTCTCATTTCCTGGTTTATGGGAGGAAAGCAAGTCAGGTGACCACCGCTCCTTCGTGGGTGTGCACGGAAGCTTCTAAACACGGTTTCCTAGATGCGTCTCTCCCGTCCTCGGTGATAAGGACTTGTACAAATGCTGGCCAGCGAGCCAACATCTGGGTCGCGTTCAGGCTCAACGTGTAGAAAACACTTTGTCTCTCCTACTTTCGCAGAGGGAAAAGTGAAGCCATTTCAAAACCCAGAAACTTAATGAGCAAAGAAAGCCAAGGATGCAATTTCATTTATAACTTAGATTAAAAAAACAAAACAACAAAACAGGCACCAGACTCAGGAGTCCTATTTCATTTAAACTTTTTTTTTAAAGTGGAAAAAAATTTTTTTAAAAAGTTTCATTGCGGGGCCAGCGCCGTGGCTCACTTGGTTAATCCTCCACCTGTGACGCCGGCATCCCATATGGGCACCGGGTTCTAGTCCCGGCTGTTCCTCTTCCAGTCCAGCTCTCTGCTGTGGCCCGGGAGGGCAGTGGAGGATGGCCCGAGTGTTTGGGCCCTGCACCTTCATGGGAGACCAGGAGGGAGCACCTGGTTCCTGGCTTCGGATCGGTGCAGTGCCAGCTATAGTGGCCATCTGGGGCTGAAACAATGGAAAAAAGGAAGATCTTTCTATCTCTAACTCTGTCAAAAAAATAAAAATAAAATAAACTCCTTTTGGCCGGCGCCGCGGCTCACTAGGCTAATCCTCTGCCTAGCGGCGCCGGCACTGGGTTCTAGTCCCGGTCAGGGCGCCGGATTCTGTCCCGGTTGCCCCTCTTCCAGGCCAGCTCTCTGCTGTGGCCGGGGAGTGCAGTGGAGGATGGCCCGAGTGCTTGGGCCCTGCACCCCATGGGAGACCAGGAGAAGCACCTGGCTCCTGCCTTTGGATCAGCGTGGTGCGCCGGCCGCGGCGGCCATTGAAGGGTGAACCAACGGCAAAGGAAGACCTTTCTGTCTCTCTCTCTCACTGTCCACTCTGCCTGTCAAAAAAATAAATAAATAAACTCCTTTTAAAAAAGTTTCATTGCCTGCAGCCACGCACTCAAACCAAGAGCTGGAAGAACACGGCAGGTGCAGAGACGCCGGGTTAGTGTCTGACGAGATGACGTCCCGCTTACCTGACTCATCCAAGCCACAGGCACAGAGAGCAGCGGCCTTGTGCAGGGGCAGACCGGGACTCGGCTACCCAGGGCCTCAGCACACCAGGAGCTGGGCCCCGGCCCGCGGCATCTCTCCCGCCAACAGCACCGTCCGGTTTCCGGATCCACCTGCGTGGACTGGCGCCCACACTGCCCACCCCGGGCACCCAGAGCCCCGAGGGCACCCTGAGCGCTCACACCAGGGCGCGGGAAACCTGCCCCGCGTGAGAAGCACCTTTGGGCTTTGAGGTGTGCATATTTTCCTTACTCATCTGTAAGAAAATTCTCGTACGAAAGCGACGCTAACACGTCGTGCGGCATTATGCGATTTTCCCCAATCTGCCCCTTCATTTTAATGTACGGAAAAAACGTCTACCGGGGACTCGGCTTCCGCCCGGCGCTTCTCTTGACCTTGGCCCTGCCGGTGCCTGTTCTAACGCGTCACCGCCCGCGGCGCCATCCCCTGCTGCGCCCCTTCAGAATTCATCATGTGAGGGGAGTATCAGAAATGCAAGCGTTAACGAATCTTCTCTGCATTCAAAACACCATCTTACACTGTGCTAAGTTCTCATCTGGGTCCAGTTGTGGTTTGTATATTTAATTCAATGTCTCCTCCGGTACCTTCATTACACTAATTTTTTTTTTTCAAAAATGTATCGCTTCAGAAAACATCTGCTTATCTATTATTTGAAAGGGGAGAGTGGGAGGGGGTTTGGGGGTGGAGACCCTCGGTCCGCCGGTTCTCTCCCCAGACGGCCGGGCCGGGGCGGCTTTCGGGTCCCCACGCGGGCGCAGGGCCCGCACGTGCGCCGCGGTGGACAGCGCGCGCCGCCGGACGCGGGATCCCCGCCCGCCTCTCCCGACACCAAGGCGGCTCGGCGGTGAGGGCGCGCAGGGAGCTGCGTCACCGGGTCCCCAGCCCCAGGACGGCCGCCTCAGGCCCGGAGAGCCGCTCGGACCGCGAGAGGGGCCGCCCTCCCCGCTCTGCGCTTGCTCCGCCCGGGGACACGTGCCGCGCGGCCGTCACGTGATAGCGCTCAGACGCGCCGAGGACGGCAGTCCGCACCCGCGTCCTGGAGAGAGGGTCGTCTCAGCCCCCGGCCTTCCCCAGGACGGCAGACTTGGGGGCTCCGGGGAGGATGGGCACGGCCGGGCCGCGCTGCGCCTTCACGAGGGCTCGCCCGCCGCGTGTGCGGAGCGGCCCCGCCTCCCCGGGCGCCCCCACCTCTGCTGCCCGCGTGCGGAGCGACCCGCCCCGCGCCCGCTTCCCCGGACACCCCCACCTCTGCTGCCCCATGTGCGGAGTGACCCCGGGCGCCCCAGCCCCTGCTGCCTGTGTGCGGAGCGACCCCGCCCCCCGGGCGCCCCGCCCCTGCTGCCCCATGTGCTGAGCGACTCGCACCGCGCCCGCTTCCCCGGACGCCCCCACCTCTGCTGCCCCATGTGCGGAGCGACCCTGCGCCGCGCCCGCCTCCCCGGGCGCCCCCATCTCTGCTACCCCGAGTGCAGAGCGTCCCCGCCCCTGCTGCCCACGTGCGGAGCGACCCTGCGCCGCGCCCGCCTCCCCGGGCGCCCCAATCTCTGCTACCCCGAGTGCAGAGCGTCCCCGCCCCTGCTGCCCACGTGCGGAGCGACCCTGCGCCGCGCCCGCCTCCCGGGCGCCCCAATCTCTGCTACCCCGTGTGCAGAGCGTCCCCGCCCCTGCTGCCCGCGTGCTGAGCGACCAGCCCCGCCCCTGCTGCCTGCATGCTGAGCGACCCGCACCGCGCCCGCTTCCCCGGACACCCCCGCCTCCCCGGACACCCTCACCTCTGCTGCCCGCGTGCGGAGTGACCCCGGGCGCCCCCGCCCCTGCTGCCCGTGTGCGGAGTGACCCCGGGCGCCCCCGCTGCCTGTGTGCGGAGCGACCCCGCGCCGCGCCCGCCTCCCCGGGCGCCCCCATCTCTGCTACCCCGTGTGCAGAGCGCCCCCGCCCCTGCTGCCCGCGTGCGGAGCGACCCTGCGCCGCACCCGCCTCCCGGGCGCCCCCGCTGCCCAGGGCGCGACGAGGGCCGGGGCTCCGCGCTGGCCGCGCCCTTCCCTTCGGCACCACCCATCCCCGTCTCAAACCGGCACTTGGCTGCTCCGTTTGGTGCATGTTTAATTCCAGTATAAGTGATTTCTTCTTGAAATCCCCCAGAAGGTGTACCTTCCTGCCGCTTACACGCACCGTCGTCACGGGTCCTTACTAAAGCCGTGGGCGTAACAGGACGTCGTAAGCCAGGCGCTTGCGCTCTGACCACCAGCAGTCGGATCAGTCGCTGGTGAGGCGGCGGTGCGGGCGGGGTCTGTCCGGCCTCCGCGCTCCCCGCACCACGCGTGTTCCGGGGCCGCCAGGCCGGCCCGTGTGCACAGCAGCCTGGTTAGCGGTGAGGCCCTTCACTGCGGGCCAGCGGTCACAGCAGGGTTCGAAGGAACAAAGGGACTGGCACCCGCACCCGCCACGAGGGAGGCTTCAGGTCAGAAAGCCCGGCTCAGTCGCGGGTCCCCGGAGACCGAAGATGCCGTGGAAAATGTTATAAAAAGAACCGTGGGACAGAGTGGGAGCCAAGGGGACGCCACCTGGCGCGCCTCCTCGGCGGCTCGCGGTGCTGCTCGGACTTCCCAAGCGAGGAATGTCCCTGGCCATCCATGCGCAAGTCGGAAAGGGTGTCCTGTCCCCACGAGCCCCCCTCACAGCCACGCCCACGCTGCGGGGACAACAGTTTGAGGAGGCCCAGCAAGGCACAGGAGGTCAGAAGCCACAAGAAACGCGCCCTGACAGGGTCTTGCCAAGAGCGTGCATACGTCCCGTTCGGTTCCAAAGGCAAGGTCTGGCTAGGCCGGGAGGCACCGTCACGAGACAGCAGGCCCGCTTCCGGAGAGGCAGTGTGGACGCACGCGGGTGGGGAGGCCGCGGGGCTGCCCTGGGCGCGCCCCTGCCCCCCCGCGGCCTGGCCTAGGCCCTGCAGAGCTTCAGCGGGAAGTTCTCCGTGATCAGGTGGTCGGCCTGCAGCAGCACGACGACGTTGACCTCGAACTCTGCAGAGGAGAGACGGGTTACGCCCCGCACAGCACAGCACACCGCGGCTCCGCTGCAGGCACGGCGCGCCCCTCCCCCCCAGCACCGCGTCCCACGCCCAGCCACCTGCCCGCCGAGGTCTGCCCACCCCTGCAACCTTCCATCTCGTCACACGCGTTTAGTCATCCCAGCAGAGTGCAAACAGCCCAGGGCTGTCCGGCAGGTCTCCATCCTCCCGCGAGAAACCACTTCCAGAAAGAGCACACAGGCCATCGCTGGCCCTGCGCACACGGCCAGGTGATCTGACACCTGGTGGACCCTGGTCTCTCCACCTTGCAGCAAAGGGCTCTGTCCTCGCCAGCTCTCCAGCTGCTGTGGCTAAGGCCTTGATCACAACAGAAGGGAGGGGTGAGGAGGGCGCTCCTGGGAGAAAAGCCCCCGGTCCCTCCCCAGTGTGGCGTGGAGAGGCGGGTGGGCAAGCGTGTGTGGGCAGAGAGGACCCCGCAGGGCTCTGGGGTCCACTCCTCACGGGCGGGGCCTGAGGACCACGTCCCCGTGCGCGCCTCTGTGTGTGTGTGTGTGTGTGGCGAGTGGGGGGGCGGGGGGGATGCACTCCGCCGCAGTACCTCTGGGTTTTATAGAGGGCGCTATGACCTGTTCAGTAATGCACGCAAGTGTGTCTTCCAAGCAAACTCGTGCTGCTAGCCGGCCTTGCTCCCTCTGCCTCCGCAGGGCTGGCCTTCTGAGTCTGGGTCACCACAGCGCCTGCTGCCCTCCCTGCCACAGATGTGGGCGTCTTGACCCCGCACACTGCTGGGACAATGGAGGGCTTCATCCCAGGGTCCCTGGGCTGCCAACCCCACCATCCAGCCCAGCTCTGCGGCTCGGGTCCATAGTGCGGGCAAAGAAACAGCCAAGATGTCCCGTGCGTCAGCCAAGAGAGCTGCGAAGAGCAGTCCCTCTCTGGGGAGCCGAGCTTGGGATGCAACTGGGTGTGTGTGTGTGTGTGTGTGTGTATGTGTGTGTGTGGGTTCATAGTCCCAGTGTCAACGGCATCACCTGGAATGCTTAAAACCCTGGTGTGGAGAGGGCACTGGCCTGGCAGTTAGGAAGCCCACGCGTCCCATGCTGGAGGCCTGGATTCAGGACCTGGCTCTGGCTCTGGCTCTGGCTCCAGCTTCTGGCTAATGCCGATCCTGGGAAGCAGTGGTGACGGCTCAAGTAGCTGGGTGCCTCCCTGCCACGCACATAGGAGACCTGGACGGAGTCCGGCTCCACCCTGGCTACGTACGGTAGGTCTTTGGGGAGTGACTCAGCAGATGGGAGATCGCTACTTGTGTGCTTTGCAAAAAAAAAAAAGTGTAACTGAAAAACCATCCTCACTGGACTAATGATGAGAAAGCCCATCCTGAGACACAGGGACTGTGACACTAATAAAAACACAGCAGCCTTGGGGCCAGTCCCCACCTCTCAGTGAGGCCGGCAGCTGGTAGCAGGAGCCCTGACCGAGAGCCCTCAGCACGTCTGTGTCCCAGGCAGCCTCGGGCACGGCCCCGAGACGTCCAGGAGAGCCCGGGACTCCCTCGTGGTCTCCATCAGCCTGCAGAGGGCCCTTCCTGCTGCGTCTGTTCCACTCTGCAGCGTGGGCGACCTCGCAGCTGAACTCCATTAACAAGGTTCTCTCTAGGACAGATGGACCCTGGAAACACATGGTGAGATTTAAAACTACGGACGTGTTCAGGCAGGACGTGTTAGGGGCAGGAAGCAAGATCGGAACCTCTGTCTGGGCCGTCATTCCCATCTGGGGTCACACTGTTTACACACGGATTCGTGAAAAACGGCCAGGCACGGAAGCCGGGCTCACACTCTGCGTCTCTGCTCCAATGCACCTCGTCAGAGGCCAGAGAAGCCCACCCGCACGCCTGCACGCCCGCACCGGAGCACCTGCTCAGAGAAGCCCGCCCGCACGCCTGCACGCCCGCACCGGAGCACCTGCTCAGAGAAGCCCGCATGCCTGCACACCCGCACCGGAGCACCTGCTCAGAGAAGCCCGCATGCCTGCACACCCGCACCGGAGCACCTGCTCAGACTCACCCTTCCATGGTGGCGAGGATGACCAAGTGCCACGGGGGCCTGGCTGCTCCCCACCATGTCCCTAGCAGGTCCAGTTCCCAGTGTTGTGGGAGGGCTCACAGCTTCCCACCCACCCGCCCCACAGCACAGGCGGTGACTGACAGCTCCTTGCTCAACCACACACCGGCTGGGGCTGGTTAGGGACAGCTCTTGCCCAACCCACAGGGGTCAGGCGATTCACGTCTGACAGCAACAGCGACCCACTTGGGGACAGCTGTGGCCGGGCCGTGACGGGTTCCCTTCCCCCCTGAGCAGGGGCCAGACCTCCCATGCACCAGCAAACCAAGTACAGGAAACCCCAATTCACAATGCTGCGCTCGCTGGACACATCCGACACAGCCACAGGATGTGTCGCCAGATGACCTTTAGGTCATTATCATGTCATTACCACGGCGGGGCGGGGAGCACTCCCACTCCCATCATGCACCTGATGCCATGACACTTCCGCTACTTCCTAAAATGGGCGGTGCTTGAGCCCCACCCCTACTGAATATTCAAATGGACTCTGCCTCCAACACCCCCCTGTCTGGAGGGAATAAGGGAGGGGCCTGACTTCGTGGCAGGGGCTTTCGCGCTGCTGCAGTTCTCCTACCAGAGGGCTCTCTCTGAGGGGCTCTCTGCATCGCTGGCCATTTTGCTCATGTGCGTCTTGGTTCCTGTGATTGCACTTTCGTTCTGCTCCAGCTAACTCCTGCCCCCCCAACCCCCCCACCTCGCTCTGCCACGCCCGGGGGCAGAAGCTGTGAGCCTGGCCCGAGCCCCCTCCACGGCCACGCCGACACTCACCCACTTTGAAGTTGGTGGTCTCCAGCGTGGGGCAGGTGAAGAGCCTGGGGAAGACCATGTGGATGGGCACAGAGAGGCCCCGGCACACATCCCCGTCGGCGATCTGAATATTCTGGATCTCCGTGGCGTCGCGGGCATAGCCTTCTGCGCACCCTGGGGGAGGAGGGCGCCCCGTGGGGTCAGGCAGGCACTCGGTCACCGTCACCGAGCTGATCCACAGACCCCTGCCACGCCCACCACCACTCCAGTGCGCTCTGCGGGAATCTCGAGCACCCCCTTTTCTTCCTCAGACACCCCCATCTGCATGTGTGCTGCAACATAACCCCCCCCCCACATTCCTAAGCTAATAGCTTGCGGAGGGGAACCTCTGGGAGGTGGTGGGCCATGGAGGCTCCGCCCTCCTGGGCAGACGGATCTGGCGTGGCCTCATGAGCCACCTGCTGGCACGCCGGCTCTGTCTTGCCACAGGACGCCTCATTCGGTGTGGGGCAGGCCCTGGCCAGACACTGGGAAGAACCCGGCTCCAGGTTCTGGGACTTTGCAGCCTCCAGAATCTGAGCCAAATGAATGCCGCTCTATAAGCCACCTGGTCTGGAGTGCGCTGTTACAGCAACCGGCACGGGCCGGCCTCGGCCACGGCCACGGCGTCTGCAGCAACGGGCACGGGCGGGCTGCGGTCACAGCGTCTTCGCTGTGTGACACCGTGGCAGAAGCCGTGGAGAACCTGGCGTCCCACAGTCCCTTCCGAGCCCAGCGCCCGACCCTCTTGGTCCCCCACCACACGGAAGACCAAGCCTCCGTCACACAGTGCGGAGGGCGGGCGGGCCTCACCGCAGGTCTCCACGCGGACCAGCTGCAGCTCCACGCTGCGGACGGCGGCGTCCGAGCGCTCCACCACCAGCTCCCCCGTCAGCGGCTGGGTGATGGCGCAGTTGGTGGAGTTGAGGTGTCCTCGGATGAGGAATTTGGGGAGCAAGGCCCTCTAGAACAAAGGGAAAGGAAGCCCACGGTTACTGTGCTACGGACAGAATGGAAACAGAGCCGCGTGCTTGTTCACAGACGGCAATCAAGGACGGCACCTGGCCGGCAAGTCTGAACCGGCCGCCTGGGGCCGGGCCAGGTCTCTCAGACACCAGCCGAGCTGCTGCGACCCGCAGGTGGCACGCTCCTCCTCACCAAGCTGAGACAGAAGAGACTGTACAAGCTGCCAGCAGTGTTTAAGGACAGCCAGCCACACACAGGAGGTTTTAAAAACACTCATCACTTTGGGCCGGCACTGCGGCACAGTGGGTAAAGCCCCCGCCTGCAGCACTGGCGTCCCACATGGGCACCGGTTCATGTCCTGGCTGTTCCACTTCCAATCCAGCTCTCTGCTATGGCCTGGGAAAGCAGTGGAAATTGGCCCAAGTGTTTAGGCCCCTGCACCTCCTTGGGAGGCCAGGAAGCAGCTCCCAGCTCCTGGCTTGGGATTGGTCCAGCTCCAGCCATGGTGGCCATTTGGGGAGTGTCTCTGTCTCTCCCTCTCTCTGTAACTGTCTCAAATAATCTTTTAAAATAAATAAATCAAAACAGTCAATTTTAAAACATTCCCAATTGTGAAATTCTGCACACATCTCATTCAGTTTTCTAGAACTGTCTCTCTCTCTCTGCTTCCAAAATAAAAAAATAATAAAATGTTTCTGGTAGTCTCACTAAAACTAAACAGGAAAATTAACCAATATAGGTAGAATGTTACCACTTCTACAGCCAATCAACATAAACAACTATGACGGACGCTATACATTCTCTTTTTCATGCTGAGTCTTCGAACTCACAGCTCCTGCCAGCTTGGACCAGATGCGTCTTGAGTGACACCCACGGCTCTGGAAACTAAAGAGTACGGAGCGCTCTGCCTGGGAGCCCAGACCTCTAGAAGCCTCGACGCACCCGAGACACAGACTTTACAGTGACTGAGGTGAGAGAACTCATCTGAGAGAAGCGCAAAGCAGCAGCCATCACGTTCAAGTTCTTTCAGGCAAGGATGAGCGCCGACTGCGAACCGCTGCCCTCCCGCCCCTCCTGGGCACAGACACAGCCCTGCACCTGCTCTCGCCTCGCCTCAGCCCTTCTGCAGCTTCTCTGCCTGTCCATGCTTCCAGCAGACCCCTTTTCTACTTAAAACCCCGGTGGTATTTTGTGAACTAGCGATTTCGTTTTTGTATTAGTTTCCCATTTCCCCACAAAGAACACAAGTGAACCTGTCAGCTCCTTCCACGTAGGCTCCCCCAGGGACGCGGTGCTACCAAGGGTGGCAGGCCAAGGCGGGCAGGGGGGTGAGTGCCCGAGGGCCGTGGGAGGGTGGTGACTCTGAAGGGCGAGGGCGTGTGGCACAGCGGGCTAAGCCGCCGCCTGTGACCCTGTGATGCCAGCGTGCAGGTCCAGCTCCCTGCTAGTACACCTGGGAAGGCAGGGAGTTCCGGGCTTCTGGCTTCGACCTGGCCCAGCCCAAGCCCCTGCAGCCTCTTAGGGAGTGAACCAGCAGATCCAAGACCTCTCTCTCTCTCTCTCTCTCCCTCTCCCTCTCCCCTTTCCTGCAACTCTGCCTTTCAAATACAGAAAATAAAAATGTAAAGAACTGAGTTGAAACTACAGACTAGTCTGGGTGTAGCCAACAGTGAGGCGCTGCCTCTCGCCAGCCACTTGATTCCCAAATGAAGAGCAGCCCTCGTCCGCGGCTCACAGGGCGTCATCCCAGGCGAGGCCAGGCGCTGGGCGTGCGCGACGCAACGTGTTACCTCTTTGACGTTCTGCAAGGTCTCCGGGGTGATGGTGAAGTCCACGGGACTCGGAGTCACTTTCCCCTGCTGCGGCTGCAACAGAGGCAAAGCCGCCGTCAGCAGGGACACGGCCGCCAGCGCAGGCCCTGCAGCCGAGCGGCCCTGGCGCCCTTCAGAAAAGCCACGGCCGTGGGAGCAAGCAGCAAGGGTGCAGGCCGGGGTTCCAAACAGCTCTGCCAGGAAACGAGGCGCGCCCTGTGCGGGGCTCCCCAACCCCCACCACTCTCCCAGCTGTAAATGAGGGGGCAGGAGCTCCATCCCTAAGGTCCCCGATACACTCAGAATTTTGAAATGAGATCTAGGAACCGCAGTGGCACCTGGGAGGAACGCCTTCTCTATTTCTCTCGGAGTTAGAGCTGACCCTGGGGACTGGCATGTGCAGCTGAATGTTCACAGTGGCCCTAGAAGGTGCTGCCATGCCTCAGAGATGGGTCCATTTCACAGGTGAGGAAGCTCAGGCCCACAGCAGAGCTGAGAGTCAAATGCAGGCAGCCTGGCCCTGATGTAGCCTCTGAGCTATGCAGCTGTCTCCCTGGGGGAATCAGCCCATGAGTGAACTAGGAATGGTAACAAAATAACCAACCGTGAACCTGTCCTCATTCAACAGCTCCAGGACCACCCACACGGCGAAGCCTGGGAGTCGCGAGCATCTTCTACCCACTGGGCAGGGAACTAAAAGGCCATGAAGACCCAGTGGAGGAGGGACGCTGCCCAGTGCAGTGGTCTTGTAAACTTCACGGGAGGGGTCCGGCACTGTGGTGCAGGGGTAAAGCTGCCTGCAGTGCCAGCATCCCATAAGGGCACCGGTTCAAGGCCCAGCTGCTCCTCTTCCGATCCAGCTCTCTGCTATGGCCTGGGAAAGCAGTACAAGATGGCCCAAGCCCTTGGGCCCTGCACCTGCGTGGGAGACCCAGAAGAAGCTCCTGGCTTCGGATCGGTGCAGCTCTGGCTGTTGCGGCAATCTGGGTAGCGAACCAGCGGATGGAAGACTTCTTTCTCTGTCTCTACCTCTCTAACTCTTTCAAATAAGGAAAATAAATCTTTAAAAAAAAAAAAAAAAGAAAAAAGAAAGAAAAGCACGGCCGGCGCCGCGGCTCACTAGGCTAATCCTCTGCCTAGCGGCGCCGGCACACCGGGTTCTAGTCCCGGTCGGGGCGCCGGATTCTGTCCCGGTTGCCCTTCTTCCAGGCCAGCCCTCTGCTGTGGCCAGGGAGTGCAGTGGAGGATGGCCCAGGTGCTTGGGCCCTGCACCCCATGGGAGACCAGGAAAAGCACCTGGCTCCTGGCTCCTGCCATCGGATCAGCGCGGTGCGCCGGCCGCAGCGCGCCGGCCGTGGCGGCCATTGGAGGGTGAACCAACGGCAAAGGAAGACCTTTCTCTCTGTCTCTCTCTCTCACTGTCCACTCTGCCTGTCAAAAAATAAAAATAAAAAAATAAAAAAAAAATAAAAAAAAAGAAAGAAAAGCAGGCTTTGGGGCCTGACTCGGCAGCACAGTGGGTTAAGCTGTAGCCTGCAGCACAGGCATCGCATATGGGCGCCAGTTCAAGTCCTGGCCCCTCTACTTCTCATCCAGCTCCCTGCTAATGTGCCTGGGAAGGCAGTGGAAGGTGGCCCAAGTGCTTGGGCTTTAGCCTGGCCCAGCTCCAGCTGTTGCAGGCATTTGGGGAGTGAAGCAGCAGATGGAAGACCTCTCTCTCTCTCTCTCTCTGTTGGTAACTCTGCCTTTCAAATAAATAATCTTAAAAAAAAAAAAAAAAAAAGTGGGTTCCTGAGGGGAGGCACCTACCTGGGCCAGGGGAAGTGACTCACACTTCTGGCTGTCTCAGACCCAGGAATCCCGGGTCTTTGGCCAGGATCCATGAAACAGCGAGAAGCTGACCAATCAGCTTGCTCCTCGTAGGATGGGCCCCAGACCCCACGGGAGAGCCCCGCAGTGAAGCGCGAGGACCCCAAACGCAGCTTACGGCCGAGTGGACGATGAATTCACAGGTCTTTGTCAGGTCCTTGGCCAGCAGGGACCGCCTCATGTCGCAGCGCAGCGTGTACTGGAGGGAAAGGTGGGAGAACGGTCCTTTGAGCGGGGGCGGCTTTCGTCTGGGAGCCAGAGCCAGAGACGTAGGAGGGGAGACTGCAATTACCGCGCGGCACGAAGTCCCTACACCACAGGGGGCGCTACTGCGCGCAGCAAAGGCAGTTCCAGACACAATTAGAAACAGAGCAGGGACTCTCCCTGGTACTCCACGGCTGTCCTGTGGCGAGGCCACCGGGAGACAGGTGCGCAGACTCAGCAGTGACCCGGGGGTGGGGGGAGAACGGAGCGGCAGGAGCGAGCGAGCCAGGCCCTGAGGCGCAGGGCTGGGCCACAAGTCCAGTTATCGGGCCCGCGCAGTGAGGACCGCCGCGAGGGCGTGTGGATAGCCGGGAGCCGCGCCTGGCACCCCACAGACCCTGCTCCGCACTCAGCTGAGCACCCTCCGTGCGCGGGGCACCGCGCCAGCACCGGAGCCCAGCTCACAGCCACAGCCTGTCTCCGCAAGCTTCCATTCACTGGACTGAAGATGCAGGGAGAAGATTAAGAGACCAGGAGCCCCAAGCTAGCTCTTCACTCAGATATTAACCTCAGAAAGACAGAAGGCAAAGTGCTGTTTTCTTATTTTATTTTACTTTGGAAACATCAAATCTATACAAGGGTCAAGAGCAGAATACAATACAGGCCCACAGGCGGGCGAGTCGCGGCCATCCTGACTCGTCTCTGCACCCTCAGCCCACTCCCGGCTGTCCGTGCTCACTGGTGTCCTGTGTGCAGAGTAGGGGGTAGGGGAGTCGGCCCTGTGCCACAGCGGGTTAAACCCCCAGCCTGCATGTCGGCACCCCATATGGGCGCCGGTTCGAGTCCTGGCTGCTCCACCTCTGACCTGGGAAAGCAGAAGATGGCCCAAGTCCTCGGGTCCCTGCACCTGCGTGGGAGACCCAGCAGAAGCTCTAGGCTCCTGGGTTTGGATCGGCCTAGCTCCAGCTGTTGCGGCCATTTGGGGGGTGAACCAGCAGATGGAAGACCTTTCTCTCTCTGCCTCTCAAATAAGTAAATAAATAAATAAATCCTTAAAAAAAATTACAGGCCTGCGCTTTGGCATACTAGACTAAGCCTCCACCCGCAGCACCGGCATCCCATGTGGGCGCTGCTTTGTGTCTCGGCTACTGCTCTCCGATCCAGCTCTCTGCTCACGGCCGGGAAAGCAGCAGCAGATGGCCCAAGTGCCTGGGCCGCTGCATCCGCATGGGAGACCTGGAGGAAGCTCTCAGCTCCTGTCTTCGGATCGGCTCAGCTCTGACCGCTGCAGTCATTTGTGGAGTGAACCGGTGGGTGGAAGGCCCTTCTGTCTCTCCCTCTCTCTGCACCTGTGGCACAGCGGGTTAGCCGGAATGTGTCAGCAGGTGATCCAATCATTGTGTGAGCACCACAGTGCACTGACATGAACTCCATGAGTAGCTGTGTAAGACAGCTACAAGATTAGCTGATATGATATTAAGGAACGACCACTGTTGGAGGGGACTTCAAAATGTTCGTGAAAAACTGGAATTAAAGATAAATAGGGGCCCATGTTGTGGCGCAGCAGGGTAAGCCACAGCTTACAATGCCGACACCCCAGAGGGGCACCAGTTTGAGTCCGGGCTGTTCCACTTTTAATCCAGCTTCCTGCTAATGCACCTGGGAAGGCAGCAGAAAACGCCCCAAGCACCTGGGTCCCTGCCACCTACATGGGAAACCTGGATGGAGTTCCAGACTCCCGGCTGTGGCCTGATCCAGTCCTGGCCACTTCAGCCATTTGGGGAGTGAAAGCAGATGGAAGACCTCTCTTTCTCTGCTTCCCTCCCTGGCCCCCTCACTGTAACTCTGCCTTTACAATTAATATTTTTTAAATGAAATAAACTTGGAAGAATATTTATTTGAAAGGCAAATTGACAGAGAGGGATCAGGCAGCAGGAGCTAAGTGAGGACTCCAGGGTGGATGCCTAACGACTTCCCACGGAAACGCTCAGGAACGGCTCTTGCCGGATGCAGGACTGAGCAGGTGCGCGGCCGCGGTGGAGACGGACTCTCCGTGAAGTGCTCCCGACGTTTCGTATGCTGAAGCTCTGGCTTTCTCAAAATACTCTGCTGACAAATACATGTTACTGCCCTCCAACCATCCGCGCTTCCCCACTGCCATGACTGCGGCTCCTGATTGGACCACTTGGGCTGTGGCTGGAGCACGCACACCTCTTGGTAGCCACTGCTTTGATCATGCCTTGTCTTAAGGATTATACTGGGAAAGCCGTGGTTCATCTTTTCTCACAGTTCTTCCAAGAAACGCATCAGCATCTTGATCCTGCCTGTTTCCACAGCTGCCGCTGCAAGCTCCACTCCAGGGGCGCCAGCTGTTGTTCCTGGGGGTGGTCGTGGGCTCCAGGGCACCGGCTGTTGTTTCTGGGGGTGGTCGTGGGCTCCAGGGCACCGGCTGTTGTTTCTGGGGGTGGTCGTGGGCTCCAGGGCGCCGGCTGTCGTTCCTGGGGGTAATCGTGGACTCCAGGGGCGCCGGCTGTCGTTCCTGGGGGTGGTCGTGGGCTCCAGGGCACCGGCTGTCGTTTCTGGGGGTAATCGTGGGCTCCAGGGCGCCAGCTGTCGTTCCTGGGGGTGGTCGTGGGCTCCAGGGGCGCCGGCTGTTGTTTCTGGGGGTGGTCGTGGGCTCCAGGGTGCCGGCTGTTGTTCCTGGGGGTGGTCGTGGGCTCCAGGGCACCGGCTGTTGTTTCTGGGGGTGGTCGTGGGCTCCAGGGGCGCCAGCTGTCGTTCATGGGGGTAATCGTGGGCTCCAGGGCGCCGGCCGTCGTTCCTGGGGGTGGTCGTGGGCTCCAGGGTGCCGGCTGTTGTTTCTGGGGGTGGCTGTGGGCTCCAGGGGCGCCGGCTGTTGTTCCTGGGGGTGGTCGTGGGCTCCAGGGGCGCCGGCTGTTGTTCCTGGGGGTAGTCAGTGGTTCTCCACAATCAGGGCACAGAAAGTCGAGCAGTTGCCTGGCGAGTTGACGTGGTGGTCTGCCTCTGCGGGCTGCATCTTCAGCAGCATTGTATCCTTTCTTAAGGCAACTTATCCATTTGCAAACTGACAATTTCTTGGGGGCACTGAGCCCACAAACTGTGTATAAACCATTTCACCATTCTTCCATCCAGCTTTTGCCAGCAATGACATGTTTGTCCTTGCTTCAATTTGAGAATTCATTTCAAACTGATGGCTTATGTTCCCTAGGGCCTAAGACTACAGCCTATTCAGATACGTTATCACAGTTAGTATGAGTTTATGGGGTGCAAAAAGAAAATATTAATTCATGGGCAATTTTCTCATAATGTACATTTTCCATGAACTTTTTGAAGACCTCCTGTATTTGTGGTCCATGGTTGACTGAAACACCATTCTGTGCTGCCTGTGTGTGTGTGTTCTCTACCAAGATTTTAATCTGGTCGCCTCAACCAGAAAAGCTCAGTGAGTGCTGGCACTACTCTGTGTGTGTGTGTGTGTGTGTGTGTGTACAGCTGTCCCTTGGTATCCACAGGGGACTGGTTCCAGGACTCCCTAAAGTCTACGGAGGCTTCGGTTCTTATGTAAAATGGCACAGTGTTTGCATAAAACCTACACGTATCCTCCCACAGACATCAGCTGAGGATTCCTCTTAACACCTCATTCAACATAAATGCCATGTAAAGAGGGCTGCGCTGTATTGCTCAGGCGTAAGGACAAGAAAACAGTCTGTACTGTTCTATGACGATACAGTTTAAAAATTACACAGACAGAGGGAGAGACACACACAGAGAATGAGCTTCCATCTGCTGGTTCACTTCCCAAATGACTGCAAAGGCCAGGGCTGGGCCAGGCCAAAGCCAGGAGCCAGGAGTTTCATCCAGGTCTCCCACGTGGGTGCAGGGGCCCAAGCACTAGGGCCATCCTCCACTGCTTTCCCAGGCGCATTAGCAGGGAGCTGGATCAGAAGTGGAACAGCCCAGACTTAAACCAGTGCACATATGGGATGTTGGTGGCGTAGGCAGCAGCTTAATGCACTACACCACAATGCCAGCCCCTAGAACCATTTCTAAATATGGAAAAGAATTTGCTCTCTGCAGGACTGGCCTAGCCAGTAGCTCTCTGGCAGCCAGCTCTGTTGTAGCCAGGGAGGGGCGAGCCTGCCTGAGGCAGAAGCCTGCAGCAGAAAGCCTGAGACCCCCAAGACCCCCAAAACACCTGGGGTCTTGGCAGAGCTGACATCCCGGGGCCTTGGCCAGGGACCTGGCCTCCTGTTGTCTGCTAGCTCTGCGCTCCAGTATCCCCTCCCACCCACCCCCCCTTTTTTTTGCCAAATCATGTGAGTTGGACTTGTGTAACTTGCAAATAAAAGGGTCAGTATGTGCTAAGTGTGAAAGCAAGAACTAGTGACTCAAGGCAGCTCACACCGAGCGGGCGGGGAGCAGGTGTAACACAGGTGCAGTGGGCTCCGCCCAGGAGTGGTCCCGGCCTCTGCGCTCCCTATCGCGCTGAACTCCGACAACTCGAAGGGGAGAACCTGGGCTTCCATCCTTCAGCAGGCACTCATCCAGCACATTCTCCGAGCCAGGCACTGCGCCCAGCTCTTCACAGGATCCCCTCGCCAACGCCCGGGCAGAGGTCAGAGGCTGCTGGGGTCACAGGGCTGCGATCTGCCTGCTGCCAAACCCACTCTTACAAACTCAGGCAGCTGGCAGCGGGCCTGTGACTCAAGTCTGCATCTGCCTGACCCTTCCCCAGCGTGAAGGTCGCAGGAGGGGGGTGTCGGGCTGAGCAGGCCACGGGGAAGTGCAAGACTCTGGCTCAGCTATGATCCGGATGATGGCAAGAAGGAAGGAAGGGAGACACCTGCCAATGGATGTCCAGCAGATATCTATAAAGTGCATTTTTAATAAAGATTTATTTATTTATTTATTTGAAAGACTTAGAGAGAGGGAGACACACACACACACACACACACACACACACACAGAGGAGAGAGATCTTCCATCTGTTGGTTCACGTCTGAAATGGCCCCAACTGCCAGATCTGGGCCCAAGTACGTGGATCACCTACCTAGGAACTCTAGAAATTAATTCGGAGTGTGAATTTTCAGCAGACGTAGTGGTATGTGATATTTGATGTTACAGTTTAAAATCTTCCTAGCATGACCACAAGGCCTGAACAAACATAAAACCTGCCTACAACGCAAACATTTTTAAAAAGACAAGTAGCTGCACAAAGAACAAGTCGACAAGAGTGACAAATTGTCATATGCAGCGCCTAATAATAAAGGTGACAAAGAACTCAGCATGACTGAGGAGGGAAAGAGCAACACTTCCCAGTCCCTCCCCACCCCACAAGAAACGATGCGCAGACTGAGCTCTCCGAGTTAGATCTGACTCTGTCTGCCATCACATTCACATCCCACTACTACAACACAGCCCAAGTTAGAAATGAAAAACTTCTTCGTACCTATAGAACGTGACAGAGACGACTTCAGGGCTTCGCAACAAAACTGCCTATGCAAAGTCGTGCACCCGTGCTAACCCTCAGAGTACGCACAGGAAGCAGCAGGTGCCAAGGGGTGGGGGCCTGGGCCCTGCTGAGGCCCACTGCTGTGGGCACAGGAGTCAGGGTTCCCCGGGCGGCTCCTGCTCTTCCAGGTCTAGAATAAGACCTGCCCAGCAGCGGAAGGAAGGAGGGGAGGGACGAACCCGGAGAAAAGGCCCCAGCGCTAGCCTCTCTGAGGAAGTGCACTGCTCAACATAAGCAGAGAGAAGCCTGAATATGAACTGGGGATCAGGTGACGTGTGGGAATCTTTGTTCATTTACAGGTCTGAAATGTTAGCCAGGATGATGGAGGAAAAGCCCCCATGTTGTTGAAGATGGAGTTGAAGTATTTTAAGATGAAGTGTCAAGACTCTATGGCTGGGGCTGGCGCTGTGGCATAGCAGGTAAAGTCGCCGCCTGCAATGCTAGCATCCCCACATGGGCACAGATTTGAGTCCTGGCTGCTCCATTTCCGATTCAGCTCTCAGCTAGGACCTGGGAAAGCAGTGGAAGATGGCCCAAGTGCTTGGGCCCCTGCACCTGCGTGGGAGACCCAGAAGAAGCTCCTGGCTCCTGGCTTCGGATTGGTGCAGCACCGGTCGTTGCGGCCAACTGGAGAGTGAACCAGCGGATAGAAGACCTCTCTTTCTCTCTCTGCCTTTGCCTCTCTGTAACGCTGCCTTTCAAATCAATAAATAAATCTTAAAAAAAAAAAATAAGGACTCTATGGATAACTGTGGGATAAGTCAGAAAAAATACAGGTGAAACAAAGATTGCAAGATACTAATAAAGGCTGAATGGCATTCAGAATCAGAGAGATTAAGTTTTGGGGTCGGCCTTGTGGCTCAGGGGGTTAGGCTACCACCTGTGACACCAGTGTCCCATACGGTGCTGGTTCAAATCCCAGCTGCTCCACTTCTGATGCAGCTCCCTGCTAATGCACCTGGGAAAGCAGCAGAAGACGGCCCACGTGCTTGAGCCCCTACAACCTACGTGGGAGACCCAGATGGAGATCCAGGCTCCTGGCTGCAGCTTGGCCCAGCTCCTGCTGTTGTGGCCATTCGGGGAGTGAACCAGCAGATAGAAGATGGATGGGTCTCCCCCTAGTCCCTCCTCCCCCACCGCCTTTCAAATAAAGCAACTAAATCTTAAAAAGCAAAAAAAGAATGCGGGGGATACGTCTTTACAAATCTAAGGCTAAGCTGAGGAGAGGTCTGTCAGACACTTGGGGAGGTGCACGATTCCACAACTGAGGCTAAGGCAGAAGTGGTAAAACCCGATGGCCGTAATGAAGAGGCTGGCTGGGCCGTGGGGTGGGGGACTCTCACTGAAGGACCTGTCACGTTACGTCTCCTAAGCACTTTCCAGTTAGACACGACCCGGGAGGAGGGCGGCGTGCAGGCCTGCGTGTGCATCCACGCGGTTTTCTTGGCAGCATCCGGAAACGGGTGAGATTTCCAACCTGCTTTTGGACACGTTTGTTTCTTTCAGTAGGGAGCGACAGGCACAGCCGCCAGGCGAGCACGGCCAGTGGCCCTGATGGCACTCCGTGGCGTGACTAAGGCACAGATCCCTGTAACATCAAACACGGAGCACGGAGAGCCACTGCGCGGACAAGGCCCAGGTGACGCTCGCTCTGCACAGGGAACAAAAGAATCTCAGAATGACACGCTCGCGAAGTCCAGGCCTGCTAACGAGGTGTCGGTCACTCCGTCTTTCATGGTGAAAGGCTGACAGCCTGGAAGGCGGGTCAGGGTGCAGGAGTATCTGCACATCTCCACGAGCTGTTCTTCTGTACCTCGCGTTGGACCTAATCGTGGCTGTGACCTCCAGCGCCTGCCCAAAGCCTTTGATATACACGTGTGCCTTGAAACAGGGGGGCCAACCACAGAGGACCCAAGCCATGCTTCCTCTGCACACAGAGACATCTGTTGCAATGCATGACGTCATATCCATGGCTTTCTTCACGGCAGATCTCTTCGGCAATTCAGAAAAGTCACAGTTGAGTACAGACAAATTATCTACTGAAAAACGCACAAGTCCCGAAAATTCCTAACCTTCGCCCTCCCCCGCGCCCCATCCAGCGGGGGGTGGCTTCCAGGCTGGGGGCACAGAAGCACCTTTCTTCCCGTGGGACAAAGGGGAGGCTCTTGGCTCCGCGCTGCTCCTGAGACGACAATGGCAGCAGTGAGCCACCCCTCACTGGCAGAGGTAGACGGAAGTCGTAAATTCACTTCCCCTCATTTGCAAGGCTTGTTCCGTGAAGAATGCAAGCCTATGTTAAAGCAGTAGCCTCTGGGTGCTCAACAAAGAGATATTTATAAGAATAAAACGGGCGGGCGAGTCGGGGCTGGTGCCACGGAGAAGTGAGGGCGATCTATTACCAAGCAAGAAGGCAACGGCCGAAGGAAACAAAGGCACGGTCAGAGGCAGCCACGGCGGAGTTCCTGTCTCAAACAAGTCTCGCTCACACATCTCGAGAGCGGAACGAGAAAGCGACACAGACGCAGGAGACGGCAGCAACGCCAAGTTCCCCTTCCCCGAGAAGACGCGCCCGCGGCGGCCGGCGCTCACCTGGATGTTGACAAACACGCCGTGGTACGTCTCGTACAGCACCTTGCCGCCCTTCACGTGCAGCGGGAACTCAAAAGGAATCTCTGTCTTGCCGCTGGGAAACTTCCCTGGCTTCACCATCTCGATGGTGCTGTTGAGAATCTGGATGGGCTGCAAAGAGAGCTGCGCTCAGTGCCTCGGCGCACAGCGCGGTGTCCTTGCCCGGAACGGCTCCGTGCCCCCCGCCCGAACGCCTGAGACGGCCGTGTCCCCGAGGTCACGTTTTGGAGGTTTGGGAACACTTGCATGTACATATGAAACATGCGCTATCTCGAAGGGACCCAAGTGTAAACACCAAGTTCACAGATGCTTCCCAGACGTCTTATGCGCATAGCCCAAGGGTAGTTTGGCAGAATATTTCCAGTGTGCCCGTGTTTCGACTGTGACGGGTCCCATGAAGTCAATCACGGCGTCACGTCAACTAAAGAAACAAAGATGTTTGAGTATTTCCCAGTCTGGATTTTCAGAGCAGACGCTCAGTGTGTCCACTGTCTATTGATCATCTCCTTGAAGACAAACATGAGGTCCTGGGGCTTCCCCCTGGTGTCCTGGGTGCCGGGGCCTGGAGGTGAGCAGTGAGTCTGCTCTCTAAGTCTCGGCCCAATAGAGGGGCACGGCCTAGGTGCTGGGGACCCAGCAGGGGCTGCATCACCATGTCCCCCCCTCCGGATACCTCACTGACCTGCTCTGCGAAACGGGCAGGCAGACCCAGCACAGGCTGGCTACCTGGCCAGCACCAGGCCGCCCCTGCCACAGCAGGAGCAGCCCTCCTCCAGCCCCGTCTGCCTGCACACACCTTCCAGCAGGAAGACTGGCCTCGCATTCGGGACCAGACTACACACAGGAACAAGGGTACTTCCAAAAGCTCATGAAAAAAACAATCACAAGCTGAGGTGAGGGGCCGGCGCTGTGGCGCAGCAGGTAAAGCTGCCACCAGCAGTGCTGCGTCCCATGGGCGCTGGTTCAAGTCCTGGCTGCCCCAAGCCCGCTTACCTTCACAGAGTTGTAGAAAGCTTCAAAGACGCCCACGCTCTTGGCGCTCAGTTGGAGGTTCACGGCTCCCTCCATGGTCAAAGTCACGCCCTGGTGCTGGACTGCGTCCTTACTGGTTACGACCACCACCCCGGAGAGCATTTCCTGCGAGAGAAGACACAGATGGTCCTCAGGCGACCTCCTCCCTCGCTCCTGGTTCTCCAGGGGTCCACCTGCTTCCCCAGCAAGCTCACTGGTGCCGTCACTCACAGCCAGACGCCAGGATGGTGAAGGCCCGGCCTCTGCGGGGAGGCAGGGCTGCACACAGCCGACAGGGCAAGGAGCGTCGGCCCAGTGCTGCCTCCCAGCCTGGGGCCCAGGGCAGGTTCCCAGTGCTGCCACACAGGGGCCTGGGGACCGACTCCTGGGAAGACAAAAGCCTTTCCTGCAGCCCCTCTCTCAGCTTTGCTGACCACAGCGACCACGCAGCTGAAATGCACAAGCAGTTGACCAGAACCGACAGTCAGCATGCTCTTCTTCCTACCCAAACACCCGCACCGGACTTGAGCGTGAGATGGCTGGTTATCAGGCCACACCACGGCCACCAGATGTCCTTGTTCTCTCGGGTCTGGCTCAGCCGGGAGGCATCTGTGCCTCCATCAGCCTGGTTCACAACGCCTTTGTTTTTTATTTTGTTTTGTTTTTTAAAGATTTATTTATTTATTGAAAGGCAGAGTTACAGAGAGGCAGAAGCGGTGGGGCGGGGTAGTCTATCTTCCATCTGCTGGTTCACTTCCCAAATGGCCGCAACAGCCACAGCTATACCAATCCGGAGCCAGGAGCCAGGTTCTTCTCCCGGGTATCCCATGTGGGTACAGGGGCCCAAGGACTTGGGCCATTCTCTACTGCTCTCCCAGGCCACAGCAGAGAGCTGGATCAGAAGTGGAGCAGCAGGGACTAGAACCAGCGTCCATATAGGATGCTGGCACTGCAAGCCAGGGCGTTAACCCGCTGTGCCACAGCGCCGGCCCCCACAAGTCCTTCACTAATCTGGAGATCCGTGCTGAGTGACAGCCGGTGCACACGCGTCTCTTCTTTACTGGACACAGCTGCTTCTCCCACTGTTCCTGGGCTCTGAGTGGAAGAGACAGTGGAGAGGTGGAACAACAGCGCCCAGAACGGAGGGAGAATCCACAACAGCACTGGGAGAGGCCCGCCAGTACTCAGCAGGACGCCAACGAGATGCACCTGGCAGGGAAGCGGGACCCGAAAGAGCAGAGCCACAGAAGCAAAGCAAAATTTAAGGTTGGCCTGCACAGGGGAGCGTGAGGATGCACGTCTGCCACCAGGGTGCACCTGCACGCGCCTCTTCTGCCCTCTGGTCGTCCAGGGAAAGAACTGGACCGGATTCTCACACGGGACGACCCCTGGCCGCAGGGGAGCTCTCGGACCCGTACACGGCCAGGGTACTCCGGTTTTGTTTCCGCTTCCCATCACACACTCCTGAAGCCTAAACGTGAGGAAACGCGATCATCTCCACTTTACGCAGAATTCAAGCTCATGTTGTTCCTAAGAACATGAAAAGCTCAAAAGCAAATTTAAATGAAAATTCCTCTGAGAAAATTCAATGTGCAAATTTAATTAAAATTAATTCTCTTAAATGTTTATAAAATGTATTTATTTGAAAGAGAGAGTGATGGAGGAGGGGAGAGGAGGAGCAGGAGAGAGGAGAGAGAAAGAGAAAGGTATTGATCTTCCATCTCCTCATTGACTCCTGAAACGGCACAGCAGCCGGGGCTGGAGCAGGCCAAAGCCAAGAGCGTGGAATCCATCTGGATCTCCAAGCGGGTGGCAGAGGCCACCTTCCCCTGCCTTCCCAGGCACATCAGCAGGGAGCTGGATTGGAGGCAGAGCAGCTGGGACTCAAATCAGCACTTCGATATGGGATGCCAGTGTTGCAGGTGGCAGCCTGACCCACTGTGCCACAACACTAGCCCCAGAAATCAAGTCTGTTAGTTAAGACTTTTATTTTAGTTTTAAAGATTTATTTATTTGAAAGGCAGAGTTACAGAGAGAGAGAGAGAGAAGAGACAGATCTTCCATCTGCTTGTTAACTCCCCAGATGGCTGTATCGGTCAGAGCTGGGCTGAACCAAAGCCAGGAGCCAGTAGCTTCTCCTGGGTCTCCCACATGGGTACAGAGGCCCAAGAATTTGGGCCATCTTCTGCTGCTTTCCCAGGCGCATTAGGAGGAAGCTGGATCGGAAGTGGAGCAGCCGGGACCTAAATGGGCACTCTCATGGGCTTCCGGCGCCACAGGCAGAGGTTCACCTCTACACTACAGCGCCGGTCCCTCAGCTCAGCTTTTGATTCAATTTTCTCATGAGCTTTTGGAAGTACCCCTGTCCCTGTGTGTAGTCTGGTCCCAAATCCATATGGGATGCCAGCGCCCACCAGGCCACAGCACCAGCCCGCAGAAGTAGAATTTTTTACAATGTAAATTCACTAGTCTATTTTTAGAAATTTACTTGACTAGTCCATATGTTCCAGAACCAGAGTGAGACAAAATACTTTTGTGCATATCATTAGCAGAACAATACAACTGCACCGGAGGAAAATTCTGGTCCGGGCAATCCTGGGCCGGCCTCATGGGAACAGGTCTCTGGGCGACCGCTAACTGGCGCGTTAGAATCGGGACATCAGCTGGGCCTGTTCCTTCCTCACTCCCTGCGGCACTCAGAAACAGCAGGGAAGCACCTTGCAAGTGAGAGAGTAAATATTTAATGGCGCAAGGGACCCTTTTTGTCATTATTTGATTTAATTAACAGCCAATCTGGTCGAGAAAATACAGATGACTAAAATACTGATAGATGGTTAGGCATGCCTACAACATGGCCTCTTCACCTCCCACCAACAAAAGGAGGACCGACAACCAGTCCAGGAACTGCCAAGGGCTTGCAAACTGCAGCTGGTTCCACCAGGAGAAAAGACAATCCTTTTTTTTTTTTTTTTTTGACAGGCAGAGTGGACAGTGAGAGAGACAGAGACAGAGAGAAAGGTCTTCCTTTGCCGTTGGTTTACCCTCCAATGGCCGCCGCGGCCGGCGCGCTGCGGCCGGCGCACCGTGCTGATCCAATGGCAGGAGCCAGGTGCTTCTCCTGGTCTCCCATGGGGTGCAGGGCCCAAGCACTTGGGCCATCCTCTACTGCACTCCTTGGCCACAGCAGAGAGCTGGCCTGGAAGAGGGGCAACCGGGACAGAATCCAGAGCCCCGACTGGGACTAGAACCCGGTGTGCCAGCACTGCAAGGTGGAGGATTAGCCTAGTGAGCCACAGCGCCAAAAAAACGATTCTTAATCAATGTCGGCAAAGGAGCATGGGATGAACTAGAGTAAATGAAAATAACAGACACCAAAGACCTTGCCCAAAGCGGGGACCCTGTCAGACTTCTGTGTTGACCTGAGCGAGCAGGCAATCAGCCCCGGGCTTCGGTGGTTCTGGCCCTCCACCCACGCTAACCAGCTGTGGCCAAGACTCCCAGGAGGGACCACGGGGAGACTTGAGGAAGGCAGGAGACAAAGACCACGTGCCCCTGTGCTATCTCATGGGGAGAGGAGCCACTGCCTCTGTCATCTCATTAGCAGGGCCTCTGACTTGAGAAAGCTTAGCTCACTGGCAACCCAGAGCAGGGAGAGAAGCAGACCGGGTCTTGTGCACACAGAGGCGCCGGCCCCATCTCAGCCCTCACGGCCACTGGCAACCGTGCTCTTCATCAAAGTGGGCAACCCAGACACGGAGCGCCCGGTGTCACGACAGACTGACCCCCGTGTGAGGGGCGGAGAGCCTGTGGGAAGGCCCACAGCAACCTGGCCTTGACCACAAAGCGAAGACCAGCCGGGGAGCAGAGCCCCGCCAAGGCTCACAGGCAGCCCTGGTCTCCCCGGCCTCGCCTCGCCCTTGGCAGACGCCACGGCAGGTTTGTCCCAGCGATGGCAGGCGACGTGACACTTTCTAACTCTGCCTTCTCTCACTGTAGAAGTCACTACCAAACAGTACAACATTTCCCTTTCTGTTCTTGGAAATAAAATAGCAAAACCCTAACTGGGACTCGGGGTTTGAAGACGGTGGCCAAGCCTTCTCCCTTTGCTTCCTGGAAGTCACCAAAAAAAAACAAGAAAGAAAACCATCAACCCTTTTTTTTTACGCAGCAAGGAGATAGCCGAAGACCACGAGCTAGGTGGGAGAGCCACTGCAGAGGCTGTGGCGCCTGGCAAGAGCTGGCCAGCTCACTCTGGCCAGTGGGCACACAGGGGGCCCCCAGCGCAGCTCCAGCAGGGGCTCCCACAGATGCGCCCAGGCTGGAAGCCCTCGGCCCTGGGGCACTAGGAAGACACCTCAGTTAAGGACTCGCACTTAAAACCCCAGCCAGCCTGGTCCCTGATCTCCCGCAGAATGAAGCCATCGAAAACAGCCACTAGGGGGCATTGCGCAGAATGGACTACAAAGTATGAGAGGTGCTGGGAGAGTGGGAGGAGGGAGGAGAGAACCCCAAGGTGCAAATGATGCCTAAGGAAACCATCCTGTCACTTCTCCACTTCGGAGACCCCCAAGCAGCTCCCCACTCAGGGCAGGATCCTCTCCCTGCCCGCCCTCATCTGGGCGCTCCCACCCCACTCCTCCGTCTGCACACCTGAGGTCCCTGCACAGCTCCCCTCCCTCACCTCCCCAGAGTTCCCACACTGTCCCCTCCCCGACACAGTACTTATTTATTTGAAAGGCAGAGTTAGAAAGAGGTGGGGGGAGGGGGGAGGGAGAGAGGGAGAGAGAGTCAGTCTTCCACCCACTGGTTCATTCCCCAGATAGCCGCAATGGCTTGAAATGCGCTGATCTGAAGCCAGGAGCTTCTTCCTGGGCTCCCACGCAGGTGCAGGGGCCCAAACACTTGGGCCATCCTCTACTGCTTTCCCAGGCCATAGCAGAGAGCTGGATCAGAAGTGGAGCAGCGGGGACTCAAACTGACACCCATATGGGATGCCGGCACTGCAGGCGGCAGCTTTACCCGCTACGCCACAGCACCAGCCCCATGGCCCCTGACTTTGATCCCTGGCACTTACTGCCTTCTGAAAGGCCACAGAAGTACTTGTCTGTTGTGTTCTTCTCTGGCCA